GTATTAATTAGAAGAGAGTCGCTAGTTTGGCTAATGTTAGTTTCCATTTTGAAGCACTTAATAGGTACTTCTGTTAGTCTTGTTACATAGGAAAAGGCCAGATTAGCTGAAGTAAGCCCTTCCGGAATTTCTGTTATCAATCGCTGTATGGGCTAAATATAGTAGACGAGGATTTTAAAGACAATATGCAAACACCTCGGTAAATTCTGATTAATTATATAAATTTACAGCTTCCTCATGCTAAATTTCAATTAGACACCCACTTGAAAATAGGGCGAAACAGCACAAGCGACTGCATTATTTAGAAAAGTTTATAAGATTATCTTTACAACACAGTAAAACTTAATATCTTCAACTCTTCTAAAAAAATGGACCATGCGAGTTTTTCTTCATACTTACCAGTTGTTGGCGGCAGTCCATTCGTTATGGGCGTGACATACAATCTTGTTGATGGGGATTTTAATGACTTCCTAAGATAAGATTTATTTGAAGATGGGTAAACCACTTTACATGAAAAGTTCTGATGAGCACTTTCGTAAATTAGTGCATTTTTGGATAGCCTTATCATGCATGTTGCCTCAAAATGATGATTATTTTATTATGATTTTCTCTAAGGTATTTTTTTCGAAAATTATCTCTATATGATGCCGTATAAACTGATACCGACTAAAGAGATTAAAAATAAATTTTCCTCTTTGTAAGATAAAGCGAAATGAAACCTAGAGCAACTCTAACTTAGGTCATATCGATTGAATTAAGGACCTACCGAGATGCTTTAATAACAATTAGAAATAACTGCAATGCAAAAATCAAATATACTGGTATTCAAATTAAATCCATATACTAAGCAAAATTTCGATAGTTTATCACAATTTCTTTTTCTGAAATTTATGAGAAATGTACTTTAACATGAATATGTTTCTAATTAGTTGAGCTTAAATTATACGTGGGTTTATTCCCTCTCGATATTCAGTTCAAATTATTAGAAAAACATGGCTTTGGTGATTCAATTTGATAAAGCCTAAAACACTTGACAGAGGAAAAGGATTCGTAAACGCGTCACCGCTTAGGAGAGATGTTTATCAAAAGGGGTTAATTACATTTAGCTCTAGTGTAATACAACCTTATCACCCTCATTAATATCGCTTTCCCTATTTATTCCCTGGTGACACTCTTCCATACAAATTCAAAACGACTTTTAACGAAAATCCGTTTTAAGTTCTTAACTTTAATGTCATTGTCTCTTTTATCTTATTATGAGGAAACAGTACCGCTAAGAATTACTTTGAGGATTCTTCCCGGGAGTTGGTACGAAAACAGTTTCCTTCTCATCCAGAATGGTTAATGAGCACGATGATATCCTTAAAAAGACTAAATGCTCCCCATAACTCTTAATGTTGTGCTTATGATGAGTTCCAAAGCTTTCTATATTTCTGCAGCTCATTTCGCAAATGATGGTGGTGTAAATTATGCGCTCTTTAAAGGATATAATGATAACATTCTCAATTCGCGACCTTTTGATCCTTGATTTAACCGCAGATTTATTATTGTAAAAAGTTGTCCAATGCCTTGATTGCTCCATCATTTGCAGCTGAACATTCTTATTCTTTTGGCGTTCTGTACATTGACTGTGCAAACCAACATGTGAATGACAGTAATAAAGTATGCAAAGAAGGCAAAACTCGCACCTTTTGTCCGCCCTCGCTGAGAATTTTAACAAGTTGTTTTCGGTAGCTTCGAAGTGTCGCCGGCATTCTAAGGAATCGCTTATCGAGGAAATGAGAGATAAAAGTTAACTTCGTAGGACGTCTGCTATTTGCTTCACAGCGTTGCAAGGGAGGAGCAATTTGTATTTTGAATACGATTAAGATTCTTTTTGTAACATTTGAGCCGTTATTGTTCCTTGACTACAAAGGCCAAGCACTTTTTGAAGGAGGACTGAAATTTGTTACGAGTAAATCTCTGGTTGCCCTTTGCTGAGTGGACAGTGCAACTAATTTGGTAAGTGAAACAAGAATTGAAATAAAATATTTCCTGTAAGGCAATAAACTTGATATTTTCTTTGAAGAATAAACCATAGAAAATTGAAATCTCGTTTGAAAAGTATTGGGAGTTAAAGCCACAATTAGATAGGGCAGAAAAATTAGTTTATATGGTCAAAATTCAAACCTGCCAGAAAGTTAGCTATTTCTTTTCCAAGTAGGTAGTACTGCAATAGCCTGCTTTCTGAATTTAAAATGTTTTTATTTTCTTTGTTACAACTTTCATGAAAAAAACACTTATTTCAACTTAAGCCAAATAGTAGCGATGTGAGAGATTTATTTCAAAATATATTTGACTGTTATGATCTTAAACTGTTTTATTGAAAATACCCTCGCAAAAAACACGACACGAGTGCTGAATATTTACAGTACCTACACCAACCAAAGGCTGAACCTAAGCACTACTATTGAGAAGCGTAGTAATAATATTGGTGAGATATTGACTGAGAGTCACATCCCAACGAAATCAAAGGTAAGGAGAAGGAACTAGGAAAGAAATCGTAAATCAGTCACTAAGAATTTCATCGAAGAAACCGGAAAAATTTGAGTCGTATTTTATGCGACAACACAACTTTCAAACCTTGAATGTAGTCATTCTTTCCTTCAATTTTAAATTTATTCTTGATGAAAAAAAAGAAATTCATTACTTTTGTAAGCGTTGGTGTTAAAAAAGCTTTCAACGAAAAATGTTGATATCAATTCTGATCGTAATGGTCTATGATTAAAGAGGACAACGTTAGGGTAGGTTTTTTTGTAAATCTTACAAGTTCACTGTATATAGACCTTTACCTTCCCACACATTTCTCCATGAAACTTTGCGATTTAATTCATATCACTGATAAATAATTTATTAGAAATATGTTGAAAAAAATTCTCAATAAAGCAATTTTCTGATGCGGTTTGATTTTGTCTCGTCGAAAGGCGATATTTATCCCTGATTCGTAATCACAAAAATGTTTGGCTCTTTCTCAGATCAAAACAATTCTCGTTTGACAACTCGCTAGTGCTTTTTGATTAAGTCTCCTTGAGCGAGCCACAATTGGCGAAAACAAACTCAGGTTTTACCTTTCAAGCTATGTTTTGCTTTTAGAGCTTCGCTCGTCTCTAAGTCTTCCGACAAAATAGTCTTTATTTGGCATAAACAAAGAAAGTTTTTCTTCAGTAAAGAAGACTCCTGTCTTACTTGGTACATTGTTTAAGAGATTATCGCCAAACCGATCTTGTTCGTTATCGTTGCACCTGCTTGGGTAACAATAGGCCTGTTTGTTGTGGTTGATTTGTAGTCATCTCGAACACAATCGATGTTTACAGATATTTTCTTTTTTGGTTGAATAAACCCAGTCTTACTGACGTATATGAGGCGGAAATTTACTTTCCAGATTTTTTTATAGCCCTGTCATCAGGCTGATATCGTGCAAGGATTTCCGAATCCAGAAGATTCTCTGAGAAAAAAATTATTTGTTTATTGAGTCATTTACCTTTGACTGATGCATTTACTTGATAGAAAAAATCCTTTTTAATTATAATCACTGATAAAATGAACTTGACTTCTTTCTTACCTCAACTCAAAGTTTCTCTGATGTACTAATGACAATTTACTTTCCTTGATAATGGAACACATCAGAGGGAAAAAAGGGTTAATTTTTCCGAGCAATGTGAAGTTTTTTAACTTTGAACAATCATTCTCGACAAAAAGAAAAAGGGAATAATTCTTCGTTTATACTCAGCCATTTATTTCGGAATCGCAGATTTCTCAACTGATGCACTAGAATCTAACAACTCGCTTATCATTTGATAAAAGTATATTTTGACAAGACTTTTACCGCACAAAGTTTATGCGTTCACCCGGCAGCACTTGTTTCTTAGCGCTTTGCGGGGAGTTTTCCCAATAGAAGAGTCAGCAAGTTTTCTTACAGTGAGCTGTGATATTCATTTGTCCTTCTTTGTCACGGATCTCCTGAGGTCTAATTTCCGTATTGTCTCTATTGGACTGTTTTCTTTGACTTCCACCGACACTTGTAAATGAATTAACCTGACCTGAACCGCCCTGTAATACAGCTTGTACGAAGCGCGTTGAAAATTTCTAATGAGCGCGACATACATATTCCCAGCTGGGCTAAGACATGGGAATTTAACGACTTCCCGATCTTATGATGTCGGTGTATAAATAAACATATCAGCCCGTGCGATTCAGTTTTTGTGATAGCTTATTGTTGCTCAGATCTGATTGTCTTGCCTTTCTATGGTCGTGTGTTGGTTTGGGTTCACCCGCTCGGCGCCGTAGCGCTGATTCTTTTAATTAAGACAGTGTAGAGTGTGGATCGGTTAATAAACGGAACAAAAGATCAAATCCGAGGATAACTAAAGCAGCTTGTGAAATTTTTATGTGTTGCCGGTGGGGGGGCGATTGTACGGAGGATATAATCAAGAAAAATTCGCCTGCATTGGGGTCGAATTATATCAGGATGTAATAAAGATTAACTTGTAGAAAAGTTATGATCACGTCAGAGCTAAGTAAATAAACTCGAGAGCTTGACAAAATGACTGCAATATCTATGGAATTTAGAGGACCTTGTCAAAAAGGGTTAGAGGTGCTGTGGCCATAACCAATCAAGAAAAAAATCCTTATCTGCTTTTGTGTATCACAAATAGTCATTTCCTGAGCCAATGAGGAAGAAATTTTGCGACCGAGAATCTTGTCAGCGTTTAACTGGACTTCTAAAATAAACGCATTCTGCCCACGTTCACATCATTAATAAGATCATCAATTTTTCAAGACATTCTTTATGAATGGATTTGAAATTAAGAGAAATAAACCAACTTCCTTTGAGCTTTTAAGGTTGCACAATAGGCTTCCCAATGGCGTGAGAATACAACCAAATGCCTCAGCGGTGGTTCATGAAAAGAAAGAGGAGATAGAAAAGGCGAAATTAATACTATTTTGAAACCTAGGGTCACTTTGCCACTAATTTCCTTGACCACGCTAATAGAAAAATACCCCCTATTCATAGATCATATATTTGTTTGCAATCGTGGCTCTGACAGGAGAATATAAAACCTGAGTGACATTATACCGCACCACAAAAGCCAAAGGAACGCAGAACTGACAACACCAGGAGTCCAAAGCACAAGACCGCTAACAAAAACATGGAGAAACTTGCATTCTTAGTGATATTCGCCGCTTTGTTTGCAATTACATGTAAGTCTTCTGCTAGTTATCAGTATTCTTTTCATTTTCTTTTTTTTCCGTTTTTAACATTTCATTTCCATCTTTATTGAATTTTTTTTTGGTTTTTCCGAATAAGCCTTTTTTTAAACAGACTTATCTGCGAAGCAATTTTAGTTTTTTGAGAATTATTCTTTCTTTTTATTTTATTACTGTTAAGTTGGAATGATTGAGAAATAAATAAGAAGAACATTAAAAATATTCATAGGCTGCTTAACAACTAACACATTTCTGATAAGTTTCGTTCTTTTACAAGTTTTAAGGAAGATTATTTTTCTTTTACTCTGTCCCACTTCTTGACAAATTGCTTTGAAATTGAAAAAGAAATCTTCAATTTCCAGCCATGCCTGAATAAGATAGGAAACAGTAAAAGGGACTCACTTATACGGATCAGATTCATTTTATCGAGTTTTAAATCAAATCTAAGACTACCACAAATTTTTAGTCCTGAATCTAATCGCAATTCGTTTTTATATATTTCAATCAGCTTCTTTATCATTTGAGAGCAAGGGTATTTTTACAAATATACATCAATATCGTGGTTGAAAAATCATTGGCGCCATTTTCTTATTAAGGTTTTGTGATCTCTTTTTTCTCATGCTGTTAAATTTAATTTCATTTTGACTCCTTTCGCAGGTTCTTTTCCAAGCGACGATAGAGGTGAGACTTTTGAAAACCTTCTACTCCCAGAAAAATATTAACTTCAGAAATATTTTGAGAAACATTAATCTTTATCCTTAATCCCACCAATAGCGCGATTTAAATTTTATTCAATATGAAAAAAGCTATAACGATATGGTTGGCCACAAGAGGGAAACAAATATCTTTCCTTAATAGAGAACATGAATTTTTCGTAACACAAAAATTGCATTTGGAGGAACAATTTAAATGCATACAGTACTTAAAACAGACGCGAGAAGCTATTGAAAATGACGCTCAGACGTTTTTAGAGACCCGTACAAAACTGCGCATTATTTAAATACGATTTTTTAATTAGTTAGATTTCCAAGAAACAAGAGCTATACTGGAAGAAATTTAAGTCCAATATTCCACAGCTTTTTCAAAATACTTCCTAAAAATGATAAGCGAATGGGTGAAATACCATTTAAAGAAGTGATTAAATCGTAACAATTATTTTAAGAGAATTTCATCGGCTAAATTTCCGTTCAAAATGTATGTCTCTACTTTTATGCGAACATAAATTATAATTCTACAGACCAAGCCTGAACTGTACTGTAGTTTCGCGTTTTGCCTTGTTTATCTTTAAAATTAAAAAGCGATCTACGATAGACAAAAACTAGACAGCTGATGTACATTTTGAAATATTGCAGAACTTATATGTGACAAATTAAGATATCTTAAGTAAAGAGAAAAATATTCCTTGAGTAATCTCGGTCGAAGGTAATTTCGATATCGGAGCAAAAATCCATTCCAGTGACGCTTCGAATAACAAGTAATAATTACTTTGCGTTTCACACGAAATGAAAAATTAAAAGAAAAATACATTAAACTACAACGAACATCTTGAACGTCTTACAGAAATCCAATTTAACTCACTTTTGAATCTGATTTAAAGAATTTAACAAAAAGCCGGAAAGATGAGAGAATCTTGAACGATGAGCTTGACCTGGTTTTCAATGATATACGGATCTCCAAGCAACCCAAACATAACAAGCTTTGAGCTCCAGATGAGTTCTTTATCAAAAAGAAGCAATTTAAGAAGACAGTTTGAGGTTGTTAGGCTAGAGTTTGAAATCGTCGTTTCATTAACCGATTGTTTTTCCGCCTTGGGCGTCATTCCAGTTTGGAGACTAAGTAAGATCTCTTTAGAAAATCAGTAAAGACAAAAGATCAGAAACCTATTACTCTCTGTTTTGGCTAAATGAAATTTTAATATTTCTCAGTAATGAACTCTATTGAGTTTTCTCCATTACTCTTTTATTGCTTTCATCTGTGAAATGTAAGGCCTACATTCTTATTCTAAAACTGCTCTCGTTAAGTAAAAAAGAGAGTGGCAGAAATTACAAAATCCCTAAAGTACATAAAATTACTTTTATTTTGGAGGTTAAATGAAAAGAGAAAAAAAAAACCGAAAATCTTTTCCTCTCCATTAAATAAAAAAAACAAAAGCTCTCCAAAGTTTGCCCTAAATTTCCGCTTAGATAACAAATGCCTCAAAACATCGAAATTTAATTTTTCATCTTTTGGAAGTTTCGTCTTGTTAAATTAAACTAAAGCTGCCATGAGTTACAATTCCGTAGCCTAACACATAATTTTGGTGTACGACTGAAATTACAATCCGGAATTTGTGATCTGAAAAACATTTAGGCCTCTAAACTCAATATTTTAAATTGAAAATATCAAGCTGAACAGAATAACGGAAAAAAAATTCTACTTCGATTATGAGATGTCTCACGTGAAAAGAAACAAATGACATGACGAAATATTTCCGATAACGATATTGCAAAACCTAACACTTGGCAAGCTTGGTTATAATTGTTTAGAGGTAATTTATCAAATACCTATTTTTTCCACCTTTAGAAAATATTGCTTTCAGAAACTGGAGGAAAAGAGTGAGCGAACTTTATCATAGCAAGGCGTCAAACATATATTTAATAATTCATGATTTACCAATGCAGGATTAGTTGTTGTGTATCAAGTTATTTTAACTCTGACCCAAATAACAGACTTTTTCTCCTTACTATCACCGTCGCTGTTCTTTGAGTGTGAAGTGCAATTAGCCTTCCCCAGTTTTAAAAGCCACAACTACGGACACGGTTTTCTTGATTGCATTTTTGGAAATAGGAAATACAAAACACTGCATTATGAGATGTCTGACTTTAAACTTCAACTATTTAATCCAAAACTAGAACAAAATTTATAAGAGAAATCACTTGATTTTTTTCCCCCGCTCACTACATATAAAAGTTTTTTACCTAATTGACATCCTCGTTAGTAATCTATTGCGACGGAGTTTGTGATTAAAGACTAGCTCTTTTTCATTTATTCCACGCTTTTACAAAAAAAGCAACCTCTTTTCTATCTCGCGCAGGAAGCACATACAATTTGAAAAGGAGCATTTGTCGCCCTTTTCCGACTTGTTTTATCTATGGAAGAGATGCAGACTTAAATTTCTTTCAGATGCTTCAAAATTTCCTGATGTGGATCTTAATGTTTACAGCATAAGTGTTTGCCACATTTTACAATATAAACAAAAGTTATTTTAATGCTTCAAAACGAATTTTCTACAACTTTTTTTCCGCCCGAGCCTTTTTTTTAATTTCCTTATATGTCATGGTTAATAACTCATTAGAAATGTAGCTTAACTGTTCATGCTTTTTATTTGAAGTCAACGATTATTATCTTTTCCATCCTTTTTTTTTATTATTATATCTAGAAGCCTCTTTGATGATTTGTTCTTTCCATACGAATGATACGTCGATTTGTCTGGAATAAAACTTACTGTTTATGTTAATGCTAAAGGGACCAAAAATGTCTCGGAAAGGTTTCAACAAAACCATTGTGCAGCAAGAGGGCTTAGAAAAATTTGTCTTTTTTCCGAGAAAAAAATATAAATATGACGAAAGTTGGAAGGCAAATCAATCCATATTTTTGTTTTTTGTTTTGGAACTCATTAAAGGTAATAAATTGCAAAAATCCGGTCACCAATGCACCTGTTATTTACACATTTCTCGGCAAATTCACAACTCAAAGCAAACTCTGCAAAAGGTTTTCTAGAGGTAAAAAAGCTTTGATGCCTTATTCAACAAAAAAGTTTGAATTAAATTTATGAATAGGGAGTTTTCATGCGTAGGAATAGTTTTCTTCACTCAAAAGTTACAGTAAATTAAAACTGATATATCCTCTGAGGAGTTTTACATCTCTTAGAAATTTCTTACGAAGTAATATGAGAAATTTCTATAATCAAGTGTGAATGTGGGTAACTAACTAACAAAAAGACGGGCTATGGCATAGGCAACTGACATAGCTAACATTATAGTAAAGTCTAAATTATCGCCAATCATGAATCCTTGTAGTAAATTATAGGAAACCGAATTTAACGGCAACCTAAATATAGCCTTAATGCCCCGCTCTAACCCTGTAACTTTAATTCTAACCATAATTATTTTCCCTAGATTTAATAGAGAGTGAATGGCTGCAAGATACACGTTAGTACTAGTGAAAATATTTACTTATTTTCATTTACTTACTTTTATTTATTGTTTCCTGATTCAAAGACAAAGTGAATTTATTTTCTTCTCAGTCTGTTGCAGTTTGCCTATCATGTCTTATCAATTTCTTTTCAGTTTAGAGGGAGAACGACAATTTATTGTCATAAAATTTTGAGGGATTAGGTGAAAGACTTCCTCAGATATCACCACCAATTTACTTTTTAAAAATGGCAAAATCTTCCATCGTCTCCATGATTTTTTTCCTTTCAGATTATAGGCTTACAAGGTTCTAAGGCGTTGTTTCAACTTTGACTGATATATTCAGTTCCTTCAACAAATGTATGTTACTTGAAGAATGAAAGTTATTTTCTAATTCAGAGGGACAGAACGAAAGAATAGGTGGAAGAATTGCACCCGATTTAAGGACAATGAAGATCCACCTTGTTAGCGAGCTTCGGTAATATAAAAAATTGGCAGGTTTCGCATTAATGAAGCTATTTTAATTACTCTATCACATTGAATCTTTCCTAAAGATTTACAACGCCAATTAAACGTATTTTATTCCGAGAGGAGAAAATTCTAAATCCTTTTTTCTTTATTATTTCTTCATTTACTTCATATGTGCACTACAAATGCAAAACCGATTGGCAAAAGTAACGACCTGAACAATCTGCTTTTCTATGATTTATTACAGGAGCGAATATACGAGAACAAGAAGACGAGCTTGGTAAGATAAGATTTTGTAACGCATTACTATTTTCTTATTAGCCTAAAATTTTTGAAAATGATTTGAGAGCTTGGAATAGTTTCAAAATTAATAATTCGAAAGCAGTTGGTTTTAACCTAAAAGAATATGAGTATAATTAAGGTGTGGTACGTTGAACGGATGAAGTTTTTGTTTGACATCATTGTCCACAAAAAGACTAAAAAGAAGGCTAAGGTGAATGTTACTAAATTTAAAACTGGACCTTTCCTTTCATTTACGAGTTTTTGATTTTGTAAAGATTACTTCCACTCTTATTATTTACCTAGAAGACAGTGCCAAGTTCTATTCCAAATTGCCATGCATATTTCTTGCTTTTTCCAGAAACTCGTAATGAAATGCCTTGTGCCGAGGAGCTTGGACTTTTGAAACACTACCACATCAATTTGAAATCCGTTCCATGTAGTACAGTGACCAAGAAACGTAAGTAGTTCACCTTAAATGGCACAAAAAATCATGCAGATCGCAGAACAGTTCTTGGGGCAATTGATTCGAATCTTGTTTGCTTAGATTGTGTCAAGTCGTGACCATGATAGCTGAGGCTTCAATTTTGGAAAGGCTCATCCTTCATGTACTTTACTCTACCCCTGGGTGTAAATGTGCGCAGGCCCTTCGGCTGACACTAAGACCATTTTGCCGAATTTTATTTCGTACTCTGTTAGTATCTGCTCTCCTGGTTTTTAACCATTTCCTTTTTTTGATTGCAGGTGCCTCAAACTTGCTTGCAAGAGAGTTTAAAATGAAAGGTACAAAGGACTTTGCTCATTTGCAATGAGCTTATGAATTTTAATTTAAGGGCGCTTCTCATCGGTCGGAAAAGTCCGGTCAGACTTATGATAACAAAAAGGCCATACATTTGACCAAATAATTTCCTCATCCATTTTTTTTCGTGGTCAGAGTGGACAAATTTCTATCTCAGGATTATCTATTTCTATGAATTTCTGAAGAACAGAAAAGGGACAATTTAAATAACCGATATAGCCACTAGTCACTCAATAACGTCAGGTGGGAAATATCTAGTTTAACTACAAGACCAAGTAAAGAGTTTTATGCAGGAAGCAACCCTCAATCAAAACTACATTGAATGTCACATTTCTAGCCACTCAATTTATTTCGGGTCTAATTCCCACCGTTCGATAGTCTTTCATAAGCTTGCATGTTTTAGTTTTTAGCCTCCACTAATCATTTCTTCTTCTACTTCATTTGCAGAATCTGATTACGGAAGGAGGAATAGCTATGGTAAGATCTACTCATTTTTTATTGCTATGTGAGAAAAAATTCTGTGAGACTTAACGACCTAAAAACAACAAAAACAAAAACACTAAAAGACACTCAAAACTAACGACAGAAATGTTAATATGTAGCTGTATGAAAAACTTCGCAAAAAACAAAAACAAAAAACATTTGGGAGAAGAGAAGCTGTTAACGCTTATAACAGTGCATCACATTTCATTGGTACTCACGTCAACCAATCAGAATCCTTACATTCTGTTAGCTCAGTAAGACTGATGACGATGAATCTTTTTTTTTTTATTTCAGCCCGTGATTTTAACTCTTGCTGCAGCCCAGACTGTGATTGGCTGCTGGATTACTTGGAAATCGACTCCACCGTGGTGAAATGTCTGGACCGCAAATAAATCCGTTCTTTAGTTTCATCCTTGAACACAAAAATTTAAAATGAAATAAAAACAACTACAGAACAAACGACGATGAGAAATCTCCCAATTAAATAGTATCACTATTCAGGATGTTCGGTCGCACGATGAGGGTTTAAGTTACAAGAGTCAGAATTATAATTTGTTAGTTAACATCAATTTCATGCTGTACAAAGCTATCACCTCAGGATAAATTAAATTCACGCTTAACTGAGTCTAACGTGTCTTATTCATAATGAAAAACAAGCTCTGATGGTCCAAACCATCAATCTTTGATGGTTTGGAGGAGCCACAGTGCGTCTAGGGTTTTCGCTTCTCATATAATGACGTTTAAAGTACCACCGAGTGAAGACCATGGATGGAGGCGACAAGAGATCAAGGCGAAGTTGAGACGGAGCCATGCCGAAAAGGAGACGAATATAAGACGAGGGAAACGCGAAAGATAGAGTAGCCATTATCGAGGCACGAACAAGACTTCGATACTATGAGATTGAAACGAAGATGACACGATTACGAGACGAGGTTGAGACGAGGACGAGAGGAGATGGGCTGGGGTAGTTTTCGAAAAGATTGCGCGGAAAATGTGTATTTCTATTGATTTCCTTTTCCATTTTACGCTTGTTCTCTTTAAAAAGCCTAACATCACTTTTCATGCTAAACAGGCACACATGCCTGTCAGTAGTTCTTTTCCCTTTCAATAAAAGTTTCGCCTTGGCATAATTAGCGAAAATGATTTTGCTTTCGAAGTTAAAAGCAGTATTACCACGATGATTCAACATTTTATTTATCTATTCTGTGAAATTTCAACCAAATTCGCTCAATACTACTTGAGTCTTCAACAAAGTTTACCGTCCTGATAAAATACTTTTTTTCGTACTCTCGGTTCTACGATACATATGTCTGAAAACTGAACAAAATGGCATCGAAGGCTTGATGGAGAAAGCGTTTTACACAATGAGGCTTAACTTATTTCATCTCTAGCGCAGAGTTTCCTTCATTCCACAAGTGTTTTGACAATCTGCCAGTGACTCAAAATTGTTGCTGTTGCCTTCACAGCCGCCATAGATAAATTCTTTGCAAGTGCCAGCATTTTGGTCGAAGTAATACCTCCTCAGGTATGCCATACAACGACCACCTTCGGCGTCAAGGTTGCAGAAATCTGGCCGCCCTTTTGTATAACCTAGTATGAGGAACGAAATGAAAACCTCTCATAAACTTTTTCCATTTTACCTATGTAACTACAAGCTTATGGAACAAATTCGTTCATCGACATATGAAAGATTACGAGCTAAAGAGTATGTTCGTATCTGCAAAATTTAATTTAGAGCAGTCAAATAACTTCAAGTTGCGCATACTCATTCCGTAATACCGTTATTTAACTGAGAGATATGCTTCATATCTTTATCATTGAAAAGTAAATATACAAAGTTACTGCTACGGTTGGGAATTTCAGAGTTACCTGGCTGTTCGAATATGGTCTTGGAATGTGCTATAATCGACTGTGACCTCCATTTTACAAAGGATTTTTACAAAACTTGGTAACCTGGCCGCAACGAAACCTGAATGCAGAGCTCGCAGAAAGCCGCTTTCTATTTTTACTTTCTTTCTTTTTTCTCAGCTTTGTTTACAACGCTATACGCCACCTACAATATATTCATTACTTGGGTTGAGAATTCCATCCTGTCTATCTCCTAATTGTTCAAAAAGATAAAAAAAACGGAAAAAAATGAGACAAATTGACTTCAGACCCCAGAGGTTGGCGGCCAGGTTGCTAGGCAAGTTTCAGAATCTCCGACACATTAAAGACAATTGTTGAAAAGTCAGGTTAGTCTTTCGAATCTCAAAACACGTCAAATCTCAACACTGTATGTGTCCTTTCAAATAGTGGCGAGGAAAATCAGAAGGTTTGTGTTGGAAGCTTTCCTCTAACTTGCCATTGTGCTTCATGACTGGATGAACATATCTTTCTATCATAATTCGTGAACAGAAAAACTGCTGATAAAATCAATTCACAATGTTATGCATAGAAATTCTGTCATTTGTGAGAAATTGAGGATAACGCTTCAAAGCCCTAACCAGAATTGGTATCAAGAAGCAAAGTAATATTTACCATTTCCTTTAAATTTACAACAGGCCGAATCTTTCTCGTTTGCTGCTGACATGAAAAGTATTCAATGCTAAATGTTCACTTGGAGAACTTTACGATGATCTATCGGCCCAGCTGAATCCATATCGACAGCAGAGTAAAAGACAAACATATTATTCCACGTATGAAATTAAGAAATTTGAAAATTTTTTGAAAATCTCGTGACCAGAAAGCGATTTTTTAAGAGGGTTTTTGGCTAGATGGCATGTAAGACTAGACTTAAATTTATCAATTACTTTCATTCGATAATTTTCTAGACGCCTATTTAGTCTGAAATATTTGTGACAACCGATTGTTTACGCTTTGTATCCGAGATTTTGATCTCAGTTAAAAACTGAAATTTTTTCTTTTAATCATCACCGCAAAATGATTTATGCGATATCTTTCAAAGAAATGTGATTCTGAAAGTGATGAGTGCTTGTCTATCGACATAGATTTTTAGATCAAAGAGTTACAAAGTTGATACAAAGAGCTGCAGAATTAATGATGAATACATTTCAAATTATTAGATTTAAATCTTAAATCAATAATACAAATCTATAGATAAACCTACCTATAACAAATACGGCGAAAATTATGGCCAAAACAAGACTGCATGAGGTCTTCATTTTAGTCATGGACCTCTGAGACGGTTGCTGTTCTTTCACCTAGAACGAAAAAAAAAATATCAAAACGTCTTAAAATAGAGGTTATTCAGAGCATTCAAATGGAGATGACTTGTCTATTAGCTGAGCAAACACAGCCTTCCAGGTGCGGTTGAATGAAAGCTGAAGTGTAAGTGAACACAATAAGGAGGGGGACATTGAGGTCTATTAGAAACCACAAAACCCAGCGTAGAAAAAATCATTTATACCGCAAAACCGCCAAAAAATTCGATCAAAACGAAAACCGCATTCAGAACCGTCAAAACCGATAACTTTTCACATCTCAGTTATCAATCGATCCGATGCAGTGGTGGCAAGTGGAGTAAACAGAGATTTCGAGCGTACAAAGGTTTCACAACTATTCGAGATCAGTGGAGGCGCATAATTGCCGCTCAGATCGAAGAGTAACCGGAACTCAATCAGGAAAAATCGAAAACCATTCGGTAGTTTTGACGAAAAGTGAAAACCAAATGCTAAAAAACGGAAAATCCGCAGACCGAAATGAACGCCAAAGTTTTTTGGCACAAAAACCGAGAAACCGATTTAAAAAAATAGCCAAAAAGGAATTACAAGTCGCACTAATCGGTGAAAGAAGTCCAAATGAATTTCAAATTAATAACACAAATCCTAGATGGACCTTTCAATGTTTTTAAGTAAAACGTGTAGTCCGGATTAAAATTTGAATGAGTAAATAAACTTCACCAGAAGTGCAAATAACCCTAGACGTTGAGAATGGTTCACGTTCATACTCCTTCAACAATAATAGGGGCCTTAAGCAAACCACGACAGCGACGGCAACGAGGACATGGAAAAACAAAAGATCTAATCGGCGGAACAATAGCTCAGCACGTTTGTTTTAAAGCTTTGTACATTTCTTAGCAGTCCCATGCAAAACAACGACGTGAAGTTTGCGTCGTCTGCGAACCGAAACCGCGGCGGCAAATTAATTTTAATTCTAACTAAAGGCAGAATTTCATTTTTTTAATCGAAGTCTTCCTTGGCGTTGCCGTCCTGACTGCTTAAGGTCCCTATTGGTGATCCAAACACTCTGATTGGTTTGTTAACTCGTGCTAATAAACATTATTTACTCACTGAATGAAAAATTCTCTAAACAACTGGTTAAACGTCTACCTTGAAGATTTAATGGATGACGAAAGCCTTCAAAATATTTTTCTGATAATTACTACCAATGCACGACACCCGAAATTCTAAAACAAAGTTTTACAATTGCGGTCTGCTGTAATGTGATTGTAATGTAATGTGGCCTGGAGACAACATCGCTCTGACGAAGGGCTAACGCTCGAAACGTGAGCTTTTCTACCCTTTACGGTGGCTAATTTAAGTTTTCAACTCAGTTTTTAACACTAAATCAACTGCTATACTCTCCCACCGACGCAGCACCACAGTTTTTTTAAAAACTTAACCTGTTGATAAAAAATTTAAAGCCATTTTAGCCATGTGCTCAGGCAAATACTTTATTCTTTTGTTGGTTTTCACGCCATACAATTGCCCCCACAGAGGTTTACCAGAAAATAGTTCAGTTTATTTGCGAATTTTAGAAGTGAGCGAGTGATTATGAAATAAGCTCATGAAACTAGAGAATAGTTTAAGGAAAAAATAGCATTTCAATAATAGCATAGGTAAGCAAACTAGAGAATATTAAATCGGATTTTCTCAAGTAAACTTGAAAGATGACAGGCAGAATTTTCAAAACTAAGTCATAAAAATAGGAAATTATGTTTTAAGTGGCTGCAATTCATCATTAGAATGTCTGTCTAAAAAAACAATTGAATAAAGTTATTTAAATATTGCTCATTTTTTATATCCTTATATCCAAGGTTTTGACCAAGCGGAGCGCGCGTGATATCTCAATTAACTCTCAAGAGGGTCTATACAAGAAACAAAGCAATAACACCAACCACCATATTAAAACAAAAAGTGCAGTTTTTAGTTCAAATGACCTTATCACTGGGGAAGGGGGAGTGAAACAGATGTACTAAAGTACTAAGAATAGAAACACTTTCTTATTGTATAAAGTATAAATTGGTCAAAGTCTGACCCATCGCAAAACAAAACATCACAATTTATCTTGTAGCCTCGAACTGGTGTAGAGACTCTAAAAAAAACATACGACTTATTAACATCTCAACCTTCAGTCTTGTTACTTTGAAATGAAACTAGCAGAAACATTTTAACGCAAAATTCTAAAGGTTTCGAGTCTTGGTTTTCTTTGTGATCTCTTTTCCAAACTGTTAAAAACTGTCCATACAAAGAGAATGGCTTAAATGATCCAAAAACCTCACTGATCAAATTATTCTGGAAGCAAAATATGGAGCAGAATAAAATGATTTATAGCTACATTTACATAATAAGTAATTTCTAAGGTAAGAGAAACTACCACAAATTTTATTGTCAGTAAAATACATTGTGTCGCTTGATCCAGATATTTTTAACATTAAAATTATTTTAGGGTCCTTCTACAAGCGTATACAAGCAAATATTATTAAATAAGAAACTCAATAAACTTGATCCATACGTTTCAGTTTTTCAGACCTTGAGCTTTTAAAAAGAGAGTAAAATTTTTGGTCGAAAGACTTTTGCATTTCACGCCATGATATTCTTTCTCTCATATGACCCAGAGGAAGCACCACCAACTGTCAATACCAAGTTATTAACTTGAAGCCGAAAGGCGATGATGTTTACTTTTTTGAGGGTGCAATTGCTTTATTTGATGTAACCGAATAGATGTAAAGGATGCGTGGAAATTTTCAATTGTCATTTCCTGCCATAGGGTCACGTACGTAAGTTCTGCTGAGATAATTATTGATTTTTGAATCGAAAGTAACGAGTAGCTACGAGCAGTTGAAATGATTGTCTTACAATGGATCGCAGTGATTATGTAATTGCAGTGATTTCTTACTATTAGACTTTCTAGCCTACAATCGTGAACCAGGGTCTTTCTCTGTTTGATTCTTTGTTTTTACGAATAACATTTATGCGTGGGAATGATCATCTGCCCAAGAGAATTTTGCAACATCATTTAGAAAATGTAACAAAAGCAGTCGATTGAAATAAATCAAAGAAGCAAAAGAAAAAGGAAAAATACTTGACATTTGCTAAAAAAAGCGTTCATTTTGTCACATCTTATCTCCAAAAGCAATAAGTAAAAAAGAAAAAAAAAAAGAACACAAGTGGTAAACTATTTGAAGATATCCGCAAGTTGGCGGCTGTCGGAAACATTTGAAAAAACCCTAAAAGAGCTTGAAGTGTCATTGAAAGTGTTTCAGTACAAGAATATCTTTTTACCAATTGATGTTTAAAATACTACAAGCAACTCGTAGCTGATCATATTTGCTAAGAGATGTTAGGAGTTAAATTGAAACACTTGGCTATCGAGTCCGGGTCTCTCTGAAAAAAAAGGAAAAGAAAGGTATGTTTTTCGAATCTTTCATCACCTGCAAGAGGTAACTGACTAGTGTTTTGAAATAGCTATTTATGTATAGTTTAGCGTTTCTTTGGTCAGTCCAGAGAAAATAATGTAAGAAACGTCTGAAGCAATTACCAGTATTTTAAGATTTCGGTCTTCAATGGAAGTCGAGTGCTTTTAACAATAATAAAGAAAAGGCATATTTATAGAAATAGGTTTTATCTGAAAGGAAAACTTGGCATAATTTCGTTCATTCCCTCTTTGAAAATGGAGTATTCTCCTTGATACAAATAAAGGTACAAGATAAAAAAAAATAAAATTCATGGTCACCATCCAGTTGTTATCAAATTCAACAGCCTAGACAAATATACATTTGAAAACTGTAAACTCCTCAATATTAATTGGAATGGCCATTTTTAATCCCGATACAGTTCATTTCATGTGATAGTAGCACATATTTTTTGCGCTCAAAGAATCTTACACACTTAAATATTGGCAAACATAATTGATGGGTGCTTTAGGCAAAAGATAAAATGGGAAAAAACAGGTGGGTGGCATGCACCTTGAAAACTTTTAAAGTTTTTAAGAAAATGAGAAAACAGTTCCGAAAAAGTAGCGCTTTTTGTTCCACTTCAACATAACGAATTAATGATTATAAAGCCCTCGAAAGAAAAGAGCTTTTATGGAATTACTTTTATGAGAATTGCTTTATTCACCTTCATTGGCAGATAATTGCTTAATAGAAAAATAAAGGTATGGACAGCATGTACTCAGCAATTAATTCATTCCATTTCTTATTTCATCAATATGAAAAAAGTGCTAAAATTAATAAGTCGTGCATTTTGGGCCAAAAACAAACAATTTGGAGCTTTGGATTCTATTAGCCGCTTAAAATCTTCAGCTATCCATTACCTGATGATTAAAAGCCCCTGGCGAAACAACCTTTGCTTATGTTTTGGTGCGTTTTTTCGGCTGGGCCAATTCCAAAAGACATTCGAGAAAATACTTTTCCGGACATAACTTGCAACATTTGATGGATGATTCTTTTTTTTTAAAAGGAAATGTGTTAAAAAACCTTATACAGGCAAGACCTCGCTTCACTGAAAAAGATTTGAGGTTAAATTTACCTCGTCATGTTATTTAATCAAATAGCCGTGGCAATCACAATTTTGATGAATTTTTTCTTTGATCTTGATTTCCCTAAAAGCTTTTTTTGTATGTGTACCTTAGAGGTTAAAAAGTGATTTCAACTAATTTCCTCATTACTGCTTTTATTTCATGCGAAGGAAGGTCTTTTTAGGACTGTCGCTCTCAGGTGAATGATACTTCCTAGAATTAATTTTCGTTTCAGTTAGAATTACCAATAAATCCGTAAATCCACCTAACACAAAAATTGGCAAATGGATTTAAAAAGTGGCAAATGAATGTAACACTTTCTAAGTCAGATTTAGTTATAATTGCCATTCAACCCTAATAAGTTGAGAAAACCTCTTTAACCAATTTCCTTACTTCATACCATTTTTTTCTTTTCAAGTTAAAGAGTTACTTTTATCGGTTTTTAAATCAGTGTCAAATAGGACCACTTTATCTCACCCACTTAGTTTCTATGACAAAATTGGGTCCATATTTTGTTTTGGTTCTAATTTCCATTAGAGCCTTAATCTGTGAGCTGTTAATAATTGCTTTCAATTTTGCTTCATTTTAATTTGACTGCTTTGATTCGAAGGGGTCACTTTGACTGAAGCACAAAAGCAATGATGAACAATACCTCTTTGGGCAAGGAGAACATCAATTCTTCGTGGAACCCCGTATTTGTGAGTATCTCCATCGTCTGTTATTCCTTGATTATCGCATTCTCCCTTCTCGGCAACAGCCTCGTATGTCTGGCAATTTGCCTGAATAAAAGTCTTCGCTCTTCACCGGCCATGTCTTTCATCTTTTCACTGGCCCTCTGTGATCTGTTAACTGCCATTTTCGCAATGCCGTTTGATGCTGAAAGCCTACTCCAGAACAGCGCCTGGAAACATAGCGAAACTCTCTGCATTGTATGGACAACGACTTATCTATTCAGTGTCCCTACATCGATACTGACGCTCCTGGTCTTTACGATTGATCGATACAAGACCCTGAGTGATCCGCTAAGAAGGTTTCGCAAATCGAAGTTCTTATCCATCCGAACCTCTCGTATTGTGGTGGTGTTCCTATGGTGCTACTCCCTGGCGTTCTGCTTACTGCCTGTCATGGGGTGGCGACGTATGCCTCATTACGTTGTTGGAGGTTACTGCAATTTCAACATCACGTTCACCTATTCAGTTGTAAGCAACATCCTTCACTTCATACTACCATTGCTGATCATCGGCGGAATTTATTTCAAGATTTATCGCATCGCACAAAACGTGAAACAATGCCACGAGCTGGGTGAGGGTAAAAACTCTTTTCCTGGCCACATTGCCCGACACCCTTCCTCGCGCGATCAAAGACACTTTAAGCGAAATCTCAGAGGAACTAAGACAATTGCTGTGATAGTTTGTGCATTGTTCATCTGCTGGCTTCCTTACAGTGTAACTAGCACTGTCTTTGGCCTTTGTAAAACGTGTTTTTTTAAATCCCCACCGGAAGTATCCGTCGCGCTACTTATGCTGGGATACCTCAACTCGGCCCTAAACCCTTTCATCTATTCTCTCAGGAACCGGAAGTTCAAGGACACGTATCGCATTCTCTTCCGGTCGCTGAGGAAAATTAGAAGAAATGCACAGCGCAGGTCAAGAGCGTCTCCTAAAACAAGTGACTCATCGATATCCGGAAGACATCACGTAAGCGTCATCGGGCACGCCAGTAGCATAAGATTGACCTCTTTCACTGTCTCTGTTTCAATAAATTAAAAATAATTTTTTTTTTTTTTTTAGCTATGTCGCGCGTCTGTCCAAAAAAATACGGAGCTCCGTAAGCAGTGAAAGAGTTCGTAAGTTTAAAATTATTGCAAATTTTTGTTCTGAACTGCTGATTTAAAAAGTACCGTGTCTATATCAACATACACATGGCACAATTAACTCTCTTTAAACTAAACAAAATTGTGACATTATAGAAGATAAAGATGCTTGTAGAAGAAAAACTTACAATATCAAACCACTGCCAAATTTGAAGAGTTGAGACAAGAACACTCTCTTTAAGCTCGAGAACAGGGAAGGCCAAGTGCTTATCGAACATGCACATTGAAAATTATTTAAATCAAAATAGTACGTGTTATGCAACATAAACATAAATCAAATTTGTAAAATAGAAAGAAGTGTTTATTCAGGTATATAGTTATGCATTTTTCTAAACGTGTAGGAAACAATTAGGTCTTTTAAAAGCTGAAGAGAAAGAATGAGACATTATCTTTGCATAAGTCATGGAGCATTCCACAATCGATCCCATGTCATGAAAAAAATGTCTTCCGGCTGTACAGGTCATTTTAGACTTATGATGTATCATTCACGGAATTTATGGATTAAAAGTTATCAAAAAATTATTTCTCACTTTTCCAAGTGTTTTCGAAAAGTCTTTTATTAAAAAATCTTCCAAAAATAACACAACAAAAGAAAATCTGACATTTGTGTGCACAACACAAAGAAAATTGACAGTGAAATTCTCACAAGAGGATGTCTGTTTCCAAGGAAACTCAAATTTGCCCTCAACTTGAGCGTAGCTCAGAAAGTACGGCTTGAAAAGTTATCTTTCCTTTCTGACCGAAAGCAATGGAAAAATCAGGCCTTTATCTCATCGCAATGGGAATTGCGCTATTTTATCCGCAACAAGTATATTCTGCCAGCGAAACAGCGAAGAACACTTTCAGATGTAAGTTAATGAATCAATTGTCCTTTGCGATTACATTCAAGTGAGCAGGACACTGCCTTTTACTGAGAAATGTATAGACCATGGAATGTTCTTCTTCAGTTGCTCTCAATTAAGCGAATGCAGGTCAACCTGGGTGAGTCGCAATTGCTGCATCAGAGCATGAAAACAGGCATAAAATAGCCCAGAATAAATAACACCTTAAGCACTCTTTTTATAGCACTGATTTAAAAGTATTTATTTTGGTTGAAATAACTTATATTCACGCTTACCTTTTTTCCTAAAGCTTCAGTAGTCGTCGATAACAGTTGACTTTAATGCTACAAGCTTTAAATTATGGTGACGGAAACTGATTTCACAGTATCAATACATGATCATTGCCTGTCTTTCAAAATCGAATGAGTGGTGCCCTTTCTCGTATGCTTGGAAATCACAGATCAGATTTAAAAAATTCACGCTTACCTTTTTTCCTAAAGCTTCAGTAGTCGTCGATAACAGTTGACTTTAATGCTACAAGCTTTAAATTATGGTGACGGAAACTGATTTCACAGAAAATCGAATGAGTGGTGCCCTTTCTCGTATGCTTGGAAATCACAGATCAGATTAAAAAAAAACAGGATATCGGAAGAGAGTGTGCCGAAAACATTTGGTTATATCTTTACCACAATTTCTTTAGGAAATGGAAAGAAAAGGTGTTGATTACAGGAACTTCAAACTAATTATTTTCCTATTGCTTTTTTTCCGAAGTATAATCTTTTGCAAAAACTGAAGTCGGCAACTCTTTTCTCTGTTTGATAACAAGTAACGATAAATGGACTAAATATCACTTTTGATTTCGACAAACAGCTTTGTTGACTCGAAGCATTTTGTTTTCTAATCAGAACCCATGCTATTTCCAACAAAGAATACGCAGAAACCGAAATAAGGCTAAATTTCATCTTGTCCAGCAAAAATATTTATCGACCGGGCGGGGAGTCGGAGAATAATATTTTCGGAAGGGGGGGAGGGGGGCGCGCAACACATGGTTTTCAGGGGGAACGGAAGGGCGATCAATCGTCGCGAAAAATAATGACCGTTCTCTAGAAAAAGTAAATTTTTCCTAAAACAACTGTGACCATTCAGAGCCTTTTCCTCTTTTCCAGTTTTGTTGAACTTTTACCAGCAACCAGTCGTCACAATCATTAAAAACTCCACAGCACATGAAGACGTCCAACAACAATCCATAGATGAAGCCGATCTGAAACGTGACAAGATCCCAGAGCCGACGATAGCTCCCACTTTCAGTACAGCCACCATTAACTTTCCGGTCAACAGATACATGGCCAATGTCATGTTCCAGTTGTTCGGCAAGGATGGGGTTCTGGAAAAAGGTGGGTTCGAAAGAAATGGTTACATCCATAAGGATGCATCAGCCTCCATCGTGCTCCTCGATGGCTTCGGAAACAGATCGGAACTTTTACACGAGGTATTGAGGGCGCATGACACACCAATAGACGCCGGAGCAATTGCTTTGGTTGTACAGCTCTTTTTCAGTCCGGACGACTTTAATCGGTTAACGAACTGGCTCCGGGATGAGATTCGGGCTGGCTACGAGAATTACGACGATCCGTGCTCTCCGATAGTTTGTATCAAGTTCGTGTGCTGTACGAAGATTGCTAATCCTTTCTTGGGTCCAAAATTCGGAACGATCCGAGTTAGTATTGATTAAGAGGAAAGCGTAATAAGAGGTAGTTTGTGCAACAGGGTTAAAAAATGGAGATATAAACTAGATGGCAAGTCGGAAATAACATCTTGCAAATCACTATGGTGCCTTTAAAACGAACTCATGAAAAGGACGAATGACCACTTTACTTCCCTTAAAGCTGCTATCACTCTCAGGGAATCAACATCAGCAAACTTTTCATTAATATGTACAACTAGTTTCACCTGTGTTCAGGGTGACAATCTCATTGATTCAAACACCATTCACAACTGAAATCTTTAGGTGGTAACCCTTTATTTTTGGGGGTTAATTAAATATTAACAAAAAATTTAAATTTCAAAACCAGCACTGTTACCTCTAGACAGGAGAGCGATTAAAATAGGAATAATAAAGTTAACAGGAAATTCAACCATTAACCATCGATAACTCTTGAATATGTTTATCGAAATATTTCGAAGGAGCATCAATCTGAATCCACCTAGGATAGCAAGTAAATGAGGAAAGATCAGGTACAGAGGGGAACTGTATCATCTGTGGCCAAGACGGGATAATTTTTTTTTTTGTTGACATTTTGGGAATAATTTGGTGTAATTCGCAAATCTTTTACGACTAAAAAATATTCGCAGTTAGAATATCTATAGACAGTAACAACCTATTTTATTCCAAAATACATTTATCTTAGCGGCTCAAAAACTGATTATATGTTACACCTGAAATTGAGGTGTCTCATTACAAACCATGCCTTTTAAGTTCTGAGTGGGGGTGCAAGAACCTGCATGATTTCATAACCGTCCCAAATCCTCCCCCCACGCTCCCCGCCACGTCCCTGTTTTCCTTACGGAATTTACAAGGACTTAGAAAGTTCCCTTGTGCTATTTTCCAGTTGCTTCGGCGAAAAAAAAAAGAAACTACAACCATTCCTTTCACCTAAGAATTACAAAAATATTGCAAATGTGATCTGCGCATTAAGTTTTATGCGTCCAATCTTCTGGAAAATGACGTCACGACGTTGAAACGATGTCATCACTGTTCTTCAGCTCTTCTCTTCCGATTGACTCGCGAACAGCTGTAGAAGATACTTCTTATCTCTGGATTCCTTGAGGATAGAGTAATAAAAATCTTTAGCATACGAATTTCAACTGAAATGAACATTCCTACATAAAAAATAGAACTGTGTTCCTTTGAAATAGACATCACCTTGTAACTTATGGTTTCGTACCAGTGAGAACTGTTTTGCAGCCTAAAATTCTAATTGAAGCCGTTACTCTGCATAGTAAGTGATAGCATGATGTTCGAAAACGGGTTTTTCCCGAAAATTTAAATAGCATTTCTGCAAAATACTCCATTAAACCAAGCAAGACATTTGTAAAAATTTCATGGAAACTTCCCCTTAAATTAGAGCCTTATTTCACCTTCTGCTATTCGAAGAGTTTTCACCTGTAGAAGAGGTTCACATACAGTGTCTACATAATTGAAACATCAGGTTTTCTACTCAGTATCACAATCCTAAGGAATCTTAACTCTTCTTAGCGAGATGGAGAAGTAAGCGCCTCAGTAGTCGAAGAGACATATTACCATGGAAAGTTCTTCTCGAAGACCACTTATCATTCTTCGGTAAACCTTTGCTATGGCATAGAAGAAGTATAAACTGAGACTGAAAAAATAAAAAAGCTATTTATCAGCAGTACATAAGGATATACTAACTGCCTGGAAAATTCGGCTGCCAAATAAAGACGTTATAAAAATATAATGTTCGAAGGAGCAGACTTCGTTTAAAGCGGAGTCAGTTGTTAGAATCAGCATCCTAAAATCTATTTTAAGGTGGGATTCAAAAACTAAAAAGTGCTTGAAACACACTATAAAACCAAAGTCACCAGCTCTTACCAAATGATGACCCCAAGAACAACAAGAAAGACAGGCGAGCCGAGAATTTGAAAGGTGTCACGAAATCCAGTAGGAAGAATGGACACAGTCCAAGGAATGATGTCATAAACTTCATTGAATCCACTGAAAATTCATTAAAAAAATTGTCAGTCGTTTAAAGCTTCTGCAATAACTCATTTTACAGTTGTATACTTGGTTGCCAAGCCTTTGAACAGGAATGATGCCAAGGGTGACCTCGTCATGACACAAACCTTGCTGCTTTTCAAATGTAAATTACTTTGTTATCACGCTAAATAGATACTGGTCTTCATCACAACAAGGTTGACTCAGCCTCAATCCAAATAAAAGGCTTGGCAACTAGGTACATAATTGTTAAATGGCCTATTAGTCGTAGCCGCTCTGCCGACAAAAACAACTGCAAACCTACCTAAATGGCCCATACAATTCTGACGGACGAATTCTGGAATGGAAATCACACAAGAGAAATTTTAGTACCTCTGGATGATAATCAGTGCAAAAGGATGAAAGGAAAACCGATGTTAATGAAAAGGACAATGAAATGGCACTGCGTATCGTCGCCTTTGTGCCATGAATCGAAAACACAGCGGTCAAACGTAGGGCATGCGCAGAAAGAAAGATCCGTTTTGACCGGCCGCGTGCCAATTTCCCGCTCGAAATTTTAAAGGAAAACACGACAAGCAACCGCTCTCACGTAAACAATGCGAAAAAAATCGAAACGTCCATAGAATGGATAACCCTAAACAGATATATACATCCCGTTAACAATTGCTAACGACTTCTCATTCCTTTATCAAAAGAGCCGTATTTTGAGTGAAGCGTTGTGTTAGTAAAAATTGCAGTAGACTTAAATCCGAAAAAGGGTTGGCAATTTTTTGAGGTGGAAAAATACCAGTGCATTGAAATTTCCTGATCACCTGCTGCAACAATTTTCGGTCAATCCGTCCACCTTGGCCAAAACACGAATTTCTACAAATAAAGAGCTACTTCATTTCACTTTCATATTTGATTCTACCATGTTTAGCTTCTTACTGGGTAACTCCATAAGCCACAGCAGCCAGGCAAAGAAGGAAAGTCCCGAGCAACAGAATCATGAAAAAATAGTTTGATCTCCCAGCACGGTAGGCCTTCTCCGCTGCTCTACAATTATAAAACACAGTCGCCTGAAAGAAATAGAGACTAGCTGTTTAAAACCATCTCGAAATGGTTCGTTTCGCCTAGGGTGCGTGCGCTAAGTCCGGTAATCTCTCGGAACTGCAGAATTTTTCACTTGATTATTGATCAAGGTATCTGACAGGGGCGTCTAAACCCTTATTTAGAATTTTGTGATATGCCAGGTCAGCCTAGACTAATGAACCCCGTTTTCCCGCCCAGTTTTTCCACCCAGTTATACTACCTATACTACTACAGTCACATCCATAGCATGCTCAGTAGGATCAGGGGATAACACAAAGAGGTGATTCCATAAACAGAGATCCCCCTCCCTTATCGTGTACCAAAGTGAACGCTGAAGAATCGGTCCCATAGTCTTCTGAGGGTGTGCCAAAGGGGGCTTCCCTCCCGGCGATCCTTGGAATCGAGGACTGAATTAGTCATCACGTCGTAATATCAATACATCTGATTGACTAAAACACGAAAGACACACCTGAGTGTAGTCTTAAAGATTCTAGTTTATAATTAAGAAAGCTTGTTCCAGGCGTGAAGTTAGTAAAACGGAGAGCGGTTATAGTAAATGACGTAATTAATCTCGTACCCAGATCCTACTTTGAAACTGTATCTTATAACCGCTTGGCTGTGAAAGATCTGGGTATGAGACTATGGCGGAATAGCAGCGGCGGAGGGAGGTTAGGGTCGCAAACGTAAAGTTCATTTCCCGACTCGACCCAGACCTTCCCCTATTTTCGATTCCCCACTAATGTCGCGCCGTTTAATATTGTGCTCTACGTTCTATAAACTGAACGCCTAGGAGAGGCTACGGTAAAGAGGATAAAATTGTCTGCCATCTTACCTTTTTGGCGTAGAAAGTAATTGGTAGCTTTATGATGGCCATGAGAGGCAGAAATGGACTGTACCACGTACCAATCCTACCAAAAAATGTAACTCTAAAATAATTCTGAACACTTACTGCAACAGACAGCGTTCAATGTTAAATCAAGGCTGTCGACATTTTGCTCAATTTTGACACCACAAACTGTTTTTAACACTCACCATATTAGAGCCTGACTATAAACAAGTTCAAGCACGTTAACTGGAAGAAAAAACTCAGGGCGGCCAACTTTTCTGCCCATGTCACATCCTAAACTAACGTGATCAGCAAATAACCTGAGGAAAAACTAACCGAAGTTAAGCGGACTAGAAAACAAACCTTTCACTTTTTCATTCTTAAGATCTCATGAGAAATTCTCCTTACTATCTGCCATACAAATCTTATGACGTTTGTTTGGGGAATTTGACATGGATCAACTAAAAATCCCAACAGTGATATCTCTCTTAATTCTCATCGCCTGTCCGCTTGATATTGTATGGATGTTATGAGGAGAAATTCTGTCTTGATCACTGGTGGGGGGCAAACATGGGGAAAATAAACTGAACTAAAAGCAAGATCCAAATTGCAAAAGCACATCTTAACTATTAGGTTAAAAATATGCATCATTTTTCAAGAAAAAACGCTCCATCACCTTCGAGGAGTTTGAACAGCAATTATAACCAACAGTGTGACGAAAAAGTCGGTCCACACCAACTTGTACATTTCTGCCGCAATGGCATTCTCCCAGCACTAATGGACATAAAAGAGCAAAAGTTAAAGGTTAGCCAAAACAAGCCACCCCTCGAGTGACAAACAGACAGAAAGATACACAAACCAAATAGAGAGACAGAGGACAGATATAAAAACAGATAGACAGAAAGACAGAGACAGACAGAAAGATACACGGGCAGACAGGAGGACAGTCAGATAGTCAAACAGATAGGTACACGCACAAAGAGACAAAAGGAACAAAAGGACAGATAGACAGACAGGACACTGCCTTAAGGAATTTACAACTGAATGGTGCAGTCACCTACCAACATACAGGTCTTGTTAATTCTGTTATACAAAGAGATAAGAAGAACTGCGACCGAGGCCAACTTTAAGAGAACCGTTCTGAAAAATATTTGAATCACAGTGGAGATGTTATATCGAGTAATTAATTACCTTTTCGATAACTACCGTTTTCGTTTTAAATTTATCAAACATTGTGGGACGCATGCACCACATACCTAGCCAAGTCCACGTTGACTCGGACTCGTGGGTTCCAATCCTCCAAGCCAGAGAAGAAGAAAAAGATAGAAGGAACGATAAATCCCAAGGCGGAGAGGGTGATTGGTGAAGCGTAACTCTTCCCCAACTGTATGAAATCGGTCATAAGCGACGCCTTGATATTAGCATTATCTTGGGAAGTCTGTGCCAAGTAACCAAAATAACAGAGGTGAAAAATTTGTGTCTACTCTCGCTAATGAGTATAACAGGAAACAAACATGACAATAAAAAGAATTAAGACTTTTTAGCTCCCATAATTGAAGCAGCGCTCTAAGTCCTCTAGCAGCTGCCTACCGCCCATAAAATATTTCTTACAGGGTGTTTCCAAACAATCTGTGCGATCACATTTAAGAAGCAAATTGGAGCGGCAACACTAGAAATTGAGAAAAAAACGAAAGACTTGCCAAGTGCAACACGGCCTCAACTGGCTTTCAAAAATTATCAGCCCATGAGGCGCAAAAAAACACGGATCTATATTGTTATGGATATTGCTAACACGCACAGCAAAAAATGTGAAACACCGCATCTTACCTCTATAGACACCTGAGAAGCCATGAAAATCAAATAAGCTGACAGAACTGAGAGTCCGAGCACCATAAGATTCACCATGAATCGTATTGCGTACAATTTGTATTTCTCCCTCTTAGTTCTGTTGGCCAAAGTTGCAAGTCTGAGGTCTTCTGCTATACTGGCCTGAAAAAAAATTGTGAAGACGTAACAAAGTGAATTTTTGGAAAAGAAAAATAAGTTTGTTCAGTTTGAGTAGACTCAAATACAAATAAAGTACTTAATTCAATCGTCGCGTGTCGCGTGTCGCGTGTCGGGAATCGGTAATCGAGAATCGGTAATCGAGAATCGGTAATCGAGAATCGGTAATCGAGAATCGGTAATCGAGAATCGGTAATCGAGAATCGGTAATCGGTAATCGGTAATCGGTAATCGGTAATCGGTAATCGGTAATCGGTAATCGGTAATCGGTAATCGGTAATCGAGAGTCGAGAATGGAGAAGCGAGAAGTGAGAAGTGAGAAACGAGAAACGAGAAACGAAAAACGATAAACGAGAATGAAGGGTGGAGAGTCGAGAAACAAAAAAAACGAGAAACGAGAATCGAGAATCGAGAACCGAGGACCGAGAACCGAGAAACAAGGATAAACGAGAGTCAGCTCAACTCTGGATACTCGATGCCTGTGAACACCGTTCATTATGTTATGTTTTCGAGTCGACTAAAGTATCACACGAATCACAACTATGGCAAACAATGCGCAATTCACAGACAATAATTGCTTGCCTTATGCCTAAGAATTTCTCATTGCCCTCCAATATTGATACATTTTTATCATTTGCTATACAATACTTAACTGAAAACAACCTGATAAAAGGGTGAATTAGCGGCGATTAAGAGGGAAGCCTCACCTCGATGTCTTTAACGAATCTCATAATCTGGAGCTTTGCGGCAGCTTGCTCCTCAATACACATATCCCATCCACCAAACACTTTATTAGAGTAAGTGTGGTAATATTTAATGCCTTCCTTCACGTAGCTCTCCTCAAATATCTGCGAAGCACTGGAAACATAAAACGCAGTAACAGCTTTCTTAAGGTTAAACCTTTACTTAAATTGTCTCAAGAAACAACATATACCGGAAACTCTCCTTTGTAAACCCTCTTTAGACCAGAGAACCCTAGCCAGGTTTTTTAAAGGGAGGGAGGAGGTTCACACTGTGTCAAAGAGAAGGTATTCACTAGTTTTCGCCACCTGAATATTGTAGGTTGTTTGCATAAAAAAGGCTTACAAAGGAAAGGGGTCATTACGGGCATCCCAGGACCTCTCTCCTCTAGCGACACCCTTGGACCCGCCTTAATCGAGTAAACTTTCTGTTCACAATTAGATACATCGTTTCCGTTTCATGAGGACACAACGGCGGCTGATAGATTAACATACAGAGCTAGTTAGGGAAATGAACGTCAGAGAGACGGCCGACTGAAGTGACTCCGCCCTTCTGAAAGGCGATAAGGAAATGAATTTTTCCACCTCTGCTCACTTAAAAATAAGCAAGCAAGAAGGAAGGTGTAGACCAGTTGAATAACTTTTGACAGTATCCATCCTTGACCCCTAAGAGTGACTAGTATTTAATTTCTCCTTACAATATCACCTCTGAATCACACATCAAGGTCATGAGAATAAAGGAAATGATCACCAACTAAAGAAGCTCTTGATTGTTAAACAAATTCTCCTTGTCAGTTCCTCAGAAATTGTATGGTGCCCATTATGGAGAATATGCCTTCTCATGTGGGACGTAAAGGGTTAAGACTAAACCAACCCTTACCTCCATAATATAGAGAGCAGAATCACCGCAAAGCAAACGCAGCCAACCACAAAATAAGCGAGCGGCATGTTGTAGAAAGTTTTTTTACTTCCTATGACCAAGACGTTATTAGAGTAGCTTCCATAAAACATGTACGTTGTGTTTATCCATCCCTACAGAGGAAGAAAGAAAATCTCTTTGAGCAATTTTAATATGGATACAAGTAATAGCTGTTTTTGCTAGTTTGTAATTCATATGTACGAGGGATCGTTTTAAATGCATCGAATTTCTAACTAAAACGAGTATGTTCAGAAATGCATGCAGTAACGAAAATGCCGAAAACTCTTCAATTCCGCCAGGCTGATTTCGCTTGGACGAATTGGAATAGAATTCGCCAAAATCGTAAAATCCATGAACAATCACTCAGTTTGACGAAATTTCGCCAAATCAGCCATTTTCGTTACTGCGTGCATTTCTGGACATAAGCGACTACAACGAGCAATTAAATTGTTCTTGAATCCTTACTTAGTGAAAATGAGTTTTTAATTCAAAATGGCTGCTTTAAACACAAATTCAATTGCTCTGTTGTTTAGAATAGGTTAAAAGGCAAAGTTTGCACTAGAACCCAGTACCCCAATCAGGCGGAGCTTATTCCGGATAACATGTAACATGCAGCGACCAGGACTATCACTACCTCCCCCTAGATGGGATGCTAATCCATCGCAAGGTTACCCCCTTGCATTTCATCAGGCTTCCCTAACAATTCACCAGCACCCATTTGTACTCTTGTGTGGAGAGGGTCACTGTGAAAGTAAATGTTGATGTTTTGCCCGAAGCCAGGTCTCGACCCGGAGTCTAGCGCACAAACCGTAAGGCCATTGCGCCTTCCTCGTTGTTTTAAATAAGGAGTCCCTCCTATACTTACGATGCCGGAAATGAAGTCAGACAGAAGCTGCGGAAAAGGCTTGTTTGAATACGAGGAATAGTTATACGGTTTCACCAAATTACACTTTAGATCATTATCTTCTTCCTCGCTTTTGTTGAGCAAAACTTCCCTCTTCTTCCTTGCTAGTGAAGATGCTGTTACATTAGCTGGAACAACCGTGGACGAACTTGAGGAGTTTGAAGTAAAAGCAGACGCGTTCTGCGCAGTCATTGTCAACGGGAGTTCCTCTCCTGAGCTGAGGGCTTGAGGAATGATCACAAAACACAAGGTAAGAATGAAGACGTAAATGTTTAACCAAAGGAGCCACTTGAGAAATGTGAAATATGATAGAACACCATTTCCGAATGATCCTGTAAAATAACACAAAAAAACCTCTTAATTAACAAAATTCAGTATTGTACCCGTCATTGTATCCTTGTGGGATATAATTTTGCAGGAGATTTAGTTTCGAATCAAAACTTTTTTTGTTTTGTTTTGTTTTTCTCTTTTATACGATTCAAAATGGCTTTGGACTTAAATCCTTTACGAAAAATGGCACCGTCTCCTTTTCACCTACAATTTCTCAAATATTCTGTTAGGAAAGAACTAAAAACAGACAGATTGAAACTAATGCTTAAAGTGATGGTCTTGCAGGTCCAGAAATCTTTTTGATGATGCAAGAAGATGGACTGGTAAACACACCTTCTATTTCCTTGAAGTGTCCTCTCCATAACTCATAAGAGTTTATGAATTCCTTGCAGGTTTCGTAACTTTGTTTCAACGTCTAACAAACAGACAACACGTTTTCAGGTTTAAAATATCGACATTCATCATAATCAGAAAAACGATGGCAAAAGGACCTACAAGAAAAGATTTACGACCCGTACTCTCTCCCTTCGAGGAGCGTTTCATAAACCAACAAGTAATAATAATAGTTACCCAAAGTGTATAGTTTTTGACGCAAACGTAAGAATGTAAATTAATATTCGGCTACTATGCCAAGCAAGTTACTGAGAACGCGCAAAATATGCCACAGTATTTCACTGTAAAACAAGGCAAAAATACGGAGCAAAAAAGTAGTCGTACAGAAAGATCCAAATTTTGATTTTTTTTTAATTTTCTTTTTCTACGCTTGCCTTTTAAAGAAACGAATTTTTAAGCACTACAGATTTTTCGGTCGGTTACAAAGAACTCCTAAATGGTTTCGTTCGCGTTGTTCTAGTCTTTCGCAATACGATGCACAGATAAAGCCGCAAGACTGAAGTAATTCGCAAACTTAAATCAAAATACAAAAATGAAATTTTTCTCATTGTTCTTGCCTTACCTGGCCCCTTCGGGGCTCGGGAAAAGACTATCACAAACTATGTGCTCGTATTGTATGTTCAACCATCGAATAAGGTGTATTAATGTGACGACAAAAGTAACGCCGAAAGAAAATACAGTAAATCTTACCATACAGTAAATCTATACTAAATCTTACTATACAGTAAATCTTAGTTATGGTTCTAAAACACTATTCCATCGTGTGTAATTACATTTCCTGTTACTCTTGTTAATATATTCCACACATGTGTTAAGTAGAACATGTTGTGTCACTAGCTATTGCATTTTGGATGACAAAGTCATTAGCTTTTATTGAAAAAATAAATGCATTTATGTAAAAAAGGGCAAAAAATGATAATAAGTTAGAGTCCTTCTACATAAAAGGGATGGATGTGAAAACGCATTTAAACAGACTAGGCTTAATTGCACTGAATAAATGCTGCCTCTCCAACTTGGTACAGTACGTGTGCAATAGCAACTTACCATAGAAATTCGAAGTCGCAGCTCTGTACAAGTGGAAAGTCCTTGCGATCCATCTGCATCTAAGGTACTTCTACAAAACAAGAGCGGATGGGAAACTACCATTTTAGTCTACATAATCTCTAAATAAACTTCACTCATAAACGAGTAAATTTTTTAATCCTACATGGGGTTTGCGAACATCAAAACAAGGGTTTACAATCTTTCTAAAAGACCTCTGACAGCGTAGAAACATAGCGCTCTCTGTAATTATATTTCAACCGTAATTGTTTCTATTTCAAGTTATTTTTCTACCTTCTCTGCCTCAGCTTCTTAAGACGCACAGTCAAAGGTTCAGTTTGTTCAAATTTTCCTTTCCGCGACATTGTAGCCTCATCCTCCTCCTCCATATCAGATAAATCAGAGTCTTCACTATTCACGGCTTCGTAAGCGTGTTCTTTTGAATGTACCCTGTCTTTCATTTTTTTTCTGGCGTGGCGCTTCCAACGCGAAAGTTGACGACTTGGTAGATTTTTTAAAAGGTTCGACTTCTTAGAGGCAGGATCTTCAACTAAACGAGAAAAACAAGTTATCGCAATGATATTCGGTCTCTAATGAATACTAGTGAAACTTTAATGGGTTTTAAATTTCAAATGCTACAGAGCTTTGACGAGTATCTTAGCAACCTGCTTAACTGTTCCTTTGAAAATTGTGATTCCATGATAAATAAGTTGAGTTGTTGCACTCAAAATGAATTTCAGTTTACGTTTTAAACATCGCCACTTGCTGTCTGTGACTTCGGCTGGCCTGGCCCGCTGTACAAACGATCGATGTCCTTTCCATTATTCCTCAGGTAAGGCTGCATGCGCATACTAAATTCACAAAGGTAGTGGAGCTGGTGTAATTAATTCCCTAGTACCTTGCCAGGGTCCTTCCACTCCCCGCTCTTCTCCCTATATCCCTTCCTTTCCTCGCCTTTTCCTTCCTTCCATCCACGCTCCCTCCCCTTCCTCCTTCCTCGTTACTCTTCATCCGACGTATACCTTGTCATTCACTCTACACTCCCTCATCCCACTCTTCTTCCCTAAAATATTCCACCCTCCCTCCCTCCCTCCCTGAGTCCATTCGTCGTGACTCTGTTCTTTTTCGTTACTGAAATAATTCAAATATTTGTTTTTCGTATTTTCCTTTTTTTCGATGTTTTTGTTGTTTCGTTTTTAAATTCGTTTGTTTTGGCAAGCTTTTATTGGTGTTCTTAACCGTCGGTTTGTTTATTCACTTAATCTTTAAATATTCCATGTTTAAGAATGGACGACAAGTAAACAGGTTTGTCTATTGTAAACTTCAAATAGCAAGCATTTCTAGGCGATAAGTTTCTTTTTTTCTTCGTTTTCATTCTTTTGGTGAAATTTAACTATCGCAAACGAAGGGTACATTTACCAGAAAATGAATAAACATCGTCTTAAGCAAAGGTAAAGTTTCCGCACAGTCCCATACTATTGTAAAACAAATCTGTTTTCCCAAGGGCAATGTATTTTTTTTGTCATTGTTTTCTCTGTTCAAGAACTGAATACATAATGTGGTAAGGGGCTATGCGGAAATTTTACTTAAGCAAAATATCAAGTGACGAGAAAATTGCAATTACTCGTTAACAAGCTTTTTCAAAATAAATTTCTGATAAACGTTCCTCCTTCAGTTATCTTACAATCGTTTTATCAAAGAGTAATTTAGGCACAGTAAGCTAACGAGCGATTTTATCTTCCGATAAATCAGTGAACATCCTTTAATGAGCGTTCTCACCAAAAATTGACGTGCAGTCAACCAAACCACGTTTCTATCGGTTCTGTGTGCGTCGAAGCGGAAAGTACCATAACATTTAAAAATTTAGGCTTAAGGTGAATAAACTTTACAACGCCCTGAAAAACCGCTGTGAAAACGAGGAAAGCTGAAGTTTACACAATGGCGGTTACAACTTATGAAATTATAGAGCGCTTACTGTTAAGATATCTAAATACCACTTTAAAGCGTTCTTAACTCCTCGTAGTGGGATATTGAACGTACATTTTAACAACATTTATATTTAACCGACGTCAACAAAACGGTTAACATTTCCTATCGCATTTTACGTACCATAATCCATCGTTAATTGCGTCTCGGGGCCGATTGGAAATTCACGGCTCGTTTCCTTTGGAGTTTCATCCATTTGTAGGTCTACGTTATTAATATTTACGTGGCTTTGGAGTGACGTTTGTTGGTAAAAGCTGCCTTACTGACAGTTTGAATTTGCTTAACCGTCCCGTAGTTGGTATCAAAAGTCAATGAAAAGCCTTATAACTTTTCAAATGAACAAGCAAACGTACAGAACTGATTCACCCCACAAGAGACAAAATTTGCATAAAATTTTTCCGTGTACGATGAAAACGCTAGTAGTGCGTGGCGTGTCGCTCCATTCAAGCGAAAAAAGCTCATTCTAAATGTACCTATTACATAAGCAAATGATGGCCTCAAAAATACTGCGGAAACCCGCCGAGAATCAAATTCGAAAATTTTCTAGCGTTCTCAAGTGCTTTTTTGTCATCATGTTTGTTTTTAGGTAACGCAACGGCAAAGAGTCGCGCAACGCTGAATTCCATGCCAGCGCGCAAAAACTTAGATTTATCACAAATCAATGCTAAATGACCACGTGAATTTCCCAGTGAGGCACAGAGTATAATTATTTCTTGTTAACTGATCCAAACTTCCTTACAGAAAATCCAACTGGCCTTAAAAAGATTTTGAAAAAGAAGCGTATTGGACGTAAATTGTAATAGAAATATTTTACAAACACTTATCAATTTAAAGGAAACTCAATGAGAAATATATACAGTTGCTAAGTTTCTACCATTATTCCAAAGAATTCAGGGAAATTATGCAAGCAATTTTCTCACCTATGCACGGTGCTGACCATTCTTCGCTCACAGCGAAAGTAAAAACTACCATGAGCCATAGAAATATCCTTCGAAACAATTAATTTTTACCCCAATCAAAAGTAACGGTTGTTGTCTCCAAAATTAAACTTTTATCCAGTAGCTGAAGGTCGCTATCAATTATAAAATACCTGCCCTCTGAGCAGAAATAAATCTTAAAGCGATAGTAATTTCTTCAAAAAATATTTCCAAAATCACACTTGTAGATTTTTGACACCAACATGAATTTGTTTGACTAGAAACTCTAATTATTATCATTTGCTACCTTCCGTCCAATTAGAGAGAGTGACTAATTATCTTTTCTAATTACTCAGAGGTTGATGCCACGGGTGATTTTTTCAGATCTCAAATTTTTGAAATGAAGAAAAAAGAAGATCAAGCTACTTTGCGAACATTCTTCGAGTAAAGCCACTTATTATTTATTAGTGATTTCGCTGTGTTTCTCGAGGCCTAAATCACCGTGATTGAAAACAGGATAACTTTGGCTGGTTGAAGTACTCACCGAGAATGTGGGTGGGGTTTAACGTTCAAGGCTTTAAATTCACATCACGAGTGACCAAGATATAATTTCTTTTCACAATATCAATACATGTGAATGTGAAAGCGATCTTCGCAGCAATGAACACTACTTGAGCAGTAGTGAAAATAAAACCTGAAGAAAATTCAGACCTGTACAGGATTTAAACCCATGACCTCTGCGATACTAGTGCAGTGCTCTACCAACTGAGCTAACGAGCCAACTAGGAGCTGGTCATTATGTTGGTTCCAAATAAACCCGAGAGGTAAAGAATAAATTACTGTGAATATATGAAAATAATATGTAAACTACGGATAAAGAAGTGAATATGAAAGCAATCTTCGCAGTAATGAACACTACTTGTGCAGTAGTGAAAATAACGCCTGAAAAAATTTCAACATAATGACCAGCTCCCAGTTTTGGAAATCAACACAATATCAAGTGTACAAGTAATGACAATAGAGATAAACATTAATTAGGAGATTATTAGTGGATCCAATGTCTAGCTTTTGGATCTAAATTCATAACAACTGTTGTATGGCAGACGGAAAGGGGAATCACTAAAGAGACCTTCAACCTTTTTTTTCTCGATATTTTCGTGATATAAAAATAAAACGAATGCTGAACCAATGAGAACGTTCATAAAAATAGCATACTTACCACTATCGGCGTACACGAAACAGTATACTTACCACAATCGGCGTACATAAAACAGCATACCACAATCGGCCTACAAGGTGTCTAAATGCTGATGTTGGATTATTGCGCTATTGCAATAATTTCATGGTTGGATCTTCATCCATTCTCTTTCTCTTCGTATTCATTTATTTTACTTTCATACTATGCCTCGTCGTTCAACTCAGCCAAAAAGCATTACTGAGAATCGAATTGCGATCAACGCCAACGTGTACACCGAATCCCGACCAACCCCCGACAATTTTGCCGAAAGTTAGCGAATGTTGACCGATGTTATTCAAAAGCTGGTCGTTTGTCTCCCGATTGTTACCGACTATTGCCGGTCTATTGATAAACAGGATCCACAGAGAGAACGATTATTTGTATGTCAACATGTAAAGATGTAAGTATGTATGTGTATGTAAAATTTAAGAGTACGTAGGATTAAAAAACGTAATGTGAATGAAAATGTAAGATTTAACGAAAATGAACAGAAAAGCGAAAAAAAACCACTTGATACAAAAACATTTGGGCAAACATTTGGCCAACAGATGGCAGACAGTCAGTCAACACTACTAGACATTTAGCAGGCAATTTTCCAATCTTCAGTCAAAACATATCATCCGATTTCGAACGGTTTCGTCCCTTTTCGGAAGATGCGTCTCACTCGGGATGGTTCCGTCTAATTAAGGACAGTTCATTCTAACTTCGCATTGTTCCGACTACTTGTTCCGTTCAACTTCGAAAGTTTCCGTCAAATTTTGGACGATTCAGTTTAATTTCGTGTGGTTCCGTCCATTTTCGGACAGCTGTCACTGGACTAACAGCTGACTAACTGTTGGTCACAGCGTCCTTAGATACAAGTCCCTTGATTCGTAAATCCTCTTAGGAAATGGCCAAAAAATAAAATAAAACCAACGAACTTGTCGGTGAAAATTTATTTTTGCACACTTAAATTCATCGCAATATTTAAACAAAGGGAAAAGAGGAAAAAGTAATCTTCCAAAATTTAAATTAGAAAAAAGTGAAAAATATTCATTCCAACATAAAAAACTAATTTTAAATAAAGTACGAAAATAAATATTACAAAGGATGTGAGCGAATTCTTCTCAACAAACTAGTTTAATGCAAGATTAAGAATTCTACATTAAATTTGGAATTTCTTTTGAACAAAAGAAATGGTAGTTCTTTTGTTAAAGAAATACAGCTATGTTAAGAACACCTTTACAAGTACTCTGTACTCAAGTGCCTTTAGGTAATTGATGTTTGATAATGAAAATTGAAACCATGCGCTTTAAAGTTTTGTTGTTTACACAAACTATATGTGTAACAACCTGAGTTACCCATACCATTGCTCCATGTTTGGATCGTTTTGGTTATAATAATTAAAAACAATTGGCAGCTAAATTTACTGTAAAAGTTGTCAATATGGTAACTAGCACTCAGAAGTTATGTGGCTCAATGTTATGCCTTTACTGCTTTGACTTAATGGCTTGAAATGAATATCATGTAGTATTGCACAAAAAGTCCTTTGTCATTATATAGCTGTTGATTATCATTTCATTCTAGGCAACTAAATTTTTTTACTGGCAAACATTTTATGTTTTTTAGGTCCCCATTCAGTGACTTTGAAATAAGATGAACATGGAGCTTTGATTACTTTTATAACAGTTATTTGAACTCCTTCCTAATAGTACAACACCTAGCTGCTATTTTAAGGACAAATCTGTGGCACAGTCCTTAAGGAGAAGGTATCTTTCCTGAGTATCCTGTGTCTATGATGACAATTGATTGGGAGGTAGGTGTCCTGTGTCGCCCATACTTCTGACGCTCACCCTTCCATTGGGCCTTATAGTCACCCAAGTTATTCCACAGTGCCCTATGCTCATACGAAGCCAACCCTCAGGTGGAAACTGAAGAACCCTTATGAACAACACAAAACAGAAAAAATGGTAAGTTATAATAAATCATTAGTTTGTTTTTCCCTATTACTTAATGGTATTATTTACCCTTTAAACCCTAAGACTGACTAGCATCTAATTTCTCCTTACAATATCACCCCTCAATCACATATTAAGGTCATGAGAATAAAGGAAATGATCACCAATGAAAGAAGCTTTTGATCAGTAAACAAATTCTCCTTGTCAGCACCTTAGGAAATGTATAGAGAACAGTATGGAGAATATGCATAATGACATTAGGGTGTACAGGTTTTAAAATGAAGGACACTGTTTGACTACCTGCTACATGTATCTAGGTGGCATTGTATATTAAAACATTTTGATTTCTGTGTCACTTTACCTGCAAACAAAGTATCTGATGACATTGGCATGGCACACATAGATTTCAACACTGTTTCCAACTTGATCAACATCTGCCCTGTGGATGTGTTTCCTGAAGGCAGCCTCAATGCGAGGACCATCTTGGAAAAACTGCTGTTCAAAAATGGAAATACCACAGAAATAGTTAAATCCTTGTTGTAGATTCAGGCACTACAGAACGGTAACTTATCATTTAATAAATAAGTTATTATCACTGTTTTCTTCCCAGTACAGAATGTAGTGGCTCACTGATTAGTAGTCTAATGAAAAATTTTTGTATTCTGAGATATGTCTGAGCCTAAGCCAAGATCAAAATGATGTGTTCTAGGGAAAGACATCATAATACTTATGTGCCCAGCGTTCCTAGCTGCAACCTTTTTGGTCACCTTGCAAGTAGTAAAAATGTTGGTAACTAAATTAGTAGCAAAGTCCACAATTTGGTGACATGTTTACTGATGTCAGTAAAAAAGCTGTTTGCTATTTAACCCTTTACACCCTAATATCAGTGTGTACATTCTCCATACTGTTCCCCATACATTTCTGAGGATGCTAGTAAGGAGAATTTTTTTTAATCAAGAGCTTCCTTAGTTGGAGATCATCCCTTAATATTCTTGTGACTTTAATGTTTGATTCAGGGGTGATATTGTAAGGAGAAATTAGATGCTAGTCACTTGAAAGGTTTAAAGGGTTGAAACTTGTTATGATTTCATGACACACTGACCGTTTTGTCTGGTCTCCAGTTTTTTGACGCAGGATCAGGGGGAACTGGAGAACCCTCTCGTAAAAAGCCACATGTCTCTCTTGGCACCTCTGGCAGATATTTAGCAATGATATCAGCTGTTTCCACAGCTCGTATTAAGGTAGAACAAACCAATTTAGTGTATTTAAAGTCCAGGTCTTTAAGACGCTGGCCAGTAATGTTTGCTTGCTGCCTGAAAAAGTAACAATTAATCAATCAACTAACTTTCTCAAGATTAACAGTCTAGTTAAAGATTACCAAGTTATCCAAAATGCTCACAGCTTGCAAATCAGGGGAAAGAGAAGCTTGGTGTGTTCTTCACTCCAACCGGTGATCACTATTTTCTAGGTGCAGCTACTAACACATAATAGTGGAAATAACCCCTTTACACCCTAACATCAAAGTGACTAGCATCTAATTTCTCCTTACAATATCACTACTGAATAAAACATCAAGAACAGGAGAATACAGGAAATGATCACCAACTAAATTCTTGATTATCAAACAAATTCTCCTTGTCAGCTCCTTGGGAAATGTATAGAGAACAGTATGGAGAATATGCATACTGATGTTAGGGCATAAAGGGCTAAGTCGTGAATTCCACAGCAACACAAGGAAATAAACAGTTCTCAGCGGTATTTTAATGATGGGAGGGTAAAGACAACTGCAGACTGTAAATATCCGCATTTATGGCTCATTGGCTTAATTTTCAATTTTTAACAATTAGTTTCCCCATTACTTCATCTCCTACCTTCCTAGGTCCGTCAGCCTTTTATCATCATCATTCTTGGCGTCCTCGTGATACTGCCCGTGCCTTATGAAGACAAGATGGCGTACAGCTGTGGGCTTGAGCTCTTTAGATTCCTCGTCGATGCTACCGTCATCTCTCTTCTTAGGCCTCTTTGTGCCTTTCTCGCACATGTCCCAGTTGGAATCCCATCGAAAACCCGTCGGTTTGTAAAGAAGGCGGTGTTCGTATTCGTCAGGAGGGCTATATTGCGTTCCCCCTCCACTGGCATGTGCGGGATTTCTGGTCCCGTTAAACAAGATATAAGCTCCTGAAAAAGTTACCGCTGCCGAGGCAACTGCTGCGAATCTTGAAAATTTGCCTAACGCTGCCATTTTTCGCATAAATTTAATACGAGTTCAAATAAACCGGCGGACGCTGTCACTCCTCGATATCTGAATATCATATTTCTGAGCGGTAAAACTCAAGGAAGGCTGGGTACTAGACATTAGTAACGCCTGACAGTTTTCACTTATCCTTCAATCTTGTGATAAACGTGTCACCGTACTAGTTTTTCTCGGTGGCAAATATTTTTTCAATGGCTTCAAATCTACCCGTAGAGAGCAGAGATCTTCTCCAGCCTCCATCAGAAGAGTTGGCTCAAGGTATGACTGTTATGATATTCATATGATCGGAGTATTTTTACTATGAGGACAGGTCTTTAAAATACGACCTGTCACTTCCCAAAGGTTATTAATTTATGCGACGAACAACCCTTGAAACAATTACCCTCTCTTTAAAGGTTTAAAAAAAGTAAGGCTGTAAAAGATTCCTGCGTTTTCCACGTTCATTCACTGACCTTAACTGTGAATTAGGGATCGAAGCCCCCTGTAACCAGTTGTCACAACCAAGACCTCCATTGATAGTAATTCTCCTTACTGTCAGCCATACAGTTTTTATGATGTTAGTTAAGAGAATTTGGTATTAGATCACGTAATAATCCGCTATTTGATATTTTCTCTATTTTCTTCCCTAGTCTGCTTGATATTGTATTGATATTGTAAGGAGAATTTCTGTCTTGGTCACTGCCTAGAGCGAAAGGGTTCAAGATAAGTTACCTTTTAACTTGGCTCTATTGGTTTGATTACTCTTTCATTCCCAGGATCACAAATACAATTCTCCTAACTGACTGACATGCATTTAATACAATTTTAGCTCTGAGAATTTGGCTTTGAATCAAGAAATATTTCAAACTTGATGTTAATTTTACTCCCATTACCTGCTTCACCTTATTGCGAGGAGAAACTACTTATTGTTCACTCTGATAACAAGTGGTTAATGAGGATAATTCAGGCAAAGAAAAAATCTTTCTGATTCATGCAGATGAATCATGCAAGGCATTATGAGGAGAATATTTCATACCAGTGGATAAATCTCGGTCTTGGCATCATGTTAACATTCCATGCAATAATATTTTAACATTTACCTCAATATATAGGTGTTTTTTTTTATATTAGAGGCAGTTAGACTCCAACCTTCCCCTTTCCCCCTTTCACGGTCTCAAAGCCAACTGAGTTCAGTAATACATAAGCCACATTGCAGTCAATCTAAGAGGCAGCTTGTTATGTGCCTAGTAAACACCACCCAAAGATGCATCATTTTCATCACAAAAAACTGTTTATTATCAGTCAGTTCTATGCATTTCATCTTCCTTTGTTAACAATCCATCCTTTTTTGTTAGTTCTCAAGGATGGTTTATCCAAGAATTTTTCAAATGTGGAAGTTGAAGTAGTTGATTGTCCAGATTTGAGAGAGAAACCATGGACACTGGCTGCTCCTGGTATGATGTGAACTTAAATTACCATACAAAACAATATTGACTGAATGACTATTAACAGCTTTTTAAAACTTAGTGACACATTGAGGCATTAATTAGTAGTACTTTACAATGGAAAACATTACTTTTTATATTAAGGTATTTGTGGCAGGGTCAGAATTGCTGATGTTGGTGGAGTGCCTTACCTTATACCTCTCCCAGACCTCTCCAAGGTAAACTGCTCAGTTGCCTTCATGAAATTTGAATATTCATGAATCATTCAAAGAAGCATAGATTATTTGGTACTTAGTTGCCTGTAAAGAGATCTGACCAAGGGGAGTATGTGCTAAATACACTATTCCTGTTTTTTAGTTATACAATTTTGATGATGTAGCAAAAAGCTCAGATCTTCCAGGAGGATTTGTTATTGGTGCAGGAGCTGGAAGCAGCAAGTTTGTTGGAGTGAACTGTGAGGTAAAACTCAAATGTTCACTTAACCCTTTATCTCCCATGAGTGACCAAGACAGAATTTCTCCTTACAATATCGATACAATATCAAGCAGAAAAGTAATAAAAATAAAGAAAATATCATTTAAGGGATTATTGGTTGATCTACTAACACATTCTTGAAACTAACACTCACTTTTGCTTTGTATCCCCTTCCCCTCCCCCCATGTTACTCTCTGAAGTTAGCAGGCAGGTTTGAGTAATTCAGTATAAAGATATAACAAGTGTGACAATTAGAATTACTGTACTGCTGTTTGAAGGGATCACGTATAGAATTACACATTGACAACAACAACAATCTTCATTTCAGTCTTAAAATAAAAGTTACAGTTAGTTTGGTCCACAGATAGCTAGTGCTGATTTAAGTGGGCCAGTCTTCAAATTCTAATGGAGATCTAATAAAGAACAGAACCAAAAAAGGATATAAAAAAAAGATGGAAAATGAGTTACTGGAAGACTTAGATATGGAGAGGACTTAAACAGGCATTCTTAATTACTTAAGAGATTTTACTTTTGGAATGATGTTGTGTATGCCAAGAGAGGAATTTTCTCTCTCCAAAATACTGAACAATAAATATTGTTGTTTTGAATTTGAAAGTTTGTTTTGGTAGCTTCCTAAGAGACCATCGGTTTCTCATCTTATGGTCTAACAGCAATTCTTGAGGGACAAATTTATTTTTTGTACCACAAGGTTTCAAAGTTTTATGTAGAAAATATTAGAAGTAGTTATTGTAAGTCAAATGACATTAATCATTATAGAAATGCTTTGATCAAAAACATGGGTTATCACTGATTTATGATCATCATTATAAAGTTCTTGGAGGTTTAGCTTTTAGCTTGCCCAGCCCACAAGTTTCACTAGTGTTATAAATGTGTTATAAATGTCTTCCAGATGATGGCAAACTTGGTCACCAACTCAGAACAGAAGGGAATCATTGCAACAAAAATTGCTAAAGTGAATGAAGAGGTAAGTTTCTATTATTTGTAGGTGTAACAAGCAAGAAAGTGGATTTTTTTAACTCCCATTCAAAAAGTGAGAGGAAAGAGGTGATCTCCAAGAAGTGTGCACCACCAAAGAAACTTTTTGTGATAATAATATGTGATATATGAATTGTGTTTTTGTTTCAGAATGGATCCTTTGTCCTGGAAGATTACAAATGTGGAGAGTTTAATTTGTTGGGTAATTTTCTTGTTAGTGATGGAAAACCAGGAAAGGTTTGAAAAGTTCGTGACTTTTTTCAACTTTCGCAAAAAGATCCTAATCGCTAAATCAATTACAAAACACAATATAGCTTATGCTTTTAGCAGAGACTTCTTTCATCGCTTTAAATAGAGATTTACGTTTGTTTCTTTTAGGTTCTGAAAGTTTGTGCCAGCAAAAGGACTGGAGATGAGAATTTTGTCACGTGCATGCGAAACACCCTGGCTGGTCGCTATGGAGACCAACCAGTGGGAATGGGTGGAGTGTTTTTAATCGAAAAAGGAAAGGCCAAGATTCATGTTATGGTACGGTTATGGTAATATTTGTTTTTTACTGAAGGTCAAACGGAGATAGCTCATAATCAGAATCTAGTACTTTCCAAGGGTCTGGTTATTTGAAAGCGATGGAAAAGGATGGGTGTCTTAGAAGTCAAAATCAAGAGCAGCCCACAAAGTGAGAAAAGAAGAACTCTTAATGTGCTTAAATTTCCCGGTGATCACTCGCGCATTTTTATGAAGTGAACAAAGGTTTATTGTTAGGGGACAGATAGTGGTGACAGTCGAAAGCGTGCACCTTGTGGTTATAGGTAACGTCGCCTCCTTGCGCGTCCACTTCAGGAAGTTAGAAAAGACTGTCATAATTAGGAAACCACGGCAGCTCAAACCTAAATAACTTCGGAATTCGAATTCATATATGAAATACTTTCTAAATATAAACGAAAGATAAAATCATTCTGAACTGACTGACTAACTGACTTACTAATCTTAAAAAAACTAAATTCTTCATAACAATACTTCAGGGCGACGGAACTTGGGGTGACCAGGCGAGGGAGCGAAATACCTGTATGACAACGAAAGAATAGGGAATTTTGAGGATAATCTTTAAAATTCATCGACCCCTAAGATAAACGACCAATAGGCAGACGATATTAAAATCTGAGTGCAGATTTTATTTCAGGCTTTTAAAAACTTCTTAAGACGTTTTTATTGAAAAATTCTATAACTGATTTTAAGTCTTTTTTTGGTCTGAATAGCCCAGATTTTCCCAAACCCCACTCAAGACAGACGCAGATGTGAATAATTGGCTCAAATTCTATGAGATGAGTGCCCCATTGGTTTGTGTGGGAGTCTTGGAAAGTCACGATCCTGTGAGTGTTCTTTTCTTTAATTTGTTGTCATTATAAAGAGAAATCCTACTCAGTAATCTTCGTTTTTTAAAATATTTTTATGCTATGTTTATTGAGTATTTGGCATGAGTTCGTCAATACCCTCAAAGATCATACGTCACGACATTTTGAATATTTTTTTTTTTTTTGCGCCATGCAAAACGTCTTAAAGCTACCTTCTATGTGAAGAACACTGCCAATATTTGTCAGATAAGGAAAAGCCGTAACAGGTCATTGTTAAAACCAGGATGGAAAACAGTATGGAAGATTTAAACGGATTGAAAACCAACTAGAGAACAATTCAGTTCAGGGCTTCAAGAACTGTGTCCAAAGGTTCCTTTTCACCTTAACAGGATTAATGTACGCGACGTTGCCAAAATGCTAGTGTGGACGAAGGATACAATTCCTTACCGTAGCGAACTTTCTCAAAATCTTGTCATTTTGTGTTCAGGGTCTGGACTTGCGCATTGAACACTTCCACTGCTTCAGTGATCATGGAGAAGGAGGGCATTACCATTATGACGTCACACCCGATGACGTGCAATACACTGGGTTCTTTAACGTCGCTGAGAAAATTTACAGAATAGATCGACCGCTGACTACACACAATGTTGGAAGAGACTGAGGAATGGCCTAAGATCACTATTCCATATAGTGGCTAAATTTTCAAATAATTGAATATTTAAATCTGCGCTTGAAATTTTACACAAGCCCCATTACATTTTAATGTATTGTTTTGGGAATCTAACAAGATTAAAATTAGCATGGTATTGTACAGGTGAGCAAATATAATTTAAAATCTAAAAGAATTAAAGAAATTTCTACGGTTGCACTGGGGGACGCGTTGTCGTAATGTTAGCGCGCTGGATACTGGGGCTAACGCAAACAAAGGAGCATACAAAAATTTTTCCTTTTCCATGTTTAAAAACACAATTTCCTCTCTTGAAAGGATCTATTTTACTAAGTATTATTTTATGGCTTAGGCTTGTGGCCGATATAACGCGCGCTCTGATTGGTTAAGAGCGAGATCAGAGCAGGGCATTATACAGTGGTAATGCCCTCGGGCCGGTTATGGATTGTGCAAACTAGAAAAAGCGCAAAATGTTAAACAAGTACCACGGCGGTTATTTTCGCTGTCTGAAAATCCGAGCGCATGAAAACGATGAAGGCCGATTGACAGCCAGAGAGAATAGACTCATTTTGATACAAACAGGTAAAGTTTTAGAAGAGCAGCGAAGGTACTATTTTAAATTAATTGTTTTAAATTACCTCGCTATCTCTTGGTCAACACGGCGAGGCCTCAGTTTGAAATTTTCCCGTAACGACCTCACTCTTGGTTGTTAAGTAGTAAATAATGACTTATTAGGACTGAATTTGAACGAAATGAATTGTGAAAGTAATTTGCTTTGTAAGTGGTATATTGCCTTGGACTGTTCTTGATTGCATGGGGTAAGGTTACATAGTAATGATTGGAGTAAAACATTGAAATGTGATATATGAATTTGAAATCAGCTGGAGAAATCTCGTCTTTGTGGAAATTACTTTTGGCTTGATAAGAATATTAAAGAGATACATCTTTGGAATTGTCAGCCTGAAAATTTATATCGTCAAAGGGCACAGTTGGAAGGGTCAGTTGAAAAGGCCTATATCGCTTTTCACGATAAAAAAAATTATTACCCTTGAACTTTCAATACACTTTTTTATTGCTGTTGTTGATGTTGTTGTAGTGAACATAGTAGCTCCTAAAAAGATTTACCCATTAAACCCATAGAGAGAACAGCATCCAATTTCTCCCTAAAGTAATAATACTGAATCTGTCATAAGGATCACGAGAACGAAGGAATTGATCGAAAACTCAAGAAGTTCTGATGGATAACCGAATTCTCCTTATTAGTATCAAAGGAAATATACAAGGAATAGTATAGAGGAAATGGATACTGATGTTAGGGTGTAAAGGATTAAATTTGTAGTTTCTTCCTCACAATTCTCGTGCATCGTACAGGAATCAATTGATGAGAATCGAAAAACTATCGATACTGGTTCAGCTGGAGTGAAAGCATTCCGGCAATGCCCTGGCCATACCTTTTATACTGATGGAACATCAAATTTCCGTCCATCTGAACATCAACAGAAATTCTCATTTCACGTAATAAAGGTTAACCAAATGGCATAAATTCCCATTGCCAAGCTAAAAAATAAGATCAAATTTCAATATTTTATTAGAGCGGAAATGCTTTGTGAGCGTGGGAATGCCGCAACAAAAGCCTTATCGTTAATAAAATTTAAACTTTAGAATTGACACCCATAACATCCTTTTGATGGCTGATCGACATAAGTCTACCAAATGAGGAATCAGTGATCGATGTTATTTTGAACGAAAATTGTGATTATTGTTTTAAGCTGAGATGCAACCGTCAATTATGCATAGCTCTAAACAGACTGGTACCCGCTTTACGAAGTTGACTCGGCTTTGCCGGAAAAAGATCATCTTAGAATCGTAAAACCTGGGCTTGAGATCTGATTACTACCAATAACAAAAACTGAAAAACAAGACTTCCTTCATTGCAGTTTTAAAAGCTATTCTACTCCCGACGATTCTCAGTGGTTGAACTCCTGATGTAGGTTGGACAGGTTGTGGACTGAGTTGTGAAAATCAAATTATATCGCCGTTGTTTTCATGGAAACTGAGGAAGATAAATCAGCCCTCACAGCCGAAGACGGCGATCCAGATGTGGATTTATCCAAAGATTCTAAACAAGGTGAGTGTTTACGTGATTTACGTTGCATCGCTTAAACACCAGAACACGTACTCGGCGGTATTCATCTTGATTTAACGCGTTCCTCGCGAGTCTTCACGAATAAGACGCGGGGCGGCGTGATTGAATAATTACCCACCCGTGCCAAGGGAAAAGTCTGTGAATCAATTAGCTCAAGGTCAACTTATTTCCCGAATATCCATCATAGAGAGCAACTTTATCAGGTTACAAGATGTGGTATCCCGTGGGTCACAGGTTTTTCGAACTTATCACCTCCCAATGGATCCAAAAGGGTCTGCAGAAACCACCCCCTCTAGATCCGCCACTGTACTGGATGCATCCTTGAGGACCGAGCTTCGAGGCCTCTTGTAGGATTATAATAGACGACATTCTCGATTCATGGTGTTCGAGCAAGCTCGACCTTACTGATTGATGGAATTATTGATTGATTGATTGATTGATTGATTGATTGACTGATATTCATGCAAAACATTCTACACAGCATCTTCTCATTCAGAGTCATGAATATTGCCCCAACAATTTTATGAAAGATTGTTGTTTGTGAATTCTTCAATATTCTTTCTTTCTCTTTCTCTAACATTATTATTATAATTTTTCTTATTTTTTCTCTCGATATAACTTTTGTCAGGAGGTAAACTGACCTACACAGTGGAAGAGGCGATTGACAAGCTTGGCTATGGACCTTTTCAAGTAAAACTTATGTTTGTGATTGGATTGGCTTGGGTAAGAGTGAAAATACTGTTATGAGACTTTTTTTAAACTTTCCTGAATGCTTTTAACCTACCGACTTACTACTTATCGCGTTCCTCTCTCTGAGTCTTAATCGTGTCCATAGTGTTATTTTTAATATAGTTCCGAATTTCCTGTTGAACACCAAAAAGTAAGAAGAGGGTCTCAATGGGATGATAACTTTTACGGCTCAGAAACGGTCAAAATTTTGGCCATTTTACGGCTAACGGTTAAGGTTTTTCTCCTTTTGATCACAGTTGATAGTTTCGGTGGTTGTCAGCCATCTTAAACAAATAAAACTAATGATATCTTCTTTAGTTGCGTTTAAGCGCATAGTCTTAACCCTTTAACTCTCAGAAGTGATTAACTTGGAACTTAACCCTATGATAACCATCCGTTCTCCAACCAGCAAGTAAGGAGAATACTCAAACTTATCAGATAGAAGTTGTTATCTTGATCTGACACTAAATTCTCGAAATTCAGTTGCAAGAAAATGCAAAGCAGCTCTAGGAGAGAATTGACAATGAGATCTTTGGAGCTAAATGGTTAACAGTTAAGCGTATATGAAAACATTCTGTACAAGTGATACTATTTATCCTGGTAGACGTCTTTGTTAATAGCAGACATAAAGGTATCCATTAATTCTTTCAGTGAAATAACAGAAATGGAAAGGGAACCACCAGGTTCGAAATGGCAAATGCTAAATGATGTAACTGTTCAAAGTAAATATCGAAACACTGTTTTTTATTTTTAGATGGCGGACTCTATGGAAGTGACAATCCTGGCGATTGTATGTCCCGCTATAAGATGTGACTGGAATTTAGCTACTTGGCAAGAAGCTACCATTACTACGGTATAACTTTAGTTTAAAAAGCTAGGGCCGGTTATTTTCACGAGGTTTAACCCAGACCGCGGTTCTGCGCGAGCAGTAGCCTTACGAATTCTCTATAAGAGGGTTGTTTTCATCAAATAAATTTCCTTCCACTGCCCTCTTGACACTGTCCTCAAAAATACATGTTCAGGAAAAAGATTCAGGTAAATTCAAGGTAGTTTAGAACGCGATTTTGTTAACCAACGGCTGAACTTTATCTAGATAACAGGCCCTGAGAATTTCCCACCTTAAAACAGCCAAAATGACTATTTTTTTTAGCTGGGCAGTGTGAGTTCGCATCAAAGCTTATTTTCTAACAATGTAACATGTCTAGAAAACACTTTACATCTGTTTAAGAAAACTATTGAATCCACATGAAACTTTTGTCGCAAGGCAAATCTTGTCAAGGACTGATATGCAGACGAAAGGACTACAAAATCAAACTTCTCTAGACCACAGATCGAAAAAGTACAACGGTTATTGCAATGTAATTTAAACCACTGAACACTACATACATGTGTGAATGTGCAATTTCTCATATTTTGATTTTTTCTCCCATATTCTGACCCAGGCCGTTTTCTCTGGAATGACAGTAAGCACATGTATATGGGGCTATGTTTCGGATAACTTTGGACGAAAGAAGGTAACGTCCCTCTCAAAGTTGGTATGAATCATTGGACTTATAAGGTATACCTTGAGCCGGACTCTGGACGGGTCAGCGGGAGATTTACAACGGACCAGTAATTAATCCCAAGAGGCAGTGGTAATGCGGGGGGGGGGGGGAGGGGGGGAAGTGGGAATAGAACTACGGCTAGTTGCTGGAATTTGAACCCCGTAGAGACGGGAAAATACGGTTCCCTTTTATGTTTCCTCATTTTTTGTTTGTCTACGTTCCGCATAGGAAGTCCTGGCTTGTACCATCGTCGTTTTTGCTGGTGGACTCCTGAGTACGTTTGCGTCGAACTACTTTTGGATCATGGCGTTCAGTACCGTAGTTGGACTGGGTATGGGGGGCGTGGCACAATGGTAAGACATGACAGCTGCCTCTGCCCCAAAAGTTGTAGCTAAGACATCAGTCCACATAAATGCTTGCTCCCTGTTCACCCCCTTCGTTGACGAAATCTCCGCCTTGGAGCACAGTTTAGTGATTAGAAAAGCGCGGCCTTATCGTGAGAATAATGTTTTCCTTTACCTTTCAGTCACACACTTATTGTGCCGATAAACAATCTCACGTCTGATATGATAGGGGCATCGTTTTTATTGACTACGCGTGAGGACTTATTTCAAATGAACCTAAAGTGAGAATAACCGACAGTACCAAAACGTGGTCCCTATCAGGGTTTCTGATAGACATGAGATTTGACTAAAATAAGGTTTCTCGCCAGCAATTGAGCAAATTTACAAGCACTTAGCTAAGGTTTCTTTTAACGACAATCTGAATTTTAAAGAGGAGGCGTAAAAATATGAAAAGGCCCTCCATCCGTTCAATAAAGTTACGTAAACATATGTTTCCCATTTTCTCTCTTATGCAGTATGAATCTTTGGGCAGAGTTTCTTCCAAGCAAGCGAAGAGGAGTTCTGCTAAACGCCTTATCGGTAAATAATTTCAGTTGCTTCACATTATTCTAGCTTTTAGGGGCATGATGTTGATGTTTAAGGGTGATGGCTCACGTAAGCTTAGAATAAATGACCCGCTATATTTTGAGAGACAGTAGAGCACACACCAATAACAATGACTCACCCTCCTCCTCCTCACCCCCCCCCCCTCCCTTCTGCCGCACACACACCGTCGTCAATCCTTCCAGTTGAAGAGGACCATCGTTTTTTCGTTTCGCTCCTTTCATTTTCTTTTCTCTTTGTAGTTGTCCTGGTCCCTTGGATCTTGTTTGGAAATTCTCGTCGCGCTTGTAGTGATGCCCACGCTAGGCTGGAGATGGCTGTTTTTTATCTCATGTCTACCTTTGCTTCTTTTCATATGCTGTAGCACGGTGAGAAAAACTCAGTTTTAAAACGAGCGTCTTGTAGCAAACATCGACCGACCTACGTATACTATGTGGTTAGTTTTGACACTAGAAGGACCACTTGTATGCCTATAAGAATTTTTCCCGCTCTTAGAGTATAAAAGTCTTAACAAAGGCCTCTGGTCTTCAACTAAACGCTTGGTTCAATTAAAGAAAAAATACACTCAGGAACTTTTAATAAGGATGCAGAGTTTATTTCAACCAATCCATAGCGAATCGATCCTTCCATGGCCTTGGAATCACTTTAAAAACGAAGTCGGGAGATTAAAGATTAAAAAGAAACTGTTCTTAAGGTCATTTGTAGTTATAGAACTTCATTAGAAGATAAAGTAAAAGTTAGAGAAAGCCCAATACAATATTTCTTTAAGGGAAGATATCAGGTAAAATGCAAAAAAGGTATCTGAGAACCTGTGCTCTGATTGGTTAGTATGGTGGCCAGTCATGTGATACCACGTTCACTTCTTCGATTTACAGCGACAAAAATAATGGAGCACGCAAACACACCATCAAAATTCTTCCCTAAACACTTGACAACTATTTTACTTTATTTTCTGCTGCAGCTCGTCCCAGAATCTCCTCGATTCTATATGGCTGCAGGCAAGCCAGAAAAAGCTTTGTGCATTTTGCAAAAGATTGCTAAAGAAAATAATAAGGAGTTGCCTCCGGGAGAACTAATCGCCACAGAACAACACGAGGTACTTATTTGAGTCTTAAAAAGCCTTTCCTGAACTTGACAAAATTTCAAAAAACTTATGATCAGAATTGTTATTTTCTTGCCTTTTTGATCAGTATGCATCAGGAGATCGCTTTTGCAGTACTTTTGTTTTCAGTTGCGCTCGCAAACAAATGTGACACATACACCTTTTGAAGAAAGTGTTTTCTTAGAAACCTAAAACACTCTATTTCCAAACAGTCATTTATAGGTGATTAAGTGAGAAAGAATCTGACGTACGCATTTTTTTGAGGTTCTTTGTTTTCGTTGCAGGTTGCACGAGGAAGGATAATAGATCTATTTTCTCCTGCATTTCGAAGATCTACTATTTTGTTGTGGATTATCTGGTGAGACTATTTCACTTTACACCATATCCAGCCTTAGTTTTAGGAAGAGGAACTTTAATACAGCACCCACTCAAAGGATTGAGAAAGAATTCTTTAATCCAATTTCCAGTTTCTACAAAGTTCTGTTCAATCCGTTTTTGTGAAGAAAGAGGTGACCAGACTCAGTTCTCCTTATTAAAAAGAAAAGTTTATGACGGTTCACCTTTTTTCAAGTTTTGTTTTTTAAGGATCGCTTTCATATTCATTTCAGTTCTGATTTTTATACATTCACAGTCATTTATTTATCACTTCACGGGTTTATTTGGAACCAACATAATGACCAACTCCGAGTTGGCTTGTTAGCTCAGTTGGTAAGGCTTCTTTTCTCTTCCAGGTTTAGTAGTCATTTTGTAATATACGGAATAGCGCTTATAACTACAGAAATGTTCTCAAGGGTGGACCCTTGCAGAGGTGACTATGTTTTCATAACTCATCGCTTCTTCATTTAAACTTCTATCAAAAAATTTTGGGTAGTTTTAAAAGAGAAACTCGTCAAGAAGAATCTCTAACATAGGTTATTATTAACTCGTTTAAGTTTGCAGTTCTTGACTATCGCGTTGTATAAGTGATATAAACAGCGCATTGAAAGCATGTGAAAGCAAATGAAATGTCGTGGAATGTGAGTGTTGAGATATCGTTCTCGATATAATGTCTTACCGAAGAAATTCAAATCAGGTAACTCCACAACCAAACTTTTTTATCGAATAACAAACATACATTTTTACACAAAATAACCTTGTGGCAAATTTGAGAGTAAAACGGGCTTAGTGGGCTCAGAGCCACCCTAAATTTTTCCCCTCATTATGTCAGTTGATATTTAAAAACCTATATATTGGCAGGTATCAATTCGGAGGGGGTCCACGCTGCAAAAGAAGGTTCTTCTGATACTTCACACTGCAAACAATTAGATTATGAAGACTACGCCAATTACTTCATTGTAATGTCTGGTGATCTCCTAGGTAAGTAATGCCATTGCAAACGATGACCCCCCCCCCCCTCCCCCCAGTAACAACCTGCAAAAATCTAGGGACAGAGAGTGGATTGGGATAAATCAATTCTTTCCAAGTTGAACACTATTTACCAATGGACGGAAACAGGAGCCCATCATTAGGAGCCTCTATCTCCCATACTAAGCCTTAGAGTCAACCCTTTCCCAAGAAGATCTATCCATAGAAAGGCTCTCAGGTGATGTCTGGAGTTCTAAGACCCAATCAAAACAGAGCTATGACAATCCTATTGTTTTACGTCAAACATCCGCTCACATGTATTGAGCAGCGAATCAGTTTTTGCGATTCGCGGTTCACTCAGCGGAAATAAACTTTCCGCTGGATTGACTCAAGGAATCCGTGGAGATAGAGGCTCTCGTTGACGGGCTCCTGACGGAAACAAAAGTTTGTTTCCCAAGAATCCGAACTTTAATTATTTATTATTACTGATTATTGTCCTTTTTGAATGCATTAACATTGAAAAAAAAACGGTTCCCTACGCCACACGACCTTCTTTGGCTTTTATCTATAAGATCAGATCGAGATTCATCTTCAAGAGAAACACACTTCCATTCCAGAGACTATCAAAAGAATATAATGGGTTAAACAAATCCCAAGGCCAGGACAGGAAGTTTCTGTCAAATTTGTCTCTCTTTCCATTCTTAAAGATTAGAACATCGCATCTCCTTTAAAATCTAGGCCAATCGAAGAAGTTTTTTCTTTTTTTTAACAGTAATGAATCACTTCTAAATATCGCGATTTTTCTTATCTACATTTTACAGGATTAGTGTTTATATTTTTCATGGTGGACAAAATAGGTAGAAAAATGGTTCAATTCGTGGCTTTCTTGGGGAGTGCAATTTTTCTAGCAGCCTTGTTCATTTGCACAAGAAGGTTAGTGATGGGGCCAGTTGTCACATGTTCCTATAATGAATAAAATGTATGATATTTTTGACCATGCGGATGAGATGTGGCCAAAGACGAGCTGATCCTCTCAGCAAAACTACAATAGAAGAAATTTCAGAAAAAGCAGTTTAAAAAAAAATCAAGCTTCGACGGGATTCGAACCTGTGCTTCCCAACTGCCTGTTAGTCGCCTCTACCAACTGAGTTACGAAGCAACACGTTAGGATAAAGGGTCATTAACACTGGGCGGAGTCCTGGGCACAAGCTAATGTGAGGGATGACCATCACCCAGAATAAAAAACTGCATAGTTCCTGAGTTTTGAATTTTGAATTAAGTAATGGAGGACTTGTTCCAAGTTTATGGAGCCTCAACTAAACAAGAGGTGTTTGGGGGGATTTTTCAAATTCTTCCAGCAGCCTGAGTCTTTGGATTATGCCATGGAAACGCAGAAAAAAATTCCTCTCTGCTTTTAGAGAATATTTCTTACAAATGCGCACGAATCTTAAGCGCCAAACGGCCTCACATATGCTCATCCTCACACAACTATCGATCAATGGGGACGGGCCAAAGGTCTCAATTACTTCTTCAACCGAGATTCAAATGAAACTGCGGAAAATTTAATGAAAAACAATTTGCCTGTCCTCACACACTAGCAGAGGAAGAAAAAAAATTGATGTCATTTTTTTCATTGGCAGTCGTTCATCGACAACGCTATTTTTGTACGCCTCCCGAATGTTCATCAGCATTGCTGACATGTGCGGCTATGTATACACACCGGAGGTGTATCCCACGAGCATGCGCGGTATCGGATTGGGCGCATGCTCAGGTGCGGCGAGGATCGGCTGTATGATAACTCCATTTGTTGCCATGGTGAGTAAAGTGACGTAAAAGAGAAATCGATACTCAGGAAATAAAAAAGTAAAATATTCATGAAACACTTGAAGATGCAGTTGTTTGCAACCTGTCGAGACAATGTTTTCGAAGAGTTTTAGGTTTGGCTTAGCTCCTTAGTTTAGGCGGCATCTATCAAAGGGTATAACACATTTGTTGTCCAATAAAACGTTAAAAAATAACACCTCTGGTTTCTCGAGAAGGTGTAGAGTAAGGGAAAGCATTTTCTGCATTTGCTTATGATTCATATGGTAGTCGTTAAAAATTTTCTGAAATTTCTGAAATAAGAGATTCTGTACTCAAAGGCTTAAACTAAATATTCATTGTGTTAGTTAAAGTAAGACAAATTAATGTTCTTTTTGTTAAAAAAAAATGTCTGTAATGACACGTGATGTCTTTTATGGCATTTCTTCCATCATGGTATTTAACAGTAAGCGCCTGTTTGCTCTTTTTCATTGTCTACAGGTTCTAATGCCACACTCCATTCTACTATCACTCAGTTTCTACAGCGGTTTTTCTGTTCTGGGCGTAGTCACTGTGCTTCTTCTACCAATCGAGACCAAGGGACGGGCTTTACAGGTGAGAAGGACAAGATAGACATATCTTTTTTGGCGACGAAAGCTCTCTTTAACCGTAACAAACCTAATTTCTACTCATTATTATTGATAAGATGTCTCTCTCAATTAGTTTGTAAGTCGATATAATTTTCATTTTTTGAAGGAAACTTCTTTTAATCATAGTGTTCTATAGTTGATTGTTACAGCACTATACGATTTTCTTCCGGAGTCCCCCGGAAGCTTTAAAAGTCTCAACTGGCACTTAAAAAACCCAGCCAAGATCTGAATAAGATTCCCTTCACTATCGCCTAAAGCCCTGTAAAATACCAAGTTTTTACAGAGCTTTATACGCTCATGTTATCAGGATATACACGGCTTAATGTACTATCTTTGAATTTATTGCAGGATTCTTGACAAGAATATATTTGGCTAATGTAGCGAGAAAAGGAAGTGACAACTTAGCTTAACATTAGGTGTCAATAGGTGTACTGTTTCAATGTCAACAATTCAGCGCAAGATTCAGTTTGCAACCGTGGCACTTATTCAACAAATCATGAGACAATAACATCTGCTATGAATGAAAGACATTACATCGTGATACGCTGGTAGCTTTTTTGCTGTTTCTTCTTAATTGAAAAGAAAAGAAAAGTGTACGCTATTTGTACATACGATAGAAACAGAGCTGTGTTGATATCGAGTTCGATAAAGTACAAAGTCGCTCTTTTATCTCATGTTTTGTTGACCAACCATGCATCTCATTGTAATATGGTATTTCAAGGTGAAAAAGGTAAAATCTGTATTTTCTCATCAAAATTCCAAATTTTTTTGCACGATGTAAAGTTGGCTGATATCAAGCTAGTACTTTGCTTTTTTTTCCCTTTCAAGTAATTGGATCTAAATTTCGTTAACTATTACAAATTAAACTTTTATAATTGATTTGGTATTAAGGTTTTCTACTTTTTACAGGGTAAATACCTTCTTTTAAGACTGGAGAGGCTATACGAGGGCCTCATGACTTTTACGGCTAACAGTTAAAAACTTTGGCCGATTTACGGCTAACGGTCATCTGAATATCACAACCGATTAAAATTGATCCGAAATGCACCAAAATATCGCACACCGGTCAATAAAGGGCAGATGATTTTTAAAAAATTAATTTTGAAAATATGAATTTGCCTTTGCGCAAGACTCGCCTTAGTTTTTTGCAAAAAATCGTTTAAAAAGATGATGATTTCGAGCTTTGTGGTTGGTGTCTTCAGTACGCCACGCTCCCCCCTTCCCTCTTCCCTTCCTAATTGTGCTGTATGGCCCCAACTTCACTGTCGATAGTAAATTTAATTACGAAAAGACAGTTTAATAAATTCTTTGCTCAGCTCGTGAAATCAAGGCAGTGTGATTGAGTTAATTTCAGAGTTACTTCAAAATAAAAACTTAACCTTTTTTTTTTTTGCATTCTTTTCAGATTAAGATAGTAAGATTAATAATTGCACGTTGTGTATAAAGGAAAACATTTTACTTTTCAAGAAGGTTATGTTTCATTAGCCTTAAGGTCTCCTCAGACCAAGATACCAAATGCGTTAGATATTTGATCCAACTTAATTGACAAACTGGCTATTGGGGTTTTAAGTAAGCTTACATCAATTACGTAAACGGAAACTCATTAAACATGAAATTCAACCTTGCTATGATCTAAAATAATTTTTTCCTCTTAATATTTTGATTAAACTGCCTTCGCAACTCGGTTCAGATTTTTCGTATCATGCAGATTAAAACGTGCTTGATATCTATGTTCTGAGAATGCAAATTAAACAACGAAGAAATTGAACCAGGAATTCTGTCAAAGTACGTTCATAGACTAATTCAAGAGCGCAAAAAGCCGGTCTATTTCCTAGTAAAATATTTACAGTCTCGATATCAACTATCAATTTCATCAATGCTGTTTTCCCACGCTGAAAAGCGCTTATAAAAGATTTGCTCAGAGTATCTCGCACAAAACCACTTCAGAAGTTTTTAGACGCTGTAGTTTGGGGGTGCGAGCTGAGAAGATTCGAAAAGATGAAAAATTTGGTCCTTGTTTTCCTGGTGCCTTTGATATCCTGTCGAGCGCTCCTTTTTGACGGAGACGGTAAGACTTTTTTTTACAATATCTCGCGAGCTAGAATATATCAAATTCTCTGTGGGCCATGTTTTGAAATTCATGTGTCTCTCGATACAACAATTCCAGCTCATTTCTTGTCGTTCCACATCTTTCTCTCTTTCTTTCCAAATCAATTTATTTCATGTTCGAAAATACCAAGTGTATTATATGTTTCTCAGCTTTATCCCAGTCACCCGTTTTTCCAATGTAAAAGTTCAAAAATCTCGTTTCTATGTCTTGCTCTCCTTTCCACTCCTTTTCATCTCCTGTACTTTATTTTCTTTGTTGCTACTTACAGATTTTGCACTGAAATACATACACCTTATTCGATGGTTGAATGTATGACACGGGCGGATATTTTGCGAATTGCGTGGTATCATTCTATATTATTATGTTATTATCATTAAGTCATGACCAAAAAAATATGTAGTACATAAAAATCTTGTTTTTTAAAAAGCAAAACTTAATAAAAAATGAGAGAAAAGTAATCACATTCTGGACCATTTAGCGCGGCCATTTTGTTGCTCTGCTTTCCGCCCATATTTTGCCCTGTTCTACAGTGTAATACCGTAGAATATTTTGCGCGTCCCTTATGTGGTAAAATGAAGCAATTGCGGAACGATAAGTCACGATGTTTTAAGTTTTCATCGTTAATTAGAACTACCTTTGAATAAAATGAATCCTTGAAAAAATCATTTACTAAGTTAGACGAACACCACAGAGGAAAGGAGAGGCCCAAAAAGGAGCAAAAACAGTCCAGAATGTACAAGAAGAACAAACTTTGCGAATGATAAGCTTGAAATATTTAGGCCAAATTACTTAAGATGCCTAAATTGTGACCTTTGTCTTTTCATCTTTCCTGCTGTTGAATCGTTTACTCCTTTAATAAAAACGATTTGTGATTAGTTTTTTAAAAAGCCAATCGCCAAATGCTTTCATATGAATATCTCTGAAGGCTTTCACAAGCTCCTAATTTCATGAATCTTTGTTGTTGTTGTTGTTGTTTTTTTTTTTTTCATTTGCGCAATTTTTAATTGAGTGTCGAGATTAGTTTGGAATTGCTTAAGGTTTTGCTTTACTTCGCTCCGTGATTGGTCCAGAAAAACTCGCGTCACTCTCTCAACCAATCATATGCAAAACTAAGACGAAGAATCACTATTAGTTTGAGATCACGTGGGCTCTTCAAGGTATATTCCCCTCCTCTGATTAGCGATTGTAATTACTTTGGCTCTGGTATTACGACACTCAGTCAAAATGCGCTCTATCCAAAGTGCATCTCGGCCACGAGCTTTTTCCATCCCTTCCCGTATTGTGTTATGTTTCGCAGGGTGTTTAAATACCGTATTTCCTCGAAAAAGTGTGCGGGTGCTTATTTAAAATTTCGGCTAAATGAAGGGCGCTTACAGGGAGGAAGGCGCTTACAAAGAAATTATTAACCTGTTCTGATTCCTTTGCATTCGAATCTTTTTTGAAAGTTATAAATAAAGTGGCAGTAGAAACATATTTTCATTGTATCCCTGACTATTTAAGAAAGTGGGGGAGTAAGGGGGGAGGGGGAACCTACCCGAGGGGGCACTTGTTTGATATTATGGCCGAGCAGGTGAGCGATTGTTCATGGGAGGGCGCTTATTAAATCGAAGACGCTTACTCAAGGAAATACGGTAAGTGGGAACCTTGATTTCTCTTGGAAGATTTCTTTCTTTCCAAACCTCGTGCAAAATGTTTGTTCTTGCTTGGTATTCGTTTGTTTGTCTGATCCATAGAAAAGACCAGTCGAACTTATCTCTAAAACTTTGGCCAAAAACATGTTTTAAGAAAAAAAAACTATTGCAGGCGGTCACGTGTCTAAGAATGCTTTTCTTTTTTGCCTTTCAGAACCAGTTGCAATAGTTGAGCCAACAGAAGAAATCGAACCTGTCCCTGAGGGTAAGTGATAGAAAATTCATCATTCATTGTAGCAGTCATCTTTCAAATTCTAGTTAGTCGGCTATTCATACATTTATTCATTTGTTATTTATTTTATCCTTTCTTTCATTCTCTCATTCATCCATTCATTCATTCATATTTTATTCATTCTTTTTTCTTTCTTTCTTTCTTTCATTCCCTGATTTATTCATTCATTTCTTCATTAACCCATTCATTTGTTCTTCAAGTAATTCACTCAATCATTGATTTGTAATTCACTCTCATTTTTTTATTCATTTATTTACAAATTCATATGCTCATTAATTCATTTATTCATTTATTCCCTTATTTTTTTCATTAATTTACTAATTCATTCACCCATTCATTCATTTATTCCCTCATGTTTTCATTCAGTTATTCCGTCACTCAGTCACTAAGTCCCTAACTTCCTTCAGTCTCTCAGTCAATAGTTAATCATTCAGTCATTCCTTTATCCTTTCATTGCCTCCGTCCTTCTTTCATTCATTCGACACTTTTTTACCCTTCCTTGTGCATGTACTTAATTGCGGGTCATTCACATCACAACAACATTCAATTTTTACTTAGGGATTACGTTCAGCCCTGTTGGATGTTTTAGAGACAAATTTCACCCGCGTGCTATGCCTGAACTGCTGAAGAACTTCCGTGGGACTATTGATTGGTCAGACTTGTCGAAGACAGTACAGAAATGTGCGGATGAAGCTATGAACAAGCGTGAGTGGGAATTGTTTATACTGTCACCGGCGCAAAGAGCGCAAAAAAGGCAATTTTAAAACTCGACTCGGTTTACTTTTTCAACTAAGTAAGTCCTCTGAATCTCTGAAACCATACATTTATTTTTGGCAACTACATCTCCGGGCAACACCATAGACTTTGACACCATTACCTCATGTCGAAGGAAAACGCGTTTGCTCAGGTCCCATGACTGATCTCAATTTTGCATCTGCTTGGGTGGCGCGAGTTGTCTAATCCTATCACAAAACCGAACCAATCCAAAGTATTCCTGCGTTACCTTCGACACTCAATCAAATAAAATGCTCTTCATTTCAACAGGCCAACAGTTTTTTGGAATCCAGTATTATGGAGAATGCTGGGGAGGAGAGGAAGCAGACCTATCTTATGACCAGTATGGATCCAATCCTGCTGGTTGCTATAACAACATGGTCGGTAAAGCTTGGCACAACTTCGTCTACAAGTTTAACAGTGAGTATAAGGATATTTTGGGCCCTTATTCTGGTCTAGAGAATGATTTAAGACCGTTATTCTTTCCTTAAGAATGTTTTGGGGCCCTGTTATGGATATTTGGGGCCATTATCCTTAATATGATGTGGGGCCTTCATTATTGTCTTAAATATGATTTGGGGCCCTGTTCTGAATATTTGAGACCTTATTCTAGCCCTATGAATGATTACGAAAAGTTTAGCTCGGTATCTTTAGTAGCAGAAATATATATCGCCGGCGCCGTTAGACCATTGAAATACTTAAAGGGGGTAAGTTTCAAAAGAAACTGTGGTGTTGTGTCAGTGGGAGAGTATAACCGGTAATTTAGTGTTATTAACTGAGTTGATAATGTAAACTAGCCATCGTAAAGAGTTTCAAAGCTGAATTTTCGAGCGTTAGACCTTCGTCTTAGTGAATGAAATACCTTGTTTTGTTAACTTTTGTATTTAGCCATTGGAAGACGACCTTAAGATTTGAATGATTATCCTTGGGCCATCCAAATAGCTTACAAGGGGGGAAACTCTGATGAAGCTGTAGAGGTCAATAGAATATGTAAGCGTCAAATCAAGATGAAATTGTTTTGAGAAACAGACATCGATTGGTTTATTGGTCCTAGTTCTATGAGCTTAAAGACAGCGGGTTGAATAAATCAGTGAATCATAATCCAAATGTTAGGTTTCTTTAACATTTGAGGGAGATTTTGTCAAAATTTATCTGACTTTAATTCTCTCTTTTTCATTTTGCAGTACCTGGAGGAGATTCGGAAGAATAAAAAGAAAATCTCGGCACTATAGCCAAAACTTATTATTCAGTCGTAGAGTATTCTAATGTAACTCGACTGATTTCTCATTACTAAATGAGTGTTAAAGAATAAACATGTGAAAAAGCTTTAAAAAGCATGATATTTCTTTCGGTGTGGTTTTTTTTCCCTATTTTTCTATTCAACTGAATTATAAATTTAAAACTTTTGGGCAATGAGTGGTATGAAATGACATAGGTTTTTCAAGTCTCAACAAGGTCTGAAGCTATATTCGTCTCTGTCTTTGTAACTTTTCAAGCTAAAAATTGCCCCGAGGTTTTTTGTGTACTTTAACTCCCACATTGTTTTGAGGAAGAGGATGGAATCACTTAGTCAGATTTCCAAAATGGACGAAACACCCAATAATACAATTGTTTGAAGAGCAAACAGTCTACATATAATTAATAACAAATAATTTGTCCCTCAGGGTGAAATCGGCTATCTATAATCATAACACATTCAATCACTAGTTTCGCGAAACAGAAAAAAAGACAATAATTCTAAAATACCGAGCTTAAAATAAGAGGCGGGTGTAATTAAAACTCGTTATGATTAAAGTTCTTTCTATTTGCCTGGATATTTTTCGCGAGTAAGAATAGATCCCCTATGTCAACCATCAAGGTCGATAGTATCCAAAACGAAACGCTTTTCGACTGAGTTTCATAAAATCAAAATCATAGTAAGCGCAATAGCCAGTCATAGGAAGGAATATATCAAGAGATCAAGAGGAGCTAATGAGAACTTGATCTAGCAACAAGCAAACTTTATAAAGCGGTCACCCACGAGAAATGGCGTGATGACCGCTTAATAAGGGTTCCACAGATTAGGGGTATTATAAACAACGATAAACAACGCCACTTTATGGCATAATCATAGCCATTACAAATTCCTCAAATATTATTGGTGCATTCGCAGCTTCATTTTTCATTAATCATTTTGTACAGTTGTAATCGGACAGTTGGCTGTAATTGGACACCTTGTAATCGGACAGTTGAAGCAGCCAATCACACTAAGTCCACTTAGAAGTGATCAAAATAACCATAGCAACAACCACTTATCCAAAGAAAAACTGGAGAATTTTCCAAAATGGGGAAATTTTTAACTAAACACATTGTCTCCAATGAGAATATTTTTTCTAGGTGTATTTGTTTTTTCGGAAATTGAAATGGTTATGATTAAATGGAACTCTGACGACGGCGAAGCGGGAGTTCGATTTGTTAATTATTAACTCGTATGATTACAGACCGAATTGGACTCCACTCGGTCCTATAACCATTATTGATTGACCAGTGAATGTACTGAATCTCACTAAAAATACCACTTACTTTGATTTTGGGAAAGAGAGAGAAACATGGATTAAAAACTGCTTGAAAGATTATTCTTAGTTAAATTTGACTGGGTAAGCTTTCAGTGACCGTTTAATGCTGATGGAAGACAATTAGTACAGGCCGTTGTGACTTAGTAAAGGGTGACCGCGACCGTTTGATAGAGGCGACCGCTTAGTAGAAGTGAAAATTACAGTGAATAAGGGGAAAAAACTCAGGACTTTGACAACCGATCGCTTAATACGGGGTGACCGCTTGATATGGTGTCGCTTAATACAGGTACGACTGAATGTTTCTTATGTCCTTTATTAAAGCATCCAACCGGCTAACCCTTCCTTTACACCGTATGAATTCTATATCGCTGTTTAACTGTTCCACTACAAAAAGGATATTAAAGATCTGATGACAGAAGAGGGGCATTTTTCCACATTCTCCGCAATAATGTCCATAATCCTATTCTCCACGAGCTCGAAATCGGAACCTTTCTCTTTCTTCTCGCCTGACACCATGAGGACCAATTTCTTGACGCTGTTTGCGCTCCTCCATTTCCCTCTCGTGTAATTTTCCGCCATTATTAAGGGCCCGTTCTCGTTGTCTTTCTCTGAACTCCTCACGTTCACGTTCCTTGTGTCCGTGGTCATCGAAACGCTCTCGCTCCCTCTCGGCTTCTCGTTCGCGCATGTGCTTTGGAGGATGTTTGGATCGCTTGTCATGGCCAAAGTGTTCCTCAGATTCAGGAATTTCCCATTCTGTAGCCATGTCCTCTCCGTCTCTTTTCCTTTTCAAGGCTGATTCTTCCTCGTTTTCTTCGAGTTCCTCCCTCGATCTCTCATCCTCAGCCAATTCCCGCTTATCTTCACGTTCCTCAGCCACAGTTTCCTCCAACTCTTCTGCTTCTAACTCCCGTTTAGAGTTCTCCTCGAGTTCTTCATCAAGTTCTCTTTCTGACATTTCTTCTTCTTCCTCAGGGGATTCATGCTCCATTTCCTCATCAGGCAAATCTCTCGCCGGTTTCTCTTCAAGGTCTCTCTTCAAATTCCGATAAAACATTTCCAACCCATCTTCCTCTTTCAGTTCCCGTGCACCTTTTTCTTTTGGTATTTCTTCTATTTCTTCAGGAAGTTCCCTTTCCAGAAGCTCCTCATTACTGAGCTCTTCCCTTTCTTCGTTTTCTTCCCTTGCAGTCTTTTCCAACGCAAGCTCCCTTTTCAGCCTCTTTAAAAAGTTCTTCAAACTCTCCTCGTCACGGAAGTGTTCAAATTCTTCCCGTACCGTGTTTTCATTCTCTTTTTCTTCCTCGTTCTCCTCTTCTCTTTCTGGAAACTCTCTTTCTTTCAGTTCAAACTCCGGAGGAATTATCGGAGGAAGGTGTTCTTCTTTCTCTTCTTCCAAATCAGTGCCTCTAACGTGAATTTCATTCTCGACTGGAGCTGAAGAAACCAGTATCAGAACTGAACATAATAGATGTGTGGCTTGGATAAGCACCAGAACTAAAAGAAAGATGCAAACACAGAAAGAGGTGAGTCGATCATCGCGTAAGATATAAGTTTAATTTTGTGGTGACGATCACAAAAGAGGGTGAACAAAAGACGGTGATATCAAGCTGGGAGAGGGCGGCGAAAAGAATACGCAATCATAACGCTGGCCATGAAATATTCATTCTTTTTTTCCAATTTATTTCTTTTCCACATTGCTGCTATCATATAGGGTTTAATAAAACACTAATCCGATGGAAATGAGAGACTCAGCAATCAGGGTCTAATGGTGACACGCAATAATTTTTTAATATGAAAATTAATATTGTTAATGTCATAATTACTGTCTTAATTTTTCTGTGTTTTGCTTCATTTTTTTCAGCCATTGGTGAGTTAAATCTATTTGACAGGCAAACATAAGTAGACCTGATTAATGAATACATTAAGTGTTCAGAGCAGCAGGAGTTAGATTTTTCTCATTTAAGTTGAGAAATTGAAGCTTTAGAAATCTGATGAATCCGTTGCCGTCACTGTTTCCGGCGTGTTAGTTGTCATGTGGCAAATTGGAGCAAAAATGATTGACGAAGAAAACCTCCAGTATGGTACAGTTTTATCAAAAGGGCACAGATACGCAAAACGTAAAAACGTGTCGACAAAGCAAAAGGTGGCTGGCATAAGTAACAAAATAATAAAAAAAAAGTTCTTGCTTATCCTCTGAGCAATTAGTTATGAACAATTAATTTCTCATACGTTATCGTGCGTGTTTTTGGTTCAGTTAATATTGTTTGTCTGCTTTTAATCTTAAAAAACCATTTAGAAAGTTTGTATATTGAGGACAACTCTTAATATGTGTAGGAATATCCCCTCTCTGATGATTTAAAACCTGACTTTAGACAGTCAAATTTCCCCAACCTCCGTGAGCTTTTACGAGCTTCTCTCCTCTATCGGCTTTGTTCGGAATTTTTTGTTTGCAGTCGACCAAACTAAGAGAAGAAGCAGGCTGTGTCTAGAACCTACGACAGCTCTGTCAGCCCCATGGGGAAACCTATTTTCAGACGTAAAATTTTTGTTCACTCTCACTGGTAATACCTTTCCCAGCAAGAAATCGTCGGCAGAATTTATACTTAATAATATGTTGCTAAACAAATTTTAAAAATATCACGTTCAAATGTATCCGAAATTTTTTTTCTTTTTGTTTTTTTTTTTTTTCCTAACCCTTACCACAGAATCATGTCGAAACTGTAATCTTGACAAGACACACAAATAATATTCACGGCGAAAAGTATCGAGAACAAACTTTGAAACATCATGTTTTTTTTTTTTAATCTTTTTTTTTTTTAAGTGACGCGTTTTTTAGAGGAGGAACATACCTAGCAAGGAACAGTTTCCAAAAAAAAGCCAATCTACACTAAAACATGCAGTTTAAATCTGAGGTTGGCATCTATTAATCGAAGATAAAATTGATTGCTTTCGAATTTTTAAATTGAAGAAAATAAAGATATAAAACACGTTCGATAAGAACCGGAAAACAGCTAAAAGGCCAAAATTTGGCCGTTACTGTAATGTAACATCTGCCTTTTGAGTCAGTGAAAAGCCTTGAAAACAAATATCCGTTTGAGAATGAAGTTGCGTTTTCCTGAGGCCATCGTTTTAAATTTTGACTGGCGGAAATAAACTGTTTTTCTACATTTGAGGGAAAAACTCAAACATTTTTACATACCTTTCATCTTAACGTCGAAAGATTGATTTGAAAGAAGATTTCCTCACCGCGACAACTAAGACCAAGTGAAACTGTTCCCGACTGCCAGTGGTTTTCTAATTTTAAAACGGTATAAGGCGTGGGATGATACATCAACTACAAAAGGTGATTCTAGCGTAGTTATAAATGAAGCAAAACCAGCTGGTATCATTCCCATCAATTTACATTAGGTCCTTTGTTCGTTAAATTACGATTTTGGCGAAAAGAGCGGAGAAACACTTATGGGCCAAATAATTTGCAGTTAGTTATTAGTATGTGGTAGTTTGTTTGTCATGGGAACTCGAAAGATGCGCGTCAAAAATAAACTAGTTTTCCGTAAGACGTCCTAAAAATGAGTAGGAGAAAAAAAAAATTTTTTTTGGTACATATTCTTCTCAGTTTTATTATCCTGGATAGCTTTATCTGCATTTATTATTCATGACGGGAGGAACAAATTTTCAACAGCGGCAAAATCACACCCTGAGGGAGTATTTTTCAGATCAAAACTTCACGATTTTACAAGCAAGGAGAATGAAATGTTGCCATTTTTTTAGGTTTCATTAGTTCAATTACATGTAAAATCTCTTTGACTCTGATGGAAAACTTCCACTGAAACATCTGCAATCCATTTGAGAACAAAATTACAGAAAAGATTCATTTGAGAGAAAGGAATATTCTAGGCATCGTTGTAAGTGCATATGAAATTAATTCATTGTAACATTACAAGTAACGTTGGTACTTAACAACTCCTTTTTATCCTATATTTAAATCACAACACCTCTTACAGTAATGACGACTAAAGCTAACCATAATAAATCACGTTCACGTTCATGTTCAGCCCGCGTATTAATGCAACGCAAACATTTATAACGCGTGCGCCTTCAACTTGTTTACCCAAAGGCGTAAACAATATCAAAGGTTTTGCACGCACATAATCGTGTAATACATCATGATTTTTGAAAAGAGCGTTGATTATCATGGCAAATAATTTTGTCAGTACTTGTTAAGGGGTTAATAACTGCTTTTGGCAATAAGGTATACGTGTTAATGAACTGCTTTGTGCCCTTTAAAAGAATCCTCTAACTTATTAAAAGAAATGGAAAGTTTACATTTGTCAGTCTTCTTCTTAAACGAAATTTTGTAACCGTCCGTCTTTCTTCACTTCCATCTCTTGTCGTAGATTTTCCGTGATGAAACATTGCAATTTTTACACAAAATTGCAAGTTTACACTTGAATTAAATGAACCGATGGTACTTGTAAATGAGACCAAATTCACCTTCATGAATTTCACCATATTGACATTAAAAAAGACTGGAAAAGTCTAGTTAAGAAATTCGAGTTTTGAGTGGCCTAGAAATGTTACAGAGAACCATTGCATAGTAATGGCTTGGATAAATGTGACCCCTCATTTTGATTCCAGCAGAGAAGTTTTATGAGGTTACATCTGGGCATGCAGCCTAGAACAGATGGCCAATCATATTGTGAGAATTAATTTCCTATGTACAGCTTGATTTAAGGCCATGCATTGGTAAGTAAATAGTTTAAAACGAACTGTGAATTGTACTGAAACTTTTAGAAGATTTATTATTTTTCCAGTAAAATTGATATAACACTCATTTTAGTGAAATGCATGTTCGTTGAACAACGAGATAGCGAAGCTCAAGAAAAGTTTCCCTAACTGACAGATTTTTCAATCACAAAATAGTGATGATGATAACGACAGAAAACTTCTTTAGCGTAATATCCGCCATTTTCTCTTTGCCTGTTACAAATAATACGACTACGAAAAAACTCAAGGAAACGGATGATACAAAAAACACTAATCCCTGATGAATTTGTGGTCATTGGCAGGTCAAACCAATTATATTTGTTTCTGTTCGGGTGAAAACTGAGATCAGAAATAATTTTTCCCGATGAGACCATCAAACTAGGCAGCGCGAGTGCGGAGGTAAGAAGATCCGCCTGCTCTCATGCTCACAGCCACGAAACATCGTCTGATCGAAGTCATGGTTGACAGAACAAAATCGAGGCCGCGAAAGAGATCTTCCCTTTACAGGTCGCGTCACAACACGGAAAACATAGACCGAGGAGAGTTGGGTACTTAACTATGCTGCTTAGATACAAGATGGCGTCCTTCAAAGTGACCTTTCAAAAATTCTGCTTCTAATCGTGATCAAAAGCCGACGCGATGCTTTTTCAATGATTTAGTGTGTTAGCAATGGAATGGTCCAAAGGAAGAGTAGTTTTGAGCACTAGAAAGTGGTAATATTTTCCCAATCATTTCTGCAACGCCTCTTACCGCTCTAGCTTTTTTGTTGGATTTGAATCCTTAAAATGGCACAGAATTTGGCGGTAGATTTGATGTTGAGGACTTTGATGAGTTCCCTTGAGTTCAGGGAATCGGAAAACAAAAACTGGGAAGGAGTAGCCAAGCTAATTCCTGGAAGCTCTGCACAACAGGTTTGTATTCGACCGAATTGTAAATATAAATGTAAATATAATAATTCGTGTGTTGATTGAGTTAATTGAAATGAAACCTTTACAAAATCTACTTAGATCCTTTAAGTAATTTGATAGAAATGGATTTGAGGGAAAGCTTTCGTAGATGGACTCAACAGTTAATGAACTGGTAATTGTGTCGATAGCAAAATCTGTAAATCTGATTGGTGCTTTACACCTTCAAAGGTTCACTGGCTGTTGCACTTCAGTACAAACTTGTTTGTTTTACTGCTCTAATCACAAGCTACTTGTGATAAGATGATTCAAATTTCATCCCTGAGCATTCCCTGAGTTTTGCTCTTCTCACAATGATTTCCATACAGCCCTGCACCATTCGAAAACAAAGCATTAGTAACCAAGAGTACTCTATTGTTTTTGTCATTGTTTTCTTCTTACTCAGACTTATCAGGTAGAGGTTTTTATCTTGATCTAACACAAAATTCTCACAATTAATTTACAAGGAAATGTGTGGCAGCTGAAGAGGAGAATTAACAATCAGATCTTGGGTATTAAAGTGTTAGAGGTTGTTAACTTGATCTAATGCAAAATTCTCACCATCAGTTTACAAGGAAATGTATAGTAGCTGGAGGGGAGAATTAACATTCAGGCCTGGTTGTTCAAAGCTGGGTTAAGACAAAGCAGAGTTAGTGTGAAATTTGATTTCAGGTCTGAAAGCTTTAAAAGAAAATTTGGTTCAAATCTTTTAGCCTGCAATTTGATCATTGGATGTTCTGTAAAGAACAGGAAAAATTTTTCCTAAAAGGCTTTTGTACAGAGAAATAAAGAAACCTTGGCCTTTGAACAACTGTGTCTTGCAGATCTTGGAAATCAAAGGGTTATAATACAAATGGTAAATTGAGCCACTTTTTTCAGTGTGCAAAAAGATGGGCAGAAATCCAGCAAACCTCAACTTCACAGCATTCATCTTCAGACTCCAGACACCTCTCCAAATTATTAAACTCTGTTTTGCATTTTGCTGATGAAAAAGAATTAACGAATGAGACTGTGCCAAAGGACATAGTAAGGAGTGACCCACAATCAGCTTCAGTTAAAACCAACAGCTCTCCAGGTCAACAACTTCAAACCAATCTGGAAGCAGGTATCTGTAGAATATATTCAGTTCTCTGAGTACATTTTGTAAGTAATTTGGATTTCAAAGGTTTTGTTTCACTTTTCTCACTTTGATTTGTCTTGTAAACTTAATCCTTAACCCTTTCACTCCCTAGATCTCATTAGTAATTCTCCTTACTGTCTGCCATACAGTTCTGGTGATGTTGGTTTGGAGAATTTGGTATTGGACCAACTTATATTCCCTTAATTTCTATTTTTCTTTATTCTCATCACTTGTCTGCTTGATATTGTATTGATATTGTAAAGAGAAATTGTGTCTTGGTCACTCATGGGAGTTAAAGGGTTAATGCCCTTACATTGATTAGTATCTATATTCTCCATACTCTTCTTTATGCATTTGCTTTGTCACAAGGAGAATTTGTTTAACAATTAAACCTTCTGAGGTTGATGGCAATAATTTCCTTTATTCTCATTTTCTTAACCCTTTACACCCTAACATCAGTATGCATATTCTCCATACTGTTCTTTACACATTTCTTAAGGTGCTGAAAAGGAGAATTCGTTGAACAGTCAAGTGCTTCTGTAGTTGTCGATCATTTCAATTATTCTCATGACCTTAATGTTTGATTCAGGTGTGATTCTGTAAGGAGAAATTAGATGCTAATCACTCTTAGGAGGAAAGGGTTAATGAATGAATCAGCAGTATTACTGTAAGGAGATATTAGATGCTAGTCACTCTTAGGAGGAAAGGGTTAATGAATGATTCAGCAGTATTACTGTAAGGAGATATTAGATGCTAATCACTCTTAGAGAGAAAGGGTTAATGAATGATTCAGCAGTATTACTGTAAGGAGATATTAGATGCTAATCACTCTTAGAGAGAAAGGGTTAATGAATGAATCAGCAGTATTACTGTAAGGAGATATTAGATGCTAGTCACTCTTAGAGAGAAAGGGTTAATGAATGATTCAGCAGTATTACTGTAAGGAGATATTAAATGCTTGGCACTCTTGTGGTTCATAATGGTAATTGAACTGAGTGGAGTGCAATTTGGGCTGAAATCATATGCGTGATTTCAAAATTGAATGAGTGCGCAGCACCACCACCCACCACCCTCTGAACAAATCAGATCCAAAATTACCACCAACTGTTACTTGGTCAGTTGTAGCATTTTTTTTTTAGATGAAGTGTACTTTAACAGGAGAATTATAAATGTAACAGTGCCATCCATTGCAATTTATTCAAAGGTTTTAATGTACATGGGTGTATATACCTTTAGGATCTAACTGCCTTTAAATTCCAAATTTTTGTTTTCAGATCAGTTCTACATTATTTGATAAAAATAATTTATGTGCAATTGAACCTTGATTACCAGGACCCATAAGAACTGGGTCAAAAAGACCAGATAAGGGAGAGTCTGGATAATAAAAAATATAAATATTAAATTGAGCCAAAATAAAAGTGAATAGATATTATTTAATCATTATTACTCAAGAATAAGTTAGAGCACATTTTCAAATTGTCATGTGTCATTGCCAAAATTTGTTAAAGTATTTTCAAAAACATTTAACAACACCCATGTTTTACAACCCAAAATTTTGATGTTACTCAGTTTGTTTATTAAGCTGCTACAGTGTGTGTAGGTCACTAATTCCATCGTTCTTTGAAGCTGCATTAAATGTAATAGCATCAAAATTGTTCGGTGAATCTACCTTGGGTCTTACAAATCTCAAATGTGTCTTTAATTAATATTCATGAAAACAGAGAACAAGTCAGGATAATCGAGGGTGATTCAGGATAACTGAAAATCCAGATGATCGAGGAGAATAATCAGGATTTTACTGCATGATGTGTATTTTTCTTAAATTTAATCATGAACATAGAGGGTGAAAAAGAGTGGACTTAATCTACATTGTCTTCTTTTTTTTTTCATGTGATGATTTGTGTGACTTGAACAATACTCAGGACTTAACAAAAGGTAATCAAATTGAATACAACTGATATGTACATATATCATATACCAGCACTAGCAAATTGGATGGGTCATGAAATATTACTTTGGATTTTTACCTTGAATATTGAGATAAAATCACTTCCTTTTAGGACATCAGAGGTAACTTCCTTTCTAGAAAGTGGCCAGCGCTAGCAAGTTGGATAGGTCATTAAATATTACTTTGAGTCTTACCTTGAATATTGAGATAAAATTACTTACTTTCAGGACATCAGAGGCATCTTCCTATGTAGAAAGTGGTGAAGAATCATTGTCAAAGCAGGTACCAACTTAGCAACTGAGGACAGACTGCATTTTGAGAAACGTTTGCTTTTTTCTTTTTACAATTTATGTGATTCTGATAACTGTATTGTTTATTGTTTAGAAATCAGTTCTCAGACAACCTTCAAGATCGGCCTTGTCACAAGCTTCAAATCTGGAGTCATTACAAGGGTGAATGTCTTGTTGTGGTTAACTAATATTTAGGAGAGTTTTTTTTTAGTGTACATCGGTAACGCTAAGCTGTGACTCTTCACGTTACCATGGCAGAATTTGGGACAAATGTTAAGGTGTGTCTTGTAATAGTTAGGATAAAATGTAGCACCTTGTTTCATGTATTTTTGAGGCCACTATTCAGCAAATAAAACATTTTTTTCCTCTCGATTTCCTTTTTATAGGCCTAACATGGTTATCCATGTGTGTGATGAAAGTAAGAACTGTAAGTAGAAGTTTTCTCTTCTAATGAAATCTAAAGTCACACGCATCGTAACCCTTGACACCCTGATCTCTGCACTTATTTTCCATACTACTGTCAATACTTTTCCTTTAATAATGACAAGGAGAATATGTTTAATGATCGAGAACTTCTCAAGCTAGTGATCATTACCCTCTTCTCATTACTTTAATGTTTGATTTATTGGTGATACTGTGAGAAGAAATTAGACGTTGGTCTCTCTCAGAGGGTTACGAGTTACACTTTGTATTTTACAGATTAACAGTTGATTGCTTGGTTAATTGATTTTATTAATCTATTAATGAATATCACTAATTTTAAACATTTATTTTTCAGTAAAACAAGACTTCACATGCCCAAGGGACTTGCTGATAAGTGAGATGAGATATTTCGCTGAGTATTTGTCAGTGGAAGCCCAACGATGGGAGGAGGTTGATATTTCTGTTCATTGTGATGTGCAGATCTTTGATTGGCTGATGAAGTATGTTAAAAGACGGCTTCCAGATAAGAGCAAATCCAGGACTGAGGAAAAGAAACCCAAACTTGGTGAGCCCCCAAACTTTTTTTTATAAATTAACCCAGAAGTGATTAACACGTAACTTCTCCCTATAATACCCATAAATTATCTAGCAAACAGGTAATGAGAATACTCAAACTTATCAGATAAAAGTTGTTATCATGATCTGACACCAAATTCTTGCACAAATTTACAAGGAAGTATGGAGCAGCCAGAGGGGAGAATGAATTATTACATCTTGGGAGTTAAAGGGTTGAATAGTGCTAATAAATTAGAGTGAATTATGATTGAAGTGATTGTCACCTGTGAACTGTGATCATTAAAGAAAGTTTTTTTTATCTAACATATTTTATGACAAATGTCAAATGGTATTCTTAACTGTTATATTTTCATAATATTTGACTCAAGGTATATGTACCAGTATCTGATATATGTAAGTATTGAAAGTGTAAATTCCATTGTGTGTTGATGTTTACTCTTCTTCCATTTTCTTTCTTCCCCTTACTCATTAATTAGTTAAGGAAGTTTTAGAATAGTTTGACAAGTCTTACCTGAAAATGTTTTGTTTCTTTTTTTTTTTACCCACAGAACCAAACAATGTCATATCCATCTTGATATCTTCAGACTTCTTAAAGATGGATGCACTGGTAAATATTGACTGTATAAATGAATAACCACAAAAGTTGTACATGAAACTACTATAACTAAATTTATGCAGATTCCAAGTTTGAGGCATGCCACTAAGAGAGTTCTTTGCACAAAGTGTTTAATTGCATGGAGTATTTTAATTACGGTATACAACAGCCCTTAAGGCCTCGGATGCTATCTGTTAGCTGAAAAAATCAATATTCTCATTTTGTGTGTCTTCAATCATGATAGGTAACCGAGTGCATCCGCTACTGTCATCAGAATATGTCAGCCATTGTAGCCACGCCCTGTAATATGAACTGTATTAATGACAAGTTGGTCACTAGGTATGTGATGAAAACAAAGAACTGAACCAGTGGTTTGTGTGTGTGTGTGTAGTTTGTGGGCAATACTATGATCCTGTTCTTCTGTAATATTTGAAAAGCCTTACAGATCTACGAGTAGTGTTAGTGATACATAAAAAACTTTGTTTTTTTTGTAGTAACAGTGAAATACAAAAACTGCTTGGTTATTCTATGACGGAGCTCAAAATTTTCCATCTATTTATCCTGTCTATCTACACAACACTTTTAAAATTGCTCCTCAAAGCAGTTTGCTGGACACTTGTCTCATGTGAACCAACTGATGGTGTAGATGACCAGAAAAGTACTCAGTACCTCAGTGGGTGAAATTCCAAACGTTTGAGGTTCTGTGTCTCGCAAGGGACTCGAATTTGTGAGAAAAAAACCGACATCTTTCTCTGTTCTTGATATTATGTACCTTTCAAGAGATCTATTGAGAGACTGATAGAGTATTTTGAACTGGATTATTTTCACAGAATAGCAAAGCTGTTTAACCATAATGAATTAGAAGCAATCAAGGATCGAAAGGACAAATTTAAAAGGTGAGATGTCATTTTCTGCACATCACGAGAGTTGACAGAATAGTGTCCATGGAAAGAAACGGCTGGTGAATAACACCTACATACTTGGTCCTTATATGGGTATTTACAGAGATATGACAGATATGGTGTTATTTGGTTTTTACAGTAGAACCCCACAAACTCGAACTCCTAATAGAAACAGAAAATGGTTCGAGTTAGCGAGCGCTCGGGTTAACCGAGGTTCGGGTTAATGGTTCGAGTCAGCGGGGTCGTAATGTAAAACCAAATAACGCCATGTTTGTCAGTGTAGACAAGTTTGTGAAAAGAAAAAGAACTGTAAATTTAAACTTTAAAAGTAGGAAAAAATTTATTATCAGTGCAAGACAATAAAACCTGTGTATGGAAACATACAGTGAAGGATCGAAAGAGTTTACCCTCAATGTCAACTTCAAAGCAATCTCACACTTGAGAATTGTGTGCAAAAGGGAGACCCAGAGAAGTAGTGTCCGTGGCATTTTGTACATTCTGTGGCTTCAACTTATTGTTTTATTTTTCAACCGAGGAAAGTCGTAGCAATACGTTTGTGCTTGGTAATGTTGTTATCGTCTTGACTGCAGCAAACTGTTTTGCAAGAAAATCGAAGAACTGTTTGATCCAAGGCTCCAATCAAGTTCATCTGCAAATGCCAGTACTCTTTTCAGGTAAGGGACAGGAAATGTTTGGCAATTTTTGCAACGCGTACCAAAGCAGCCAGTCATGCAGCATCTCACAACACGATCCAACACTGTTGCAAGATGTTACGTTAAAATGTTGCGTGCGTTTGTCCTGTCTAGTACACTTCTATTTTGTATTTTGAATATCTTTTCAAATGAACATACTTTAGATGCATCGCTTGTGGAAGACTTCTGACAGCAGAATCTCAAGGCAAACTACGATGTGTTCCTAACAGAATGATGGTGAATCATCGAGGAAGAGTGTCTTACGTCCATTCACGGTAAAACAGCATTTATATAATGAGCTGAATGACGCGCGCATTTTTATCGGTTCTTAGTTATGACCTATTGGAGGACAGATACATAGGTAACACGTCACTAACAAGTTAAATTCAAGAGTTTTCATTGGCTCAGTCATCACGGGTTATGAGCCATTATACCGTGCGTGCGCATAAATACGAGTTAAACCGGAAGTGTACATACTACAACCGGTTGTTCTTACAAAGTAAATTTGGGAAGATTTATCTCATTTTGTGCATTTTAAATGAAACAATTATTCCACGAGTGCGCGTTGGTCATGAAATGATATATAGCCAACAAGGCTCGCAGGGCCAAATTGGCTTCAATATTGATATCAATGGCAAATGATCAGTGTATACTGTTCCTGATCACGTATGTACTAGCTAGAAACGTCCAATAAGGACACAATACATCAGAAAGTCTCAGCCAAGTTTCTACTGAGCTTTGTCAAGTCTCTAGAGCGTTTTTAATGAAAAAAATTCTTTCACTCGCGCTTGTTGGATATGAGGGTTCTCCAAATTTCTTCTAGATAGAATAACTATTGAGGCCATACCATAGCTATGTGTCTTCGTCTCCTACAGGGACTTTACCTGGGATGTGAATGACTACCTTCTTGGATTAAGAGATGAAGTTAAATCTTGGAAAGAAGTTTACTGGAGGTAAGATTCCCTTTGATTTTAGACTACGAGCAGACCCGCCTTTTCGGCGAAGTCTGTCGCACGTGTCCGAAAAAATAAGGACGAACAATAAAAATTGTGATTAGCGCGCCCTGCGGAACAATTCTTGCTTTTCGTGCGGCGCGCTAACCAAAATATTTCTTAGTTATCAGTTTATCACACGCTAACATATTTGTATTGTTTTCTACACAGATTATGGGGTGCAGTGAATGTCCTCTATTGTCACCGCTGCGGGAATTATTTCCAGTGCTCAGAGCTGGGTCACTGCAGCTATCACCCGATGACTGTAGATTTTGGAAACTTGGAGTGCGCAGCGACCAAGATAGTTGGAATATATCCCTGCTGTCAGCAACGAGTATTGCATTTTGATCCATCCCTTGAAGGCACTGTAAGTGAATTGCATCTAAGTTGTGCATTACTTTCGAGTGGTATCTGCACTAGTTTCTTACCCAGATCTCTCTTGTGTTTGAATTGGAATCTCCCCCTCCATTTGAACCCAGAGATGGAATAGATATGTTACTAACCTTGTTTTCTAGTTCCTAGCTGTAAGCTATGGATTCTCGTTTTTCCGCTCGGATTTATAATCCGTAACTTATAGAACTCGGTTAGTAAGAAGTATTTAAGCGCTCACAGCCTAACAGTACCCTTTGTCGACTCTGTTTGCGATGCATCTGTTATTTTTAACTTAACAGGGCTGCTGTGTGCGTGATCACAAACCAACATTAAATAAACCAGTTTCGAACACAGCGGAGAACATGGAGAACTCAGCTGAATCGAGCGATAACAAGAAAGATGACGACTTAAAAGCAGAAAACAGCGAAGGAAATGCAAAGAACGATAACAACGAAGGTATTTACATAATCAAGATTAATTGAAGGGTTTTACTAAAGGTACACTGAGCTTCTCAGATTTCATTAGTTTTCAATTTGTCTTCCAAAGTAATTAAGGTTTTCTTTAGGCTTTCTCTACTAAGTGGCCAATGGATATTTAAGCGATTGTTGAATTATTTGATAGACTGATCGATTAATTTACGACTGAGGACCTGAGGTTCGGTTCCTAGTAGAGTTCTCGGAAATTTTTCTTCGTCTCCCGCCTATGTATCTTTTTGTTTTCAACAAGTAATTCTAAAATTTATTATCTTCGCTTTTGTACGCACATGTCTTCCTTATTTTCTATAGGAAAATCATTCCAACCGGAGAAAGGAAAGTCAACAGAAGAGGAACAGAACACTGAGCAAGAACCCGATGCTGAGGCTTCTGAAAAGTTACCTTTCGATAAAAATTCAGCTTCTAACGAGGAGCCAGCAATCACCAACAATCCAACTGTTGTAGAAGATATGTTTGCACATAGGAACGCTATCTGTATACCATTCCGCAGATTATCAAGTGCGAGGTGATTACAGGCATCGTCCGCGCCATGTTAAATTTATAGGCGTTAGGTAAATCATTGGAATTAATTCAAGGTGTTTCTTGCACAGTGAAATAACTTGGCCAGGATTCTTGGAATTCTTGTTGATCGTCCTCATGCTACAGTCCTTAATCATCCTTGTTGCCTCTTGGTGTTTGTATACCTCAACAATTTATTACATAAAGGCTTCCTGATAATTTACCAAATAGAGAAATTTTCAAATGGGAGTCGAAAGTTATCCCTTTGCTTCGCTCTGTGATTGGTCCAGAATCCTCACGTCACTCTCTGAACCAATCAGATGCAAAACTGAAGCGCCAATGGCAACTTGGTCACTCGCGTTTTCCCGCGCTTTCAGTAATTTTGCTTGTTTCTAGTTTGACTTCTTACTGACAACAAGATATATTTCCTCTCTTCTTGTTGGGCATCATGATTACACTTTACTTTGGTTTTGGTCCGACGACACTCAATCGAAAAGCGCTTTAAGAAAGATTGAAAATTCCTAAATCGTTTAAATTTAGACATCTTTCATTTCTCGTCCATCATTCAACTGTTCAGAAGAATACTTAACAAAGCCCATTGAAACCTTTTTTAACACGTGAATCGACAGGTCTTCCGAATTGAATGTGTTTGGTGTGGAGGAGTTAGCTTTAGCGAACATGAATACCAGAGACCTGGAGGTAAAATAATGCTTTTCTTTTTCAAATCATTTAGCAATTGGGTTATGTTGTTTAAGAATTATTGTAGGCTTGAATCGTTTCTTTTTGTTTTGTTCCACAGAGCAACACGAGCGCCCTATCGGACATGATAGACCCAAGTGAACGAAAAGTTTTAGAATTTCCTACGGTTGGTAAAAAAAATATATTTTTACTCTGGAAGTAATGCGAAGACTTGCACTAGTGTAATGCGTTCCAATCGGGTGTTATAAAGAAAAAGTTACCACACTAACCAATCAGATTGAAGAGCAGAGCGTAAGAAAGCGTAGGAAAGCAAAACCGATGCAATCCCTGTTTACTTTACCTCTAGTTGGGAGTTTCGGGGAATTGGTGTTAATGGGCGGGACTCTCTGGCGGGATACCCTGTGTTGGAAAAGTGGGAAGGAAGGGGTAGCGGGAAGGGGGAGTAGCTGAGTTTGTAGGATACCATCATGGTACTCCCTCATTTGTTTCTGGAAATAACGCGAAGCTGTTTCCTGTTTCTTCCTCCTGACAGTACCTACCCTCGATAAGGCGAAGCCGAAGTCGGTTGGTTCATCGTAGCTCACTGCGCAGAATGAAGTTTCAAGCTGGGAACAAGGACGATGACTATGACCTGGGAGAAGACGAAGATCAACCTGAGTCGGAGGACAATGATTTGGAGCAAAAACGTGAGTCACTGACCCGTGTCTTCCCTGTGATCACCCTAATATCAGTATGTACATTTTCCATATTGTTCTTTACACATTTCCTAAGGTGCTGACAAGGAGAATTTCTTCAACAATCACTGAAATTTTACTTTTGAGAAGAGCAACGAAAAAATACTCTTATTAAATGATCGTTTTCAGATAATTTTTGGAATCAACTAGGAGTTTGCCTGCGATGGACTGGAATCCCGTTTTGTCACAGAAAAGAAATTTATTGCGATGTTATTTTCCCTCCCTTAAACTTTATCTAAAATTTAACTAAGGCTATCCATTTAATTTTTTTTCCTAGTCTTATCTCGAGAGAAACCACGACCTCCGAGAAAAGTCACCTCTGCGTCCAGGAAAGAGTAAGTAAGATTTGTTACTCTGAGCCCCTGGAATAATCAGGGTATAAGTTCTTCTTGAAGAAGAGACTGTTAATACTGATTTGGAAAATTACCTTAGCGACACGAGCCCTATTATGACAACCCCTTAGAGGCGTTATGGTCATTATGTAGAGCCCGGGGGAAGCGGGGAGGGGGGGATTTTGTTTGTGTTATGATAAAGTTTACCTGATCCCCCACCCCTAAGGCTATGTAATACGTAATATCTTATGACTCCCCCTCTAAATGGAATTTTCTGCACCCCCACCCCCCTCATGTGATCCCTCCAAAATCCCAAAAACCCCCCCCCCCCCATGTGATCACTCCAGAGTCCAAAGACCTTCCCCCCCTTTCCCCCTCCCGGGGATGAATAATGACTTGTTCCTCAAAACTATTGAAGTCAATTTGTAGGTTCGTTCTTCAAATGGGAATATTGTCCTTGTAAAGTTCACCGGCGATTCCGTGACAATTTCATTGATCACTTTTAATTTAAGTTTCAGTACGTTTAAAAGTTACAAGTGGGACTCACAACGTTCCGTTCGCTGGAACCAGGATGCACAGCGCGAAGAAGATCAAAAGCGCATGACAGAGTTGGTTTCCTATTTGGCTCGACAGCGGGCTCACACGCCACAAGAGAAAAGCGATAGCAAACAAAAACCAAAAGAAGTAAGACTTTCACGATGGGACAGGAGCCTATCATTAAGTAATGAGCTCCTGGATGGGATTATCATTGTTTTTTTGGTGCAATGCATTCTTCGACAGGCAATTTCATTCTAAACACCAGTAAGAGATTTTACAGCCATTAAGTTAGCTCAATCTTTATCTGTCTTGTAGTTTGTAGGAGGCATTTTCTCTAAGTTGGACATTCAGTTTCGTGCGTCACAGCAGGCCGTTGTATCGAAGACACAGTCCAGCGGGCCACCAACAGGAAACAGGTACGCTCAAGTCTAAAGAACGTCACTCAAAATGTGATAGTCTCTTACAGTGATCAGTCCTGTCTCGCAACGATACTATTGTATTTGGTTGGGACACTAGCCGCGACGAGACTAAGGGCCTGGTGCCTGTTGATTAGTGAATGATACAGGCCAGCTTGTTCGAAGTTGGATGACGCTATCCACTAAATAAATCCCAATACGGTGAATAGTGCTGTACGTTTTCTTAAGACTTATCCGCTGGATATTGTTAGAAGTAAATTCTCTAACACTCGTTGTTGGTTTGGTCGACTCTTCTTTAATTTCTTTTCTTCTCAAGTTATTACAACGGGGACTAGCTTCAATATATCAGGGAAAACTAGAGTCTCCGCTTATAAAGGTGACGTTGCGGATGACATTTCTAAGCCGTCAGTCTTCTTGTGTCGTCATCGTACCATCTCAACTAGCGAATCACGCTTGACTACGTATTACAGTTCCCACATACTGAGTATGCACTTAGGGTTGTTTACGCAGTTACAAAATCAATTTCTACCTTAATTTTCATGTCTTTACGGTTGAGATCGGCCAGAACAGAAACGAGATCGACAATATAAAAATTACAAATAACCTTGGTTCAGAGTATTATTTATATCTGAAAGTGTATCTTAAGAGAAAATCACCTTTAAAGATTGTTACATAACATTTGCATTTCTTGTTACAGTCAAAGAATTCGAAAGATCCAACTGAAAGTAACCACGTGATGACATGAAAAAGAAATACAATTTGAAAGGCAATTTAACTTATTCTTCGTTGTTTGTAATAATATTCAATATTCATTTTTAATATGATGTATGCAATTCTTGTAGAATGTGTGTTTAATAAAAGCTGCTTGTTATTTCCGACAGATTTCTGTTTACTTTTTTCTCTCTTCTCGTGGTAATTAACCGCTGAAATAGGGACGATGTGTTACATTCTATGCTTTCTGTTCTCCGCTCTCATAGGTTTTTTGGGGCAGGAAAAATTACAGAAATATTAGCATAATCGGTGTTTATTGAGGCAAAATGTGTGACAAAATTGATGCAGTGTTATCATAATCTTTTCGAGAAATAGAACTTACTGAATAGGAGTTGCGTTATCCTCGCTTGGTGAAAAAGGGGACTTTCCTACGACTCAGACCCTCAACTCCCACGTGTTGAAGGGGTTGGACAGTGAGGCATCCTGTCACTTTTTCGAGTTAATCGCCTGAAGGAGAACACCACCCGTGAAATCATTGCTTTAATAATTATTCGATCTAAAAGAAATACATTTATAATTCGCAATTAGAACAAACGCAAATCAAGTCTTTATCTTGTAACTAAATTCAAAAACTTCAATATAAACTTACTTCTGTGGCGGGTCGTTACAACAGTCTCACTTTACGGGTTAGCAGATTCTCCAGGTAAGCGGATTTAGAGACAGAAAAACGATAACAAAATAACTTCTTTCTCACTTCGATTCTGCTGAAAAACTGACTTAAAACATAATAATCTAACGCTTTTAAATCAATCTATTGAATTAATGTCAATCACGATTCTTGTCATCGAATAAATCTGTCAACACGAGGCAACGCCTATTTATTAAACGAAACAATCATACAGACAGCTTCAAAACAACTTATTGGAGGTTATGTAACAGAGAGCTGCAGCAGAGGAGAGGGGAATAATACCAAATTTCCACTCAAATTGTCGCGATTCCTGTGCACCTGATGTATTACATCTTGGGACAGTAAATATGCTTTTTGATTGGTTTATTTGACCAAGGTGTATAAAAACAATCCTTTGACGAAGCGGTTGCGTTATTTATATAGGCTACTTGTTTCGCGTAATTCTGTGAGCAACCAGTCATTCAAGCGTGCGGTTACTGACTATAGCATAATTTGAATAGGACACAGGCTAATTACTGGTGTCTCTTACTTTGTCAAAACAACATTTTTTCAACGATGTCTTCATTGATTTTACATCGAATATCTCGTCAAGTTATAGAATGTGGGAAACGATCGTACAGATTAGAACCCACAATAGCAAAATTTAGTTTTTCTCAAACTGGTACTCACACAACTCAGGTTCAAGCAAGGACAGAAGTTACCTCGGCAAATCGAGAGGTAATATTCTCTGAAAGGAATGGAAAGAGCGTAACAGACTCTGAACTAACTTTCGAGTGGAGTCAGCTTCAGACTGCCTACCAATCTAAACGGAATGAGGAGATTTTACGCGCAATGTTTGTACTGAAGATATGTTCCTACGACACTTTCGTCCGCAACAGTATGCAGGTAAGTTCGATTCAATACTTCAACTCGAGAGACAGTCGTAAGATTCTTCGAAGTATGTTCGCTTAATCGAGCAACACTCGACGAAAACACGGTCATCGGGAAAAAAATATAAATGGTTATAAAAGAACGTGGAAGAGGGATCGGTACTATTGTGTTATCTCGATTCGATTTCAAATTTTGTGGTGAAATATTGAGCACGTCTGAGCACATTTGCATAACCAGTTACTGAAAATTTATCGTTTTGATTCGCGACAAAATTATCAAGATCTACTCGGTGCTAATATCGTTTCTGGTCAAAGCAATAAGATTTTCATGCAAGGGACATTGGTTCGATATTAAAGGTGTCTTGACTGCAGCATTTTCAACGTGAGTGTCCAAGGTCGGCAGACGAAATAGGCGGCTTGACCCGTAGGTCGTGATGGGTCTCCCCCAGCAAAACGTTATTTTATTTTATTTTTTTAATAAAGCGAACTAATTCAGATGAATTCCATGTGACATTTCCTCGGGGAAATCTTACAGCCTAATTACACGCTAAGTAATATTTAGATCACGAAATAACTCGAGTAGATAACGTAACTTGGCCACCGTTAAGAGATTCTGAAGCAGACGTTTCGAGCGTTAGCCCATCGCCATTCACTCTGACGGAGGGCTTACGCTTGAAATGATGGTCAATTTACATCACCAACTCAGCTGTGATGCACCCCATCGACTCAGCACCACATTTTCTTCGGGAACTTTACACCCTCGTTTTCAATATTCAGATCACTTTGTTAGCATCATGGCTGTCATTATAATACGTTTTCAAGGCACTAACGTTACGAAAGGTCGCCTACTGAAACCTTTGAGTTCAAAAGAGGATTTTGACGAAGCAATTAGAGACAGTGCTTCGCATTCGGATAAGAATGAGGACGACTTTATTTAGTGTCTGCATTTGTATCACCTTGTGTTTCTCTGGAGCCACTGAACACACCAGCAAATAGATTAGACGGACCATAAACGGGCGAGACAAAGTTAAATTGGCTCTTTACAAGAAGAGTTAACCACTGAAAAAGTGACAAACAAATGTCAGTAGACCGTTCGACGATTCATTCCAACTCTTGACAAGGAATAGTTACCGTAAAGCCATCGACACTGTCATCAGGAGCTCCGTAGAATTAGTAAAATCAGTCTCGTTGTATTTCTACTATCCGATCCAAGTCATAAGTTGAAATAATCGTGAAAGAGTCGTGGCGGAGAGGAATTCAGTTTGCAAGGGACCTTCAGACGAGACAGACAGCAGACAAGACGATAGCATCTTTCTTTACCCTGCAGTTTTCTTACATTTTTCTAATAAACCTGTTAAATACCAGGTGAGGGGAAAATCAGCTCAATATCATTTACAAGAGACCATGAGGTCCTGTCAATCCGCATAACTTTCTAATCAAGTTTCTTTAGCATTGTGCTTATTTATTTTCTTTCTCGGCCTTTCGTTTTGATTCTTGGTGAAAAGAAAACATTGGGGTGACACCGTTACGTGAATTTTGTAATGCGTGACGTGACTGCAAGTAAGGGAGCGTTCAGGAGGTCGTTCAGGCTATCAGTTTTTAAGATTATAAAACGCAAGATTTCTTTCGCGCAAAAGTTGATGAGGGCAAGTTATAAAACAATTGGTCCATGCTTCTAACTGTGCGTACATCGAGGAATGGATGCACCACTGTGATTTTCACGACTGACAAGCCCAGACTTTGAAATGGTTATAGCTATCCGTGACCATCCTGTTGCAACACGCTCTGTACCTCGAAACTGAGGTCACTTAGCTCTGAAATAATTGGCTCCGAAATAATTTTCTCGAAACGTCTTTTATAGGACACATTATCCGCAGACAGAGAATTCGTTTCGTCCAAAGTTTTACAGTCGATCGTCGCTATGTAGTTCACCCTTCGCCACCTTCGGCTGCTGCCACGGGGACACAGTTTCCGACGAAGAAGTACGAGGGCCCCACTGAAAACCGCTGTGGCGAATTGGGTTCCCTCATTAAATATTATTATTATTATTGTTATTATTATTATTATTATTAGCATAGTGTTCCTCTGTAAGCCAATTGGGTGGAAAACAGCTAGAGTTTTCATGACCGTATTGCAACGTCTCGTGTTGTTAACCCTTTGCCTACCATGATCCAATGGTGAATTCTCCCCTCTAGCAGCTACAGATTTCCTTGAAAATTTGTTTTGAGAATTCAGTATTCGATCAAATTGACCACTTCTACCTGATACCTTTGAGTATTCTCATCAACTGTGTCATGGATAATGTATAGATATTGTAATGAGAAATTGCATGTTAATCACTTCTTGGAGTTAAGGTTGAAGGAGTTGAGATGGGAGCTGACTGTGAGGTCTGAAAATAAGGGTTCCTTTGGCATTCTATAATTTTTGATACACGTAGACTCTCGAAAGAAATGATCACATTCTTGGCAGGAGGGGTGGGCTAGTACAAATGGAGATGGGGTCAAACCTCCTTGTGAACCTGAAAAATGAGGGACTGCAGAAAATTCTGCAATCATTTTCGAGGGGTCACGTCTTTCTGTATATTACATTTTCCTTTCTACAAAAGAAAACAGCACTTTTAAGGGGGGGAGGGGGGGAGAGGTCACATTACTTAAGCACTGGTACAAACAGGACAAATGGAAATTATGCAGAGGAAAATGAAAGTGCCCTACCCCCAAACAATAAATGGCCAGTTCCTGGTTTTATGGTCAGACAAGAGTAAATACTCTTCCTTTTGTCTTCATTAGCATCCTTAGGGCAGGGCTGAGTATAACTGTCTATTTTTCTTTTTATTTCAACAGCTTATGTCTTTAGGTCGATGGGTGCTGGGAAGAACACTGTTTGAATTTCTACTACGCAATACCATGTATAGCCAGTTTGTGGCTGGGGAGACTCTACCAGCTATACAGAACACAATAAGAGAGCTACGTCAATGTGGAATAGGAACAATGTTATGTGTCCCTAATGAAGAGGATCTTTCAACTGATTATGATAACTTTAGAGATAGGTGAGCTTGTTTTGACCTGCGTTTCAGAGAGTCAATATCCACAGTTGTAACAGTCTCAGCTGCAACTTTTATGATATTTTTAGGATCATTGCAATGTAACAACTATTCATGGAAGTGGAGGTGGCTGGTGGTAGATATTTATCGAGCTACAAAGCCAGTGAGATAAAATAGCACAACAAGATGATTTTAACTTATTCATTCCCACAGGGATTAAAATATTTTTGGACGCAAATCTTGCAAGAGTAACTTAGAGGCGAACAGCAAAGGACAATCAGAGTTTAAAAAGCCAATCAAAGTGCACCTCCATGTTAGCTATCCACTGTTATAGTATATGGTATACTAACATTTGTTATCTATTACAAATTATTGATATCTCCCTAATCACTATGATTGTATTTACTGCCAATTTATTTGTTGAAGTATATCTATACATACTAGACAATTTAGAGCAATTAAAAATAATGGTTAATTTGAGGAAAATTACTTCTACAGGGAAGCTATGTTTGATAGAAATGCAAATGCCATCTTTGACTGCATTGGAAAGACAGGTAACTGATAACTTATTAAAACAACTTAACAATAAGTCTCTAAGAGAGGGGTGTAATATTTTATCACCATACACACTGAGGCCCTTCATTTAGGTTGGGTGAGACTTGCTGTAATAACCTCCACACTGCTTTTCTGTTACCCCATCTACAGGGTTAACTTTGAATTTGATGGTAGGCCCAGGGACATGCAATAAATAAATTTTTTTTCTATAATAAAATTCCTTTTCTTGCACTATCTTGCCATATGTTAGTTCTTACAGCTGTTTTAAATCTCAACACCTTGTTTTGGTCACAACTTTTAGAAGAAGGAGGCTTTTCACAAATGAAAGTGACAGCCATATGCAGCCCTATGCTACTAGTAAGTGGCTCTCAGTCAGACAGCAAATAAGTATGATATTAACTTTTGCAAAATTGAAAATGTCTGTTTGCATAGCTCCAAATGAATAGTCATTGAATAGTCCTCAAAAGTTTGTTATTTAAAAAGTAAAGCTTGAAGGATGTAAGCAAATAAGTTTGAATTGTTTTGTGGGACCATTTAATTGCTTTGCTTGATATCCTTATTTTTGCCTGTTCTACAATGGAATGCTGCTGAATATTCTGCATGTTCTTTTACCCTAATATGCTAAAAGGGCATAGTAGTATAACCATCAATCAGACAGATGAAATTTGAAGTCCATGGCAAAATTACTTTATTATTCTACATGAAAAAAACATACTTGTCTGGTGTGTATATAAATCATTTTAACATTTTTGTTATTATAAATGTTTAAGAATGTGTTGAACAAGCACTTAGCACCATATGAGGCCAGTACAGAGGCACTTGAAGGACTCGACATTCCAAGTTTTGCCAAAGGGTTTGATGGGAAGTTAAATGTAAGTTAATTAACCTTTGACCTTTGATTCTTAGGAGAGACTAAGCTGGAACTTCTCCTCAAGTTGTAGTGCATTGTCTAAGAAAAACCTGATGACAATGTATACAAAGTTATCCGCTAGTTTTCGTTTTAACGCATGTATATCAAAAAATTTTCTCATATAATAATAAAAACAAGAAAATTTGTATACATACCAGTGAGGAGGAAAGTGAATCATTCGATCGCATGGGTTTATAGATGATCTTGTCTTTAGTAAAAGGTTTGTTGACTCTATTCCAACACTAGAACAGTAAGGATTCAATTGGAAGGTTATTGATTAGAAAATCAACATTTAAAGAGAGAGGGATAAGTAGTTTTTGATGTAACTGTATGTCAACTTACTGCTTTGATCTTATTTTGCTGTGTTACACTTGATTTCAGGTGCCCGTTTTAAATGACAATCAAAATGAGCATCTCTTCAATGTAATGAAAAGACTAGATAAATTTGCTGAGGTAATTACTTTTGTGGTATATACATCTTGCGATTTTCATCATAACATACTTGTCAAAGCTTTACCATGTAATTTAAACTACAAGTTATCAAAATATATTTTTTAACCCTTTAACTCCCTTGAGTGACCAAGACAGAATTTCTCCTTACTATATCTGTACAGTATCATGCAGACAAGTAATGAGAATAAAGAAAAATATCAATTATGGGATTAACAATTGATCTGATACCAAATTCTCCTAACTAACATAATGAGAACTGTTTGGCAGATAGCCAGTAGAATTACCAATGAGATCTTGGGAGTTAAAGGGTTAAAAGTCATGAATTCAAAACTATTTTTAGGCATTTCTGCTGATGATTATTACCATTATAATGACTATTACCAATTAAGGCCTTTTTCTTAATTTCATTTATTTCATGCTTAAATTATATCTAATCTACACACATGTATTGACCAATTAGGGCACACATGGTATCTATTCAATAATTTTGTAAATAATTTGTAATGTTCATTTGTCAGGCATGCATAAATCGCAATGTGCGATTGGTGATCGATGCAGAGCAGACATATCTACAGGCAGCAATCAATCAGTTGGTGTTAGTACTTCAGTACAAATACAACAGAAACAACCCTTGGGTTTACAACACCTATCAGTGCTACAGAAAGGTTAATTTACTATCTTAGTGAAACTCAGAAAACTGTTAACTCTGGAGATATTCATGAAATTTCACTAACAAACCAATCAGGCTTGAGAAAGCATACAGTAACAGGGTAAATTAATTTGTGGTTTGATTACATGTCCTCATTTGCACTCTGATTGGTCTTTACAAAACAATGATCATTTCATAAATATTTCAGGTGTTCATGGTTTTCTGAAGTTGACAGAAAATTTTCTGTGATATGGAAAGTAAATAACAACATTTACCACTTTAGGATATGAAATAAAATTTCAACAATAATTTTAGGTGAGAAGAGTTTTTAACATCCTTTTCTGTGGAGCAGGGGGTAGCAAATTTACAAAATTTATTGCAAATTTATAGGAGACAGTAATTTAAAGATATGCCAGCAAAATACAGTACAGGGCTAGGAAAGAATACAGGCAGACAAAAAGTGTCAATGTGCAATGTTCCCATAAACCTTCAAAATTAAGCAACATTTCAGCAAAACACTGCATTTTATCAATTTACTGGTGTACAGTAATAACCCACATAGGATTGTGTTCTCCCAACATTGCAAGTGTGTTACTACATGGTAAACTGATAGAAGGTGCAGTCTATTGCCTTTACAAAATAAACTTCCAATTTCTATGGTTAACTACCAGTGCAATAAACAACAGGTTTTTGACCAATCAGGGTGCTTGTAGATGCTCTGCTATTTTGTTGCATTACCTAGTATAACACAATTTTATAATTTACAGGACACTTATGACAGAGTGATGGCAAATTTGGAATTGATGCAAAGACTAGGTTTCCACTTTGGTGCTAAGATTGTTCGTGGAGCATACATGACAATGGAGAGGAATCGAGCAGCTGATATGGGTTATGATGACCCAATACATAACAGCTACGAGGATACTTGTAGAATGTATGATCAAGTGGTAGACACTTTGTTACACTTGGCAAGTCGGACTCCAGCAGAAGTCATGATAGCCTCTCATAATGAAGAATCAGTCAAACTTGTTGTTCAAAGGTATTTCTGAAAAGTGCATAATTTTATGCTACTCATTGAAAACAAGGTGTTCAAGAGCTCTCATGAACAGTAATGACATTTGCTGACAATTCACCTCCGAGCTGTGTTTGAAATAAAATTTTCATGAATCTTTGTCACTACCTTGAAATTTTAATGTAGACATTTTTTTTTATCTCAGTGTGTTGGGAACACTTTCCTCCTAAAATTGACCAATATGCCACACCATGAAAGCAGGGCTTGGGGTGAAATTGCATATTCCAGCTTGTAACATGCATGTGCAGCATGTTGGTATCTTGTCAATATAAGAGATGGTAGGATAGCTATCGAGGGGATAAGGAATTTAACATGGCAAGTAAGAGAATGGTGGTGAAGATGGTAACAACTTAATGAGGACATTGACAATGGCAATGATGCTGGTCGTTGAGAGGTTGATAGAAACCCATAATGAGTAATATGCAATAAAAAGAGTTGCAATACTGCAAGTAAATTTGTGTACACACCAGCTTTAACCAGAAGTTATTTAATTTGATAACATCTACTTTGCTGATTAAATGTAACAAACATGTATATCAAAATTTTGGAACAGAATGAAAGAACTTGGCATTGCACAGGATGCAGGGAAGATTTCATTTGGACAACTGTATGGGATGTGTGACCAGGTCTCTTTCTTATTAGGTAAGGGACAAACAGTGACAGACAACATATAAAGCCATTAAGGAAAAGTCTGTTTAACCAAAGTCTAAAGCTTGGGATATGCATTAGTGTTGAAAACATTTAGGTTTATCATTGAGAAATCTGAATTTTTGTTGATTTAACGTGATAGGGGAAAAGAGTGTGTCAAGGTAATTCCTAGTCAAAGGCTGGGTTAAATTACCTTCATTGAAGTACTGCCATTGTTACCAATACTTTCCTGGGTCTGCAAGTAAACAAACAAATAAGTGAGCAAACCCTTTAAACTGAGGTGAAAATGAATCCAACAGTGCAAGATTGCAAAAATCAAAATGGACTTAAGTCAGGAATACCTTTCATAAATGATGGCATAAAGTCAGAATTCATGTGGGGATGCATTGCTGTAAATTGTGAAGAGGCCTTTCCTCCTAAACAATGAGTGGAAGGTCTAGCCAATATTAGAGTGATTTTCCATCCATGTTTTATTGTAAAAACTCTGTTTAATTTCTCCTTTACTACCACAGGGCAGAAAGGCTTCAATGTGTACAAGTCAGTACCTTATGGCCCTGTTGGTGAAGCACTTGCTTATCTTGGGCGCAGAGCCACAGAGAATAGAGATGTTATCAAAAGAACAGAAAAGGAAAGATCTCTCTTGTGGCAAGAGTTAAGAAGAAGAATCACTTCCCTAGCTCATTAGTGTGAATAATGCTATCTTCTGACTAATGTTATTAATTTCTTTCATTAGCATAGCTGTCCTTTTAAGGTAGTGAGGAATAATCAACATATATTGTTCATGAATGAGCCAAAAGTTGGAGAGGAAATATAAAAATAATGGCATGGGTGCACAGTTTTGGTGTTACCAATAATAATCAGATTTGTAATCAAGGTGGTTTATTTGCCACTTTGAAAAGCACTCTCAAGGGTTTGATCCTTGATGCAGACAAAATCATAACTGACAGGAATTTGATGTTACTCAAGAACACCTTTATAGTCGGTCTTTTCTGACTTCAAATAGCTCTATAGCTCAGAGGAAACATTTATAGAAAAACAAATTTGTATTCAATGGAAAACTTCCATTAATAGCTAGATGTTTTTAGTATATCTAGTGGCCTCTAAAACAAAAGATTCCCTAGAAATTGCACCACACCCTTAGCCACAAGAAATGCTTCTCTAGACAAATGCTAAGAATACTTCTACTCCAATTGAGTAATGGGAAGTGAAATTCTCCCAATGGAGTTCCACTTTTAGGCCAATATGCTATTCATTTCATATCAAGAAGTGTTAACTGAATTTATGGCCTTTCCTACCATTGTGGGGCTTTTCTATGTTTTTCCAAAGGTAGCCAGCTGTAATTCATGCTTAAAATTTAAAATAGGTTTTGAATTTACTCGCTCAAGAACTTCATTAAGGGCTACTTTTTTTTAATAGATTGCATCTCATTGCAGGTTAAAACTGAAGGAATCTACATTAAAACAACGAGATTCATGCCAAGCTAAAAAAACTTACATTTATACTAGGCTAGCTTAACTGTATTTTGTACATTCTGGCTTGGCAAGACACTCAAAATCCCCTCCATTTAAGAGTTTAACCCTTTGACTCCTTCGAGTGGCAAAAATAGAATTTCCCCTTATAATATCAATACAATATCAGGCAGATAAGTGATGATAATAAAAAAATATATTTAATTGGGGATTATAAGTTGATCAAATACCAAATTCTCAAAATTAACATCACATGAACTGTATGGCAGACAGTGAAGAGAATTAGTTGAGATCTTGGGAGTTAAAGGGTTGAATAGGCAGTTGATGCAAGTGCCTGATATAACTGTATGGTACAGCTGATGAGAGAAATTGTGTAAAAATAGCACTGCTGTGTCACACAAGTAAAATGTAATAAGGAAACAATCCCTATATAGCTTTCATAATAGTTAAGCTTTAGAGCAAATTAATCATTCATTGCACATTGTATGTGGTTTTATAAATATTGGAACTACAAACAGAACAGATTATTAAATATTGAGAGCTTGATGTTGTTTTAAGTCACATGTTACAATTTGTTTTGTGAACTCCCTAGAGACCTGTTTGTTCATGGATAAGGCATTAAAACTTTGTGAATAAAACAATATAATGCTCTCAAGAAATGATCATCTTTATTTAATCACTAAAGGATTTAAAAAGATGAGGGCTTGGGTTAAATTATTTTCACATGGGGAAGAACAATGTAATTGTACATCGTGGATCCATTAATTTTAAGTGAATGTAAATAAACAATTTTATAGCATCCTATCCAGCCTCATGCCTTGCACTGTGCTATTGATAACTACTACTGACCAACGGAAAACTGCTGTCCCTGGTTTTACAGAGGCAAACACACAGAGAAGTTTATCCAGAATAATACACAGGCTTTTTTTCCAGTGTGCTAAGAAAGTCCTTTTCATTCTTGGGAAAAAGACAAATAAAGTACAAGAGCCAAGATAAAGTTATGCAGGATCCTTTATAGAGACATTAAATAGTTTTTGCACCACAACTCCATTTAAAAGAAAATATGAGCAAGAGAGGTACATGCCTCAACACAATACATCATTTTTAAAAAAGTGGAGAGCATTTATTGTGAGAAAATAGGATAATAATGTGAAGAATTCTCTACAAGGATTAACTTGACCAGATATTGTTTGAGCATAAAAACACTGCAGCTGCTTTGTTTAAAATAAGAGAAGAGGAACAGTATGTTTTGGTAAGCCATCAATTTTCAGGACAATGGCACTACCTTTCTAAGAACTATGTATTTGGTTGGATGATAACTAATTAAAAGTCGCGGAAAGAGCTACAAGGTAAATAATGCATTCTTATCCATTACCTCAAAAGTGGCCTGATTTGTTCATAAGATAAGTTCAACACTGCCAGACTAATTATTCACATTCTGATGACTGAGAACCGTGTTGAAATGAAAAGCTTTTACTAACTTTTTTAAAATTACACTCATCTGTAGGGCCTGTATATAAGAAAGACAAGAACTAATGAAGGCAAGGCAACTTATTAAGAATTATATCTCTGGAGATTAACAAATAATTTTTATGTACATAGATTGGAATGAGATCCCCCAATTTCAGGGAAAAAATTGCCATCTTATGGATTCCAACAAGAAAAGGAATTTACAATCATCCTGCAATTTTTCTTAATCATAACAAATACAGGTACATCTTAATCTTGAGGTGCAATAGGTTTCTCAAGATGCATGGTGAAACAATATGTGCATGGATACATAAATACTTGAGGAAAATGTACATTGTAGAAAAATCATTTTTGAAATACATCAACCACTTAAAAAAAAAAACAAACAAAAAACTCAAATTGTGGTACTGGGTCAGAAATAATTTACTGAAGTAAGAGTTAAAAGGTATTAATCCACCTCTTCATCATTATCACTGGATTCTATGTCTGGAACTTCTCCCTCCATCACCATCTGTGAAAAGTTCCATCACAAGAAAGTTTTAAAAACAGATATGTACTAGATATGTGGTAAATTTTCCATAAGATTACAAACTGAGAGAAACTGTTTAGGGTCAGATGCAAAGAATATCTTAACTCTTCCAGTACCTGGTATAGAGAAGCAAAATACTCAGCTTGACCAGCAATTTCTTCAAGGCTTTTGTTTCTTTCTCTGAGTTCTTCTAACTCCTTATGAATCTGAGTTAAAAACAAGAAAGTTAACCCTTTAACTCCCAAGATCTGATTGTTAATTCTCCCCTAAAGCTGCTACACATTTCCTTGTAAATTAGTTATGAGAACTTGGTGCTAGATCAAGATAACGGCTTCTACCTGATAAGTTTGAATATTCTCATCCATTGTTTGCTGAATAATGTATGGATATTGTAGGGAGAAGTTTTATGTTAATCACTTCTGGGAGTTAAAGGGTTGATCAAAACATTCAGTCTGCATATGGAAAATTCTCATTCCACCACCTTTATAATTATATACCTTGCAATCTGAACATCTGCAGGTAAGTGCACATTCAATGAAATGAAATGACCAAATTTCAAGACAGTTGTGCAAGTTTGTGGTTACTATATAACAATTTTATAAATTTTAAATGAAAGTTTTATGTATTTACCCTTTCATTCTCCTCCAATGCCTCTTGTAGAGCCAGTCTCCTCTCCTCTGCCAAAAGCTCCCAATATCTCTCTGGTGGTGGATCTTAAGTCAAACAAGTTACCAAGTTAATAAAACAAACAAAAAAAAACAGGTAACTTAGCAATGTAGTGAGAAATAAAAAGGATAGCACTTGGTGGAAAATCCAGTATTTATTTAATAAATACATCACAGTATATACAAAATTTGATCAAGCTACCATACCCTAAGAACAAACTGAGACATAATCTGACAAATCATACATACTGTAACAACAAGTTATAGGATTAGAACATTACAAAATCACATTGCATTCTACATAAAGCAGCCACTTGCCTGAAATCATCAATGCTACTGCTTCGTCAAATGATTCCCCATGAGGCGATTTTGTATTCTATAAGACAAAATACCATTTTTGATTCAATATTTTTCAAATATCAAGGGGTGTTGGATGTCACAAACTTGTGGATTGGTGGACTGGAAGTAAACAACCTTCCTCTTAAATTTTGAGAAAAAGACAAAGGAAAAGCTTCACTGTACTATTCAAAAATATGCTCAAAATACTCATTTCTGAGTGTTGTAGCATGTGAAAACAGCTTCTTCTCATCACCCCTGGTCAAAGACATTGTCAGAGGATAAATGGCTTGGAGCCAATGAGAGGAAAGGGTCTTCACAGGCTGATAATGGCTTGCTTCGTAAAGCAGAAGCTATGAATAAATCAATTTAGCAAAGGCAAGCCATATGGTTGTTCAGTAATAATTGTTAACTTTTAGTGGCGTTGGGTCCTAATATTACTTACAAGTTACTGTCCAAACCTCTAGAAAATCCTCTCAAAGCAACCCAGTTTGATAGAGATAAGAGATAACCCAACCTATGGAAAGCTTCAATTTTTTCCACCAAGCCTTCCCCCCTCTCCTCTCTCAAAGATGACAGGAAAGTGAGCACCAACATTTCCATTGCAGTAAATTAAAATGTGAAGGATCAAGTTTTTTTGTCAGCTCCTTTGAAAACTGTTAGAAGGATCCAAACTGTAATGCCTTCTTTAAAGTAAAGATCCTTACCCCTTCACAAAATCCTGCATCTTCGAACAGGGTGCAGGTGGTGTGGGTTAAAAGGGAAAGGATGGTATGTTCCCACTCACTCTGATTTGAAGGACCCTTTCACTTTGAAAATATAAAACTATTGCCGTGTTTATTCGATTAAACGCTGCATTTTAGAGCAGAAATATTTATAAATGCCCCTCTCCGTTTATTCAAATAATAGACTAAAAATGCACACAGCGATCATCGCTTTGGTGGCATGATCGCAGTTGGAAATTTTGAGTGAACCAGACGCAAATCCTTTTGAATGTACTAGTTCTGATGTCGAGAAAGCATATCCAACATTAGATCTTTATTCACTTTATGTATCGCTATAGTATTAACATGCAAATTGTGAAATCGTGAATCGTAAAAGAACGCCGCCCTCAAACAAACGCCGCACTCGAATCACGAAAATTTAATCAACGCCACAGCGTTAAATCGAATAAATACGGTAATAAATTTGTTAGGAACGCAAGGAATATATATACATTAATTTTTGATTGTACCTCTCTGGCTGAGCTGACAGCAGTGTCAGAATCCGAGGAATCGGCAAGTGTTGAAGAAGAACCGTTGCCTGATTTGTGAAGAATCTTAATCTTCTGCTGTTTGAGTTTTAAAGTTGGTGATGATTTACCCTTCTTAGATTTCTATGAAATATCAAGGTTAAACATACTTATGTAAAACGAATATAAAATAAGAACAATCAATTCTTCGGAAAAAAAATAGGCTGATAACTACGAGCGATAGAAGGAGAGAAATATCGAACTTCAAGCTTCGAAATTCAACATGATTTCTTCCTTCCACAAACAATGAAAATTGGTATAAACTTAATCCTGCTCGGCCAAAAAAGACGTCAGTGTTGATTTTTATTAATTTTACAATAAGAAACTGGCTGAGAATTGGCTGCAATAGGAAAACGCGTGGACTATCAGGACACAAGGTATTTCTCTAAGATAAATATACCGTAAACCTGCTTGTTTACTGCTTATTAATTTACCATTTCACTATGCCTAACGACGCCACGGCTCCCAACGAGCGTGCCATTGCCGCTTGCAGCTGGTTGGAGAACTTGAAGAGTTTTTCTCTTCTCTTTTTCGACTCCGCTCAGTTTCTGGAAAAAATCAACGCTCAATTAGTATTGCACCGTTACTTTCTCGTTCATCGAGGAAATTTTGTTCAAAACATGCAACATTCAATAACAATTACCGTTTTCCTTGTTGGCGACGAATACAAACTCGTCGAGAAAGACTTGGGTTTTAATTTTCCTTCACCCACACGCGAAGTTCGCGGCGGAGAAAACAGCACAGAAGCAACCTTTGAGTGATTTCTCATCGTAAAAACTTCTCCTGGATTTGGAGAACAATTCTCGTCACAGATAAAACTACTTTTAGGGGTATCACTGTCGAAAGGAAGCTTTTCAATAGGCAACGCAAATGAAATCTCGTCACCCTCATTGTCCGCCATGGTTTTAAACCTCGCGGGTAAATTCCAGCGTGCAATGACGAAAGAGTCACATGACTACCATATTAGGAGAGGTTGGTGCTCAGTCTCATTCTGCTTGTGTTGTAGCTCCTCAATTTTGCAGTTTTATTCCGGTTTTATCAGATTTCTTTTGATTTTTTTTACATTTTCTCGGCGTGAATTTAACAAATGAGGGGAGGCCTTTTTGAAAAAAAAATAATAGACAAAAAATTGAATAACGACAATGATGATGATTAACATGACCATCGTGATGACGACGATAATATGCTGGTAAATCATGAATGGCGCGAAGTCAAGTGAGGTTACACTGCTACGGAAGTGGCGGAGGAAAATGGGCGCGCTGAAACAGAATGAAAATCAAGTATTCAATAATTTAAAGAAGGAAATCAAACAAACTGAAGGTGGAGATGAAAATATATCATTGAGAAACTTACTTAGAATGCAAACTTTTATTAAGTGGAAAACATTTTCCTTTTTTAAATATTTCAGTGTTTTAAGAGAGCTGTTGGCAGAGCAGCTGCTGCACCAATGGTTTACGTTCCAACCAGTATATCAAGGCTAAAATAAAGTGCCCTTTTGAACAGAGGTGTTTGTTAGCCAGTGGTCATTGGCATGGAACACAGCTGCGAATCATTTGGGATCAATTTCACCCCGACTCCCAGCTTCTGTCAAATATAGAAGTTTCCAATAAGAGATAATTCACCTTTGTTGCCTTTGCAGAATTACTGATAATTGTAAAAATTTTTTACTTTACAAGATGGGGTTAAAAGAAGTCATTAGCGATCATCCTTTAGGGTAAAAACAAGAAAAATTGGTAGGAATCTCTGTAAAAATGAAATAGAAGATGGAGTAAGTTTCTATCAACCCATTTCCAACCACCACTACATTTAGAAGGCTGCTAAGTTTATTTATTAATTTCTATGTAACAAAAATCTCCCTCATCAACCATATCAAGTGTTAGATAAGAATTGAAAGAGCTTGCAACCTAAGGAAGTTCAGGATGAATGGTTCAAGATGAACAAACAATGACCCTGCTCAATTCAAGTGATTGGGTCACAATTCTATCAGAACTTGACAAAACAGAGTTAAAAGTGTACACTTAGTTTTCGTAAAAAAACATATATTGATTATTTACATTATAACAAGAATTTAATCTTTACCAACCACCAACAACCTACAAATGGCTAATTCAAGCTTGGTTAACATCCCAATCAAAGCTTTCCATTAACAACACACCAAGGTACAAAAACGATAGCCTCATTTATGGGTTAATCAGTGCAGATTAAAACTTGAGTCAGAAACTTAGGTGGATGGTTTGCTACGCTACAAAGTTAACACAATTTTTTCAGATAAAGAACATTTGGAAAAATACTTGATTGACGTGCAATTATATGTGGAAAATAGGAAAAAAAAGCAGACAACCTTTGGGTTGGTTTTACAGGATCCATTCATTTCATCATCTACTAAAATAACCTAATTACAACTCCCTCTCTTGGCCATACTAAACAGAGAATTTTTCTATGGTTAATGTCACCATATATATATATGTATATACTTGAACTCTCCAAGAGGGAAACAAAGGATTGTACAGTACTGTCTAATTGTCATTATAAAAGTATAAGAACACTACAGAAGTCCTTGGTTTGATCTACCCACAAAAACCTTTTTGTTAACATTTCTTATTTCTCTATCAATGAGTAAACCCAATGCCTTTGGCAAAATTATTTCATAAAATTACAAATTATGCACTGCTAAATAAATTGCATCTTTTTTAAAATGTTAACACCAATGTGTGGTAAAATTTGAGTGTTTGAAAGGAAAAAAAAACTTGGGTGACATTTTGATATGAAGATTTCATACCAGTTATGTCTACATTATGGTGTAACTGTAATCCTTATTTCAAACCTAACTCTGTAAATTTCTAGCTAATCTATCTTCAAGTGGTAATGAAGAAGTTGAATCTTTATTGATCAGTTGCCATCTAAAGTTAAGAGATCTAAACATTATTTTAAAGTAGTATTATACAAAGGAAAACCATTACAGAGGCAATCATTAAATGAAGAGGGACAATGGCCTGTAGCAGTGACAACTGTGGAACTCAGAAAACCATGAACACACAACTAAATTGTACTCACAATATTGCTAGAACACAATATACATTTGGGACAGTTTGACAGAACCATTAACTTCAGACAACAACTGATACTAAATTTTTCACCAAGTACTAAATATGAAGTGGTCATCCCTGGTAATCAATTCAAAATAATTTCACTAGTTAATGAAACTAGACAATAGAAATAGCATAGATGAGAGTGCATGTGCTTGCAATCACAATAGACAACATTGTGCTTATGAATCACAAGATGCACTAGTGTTCATGTATTGTCCTACAACTAATCTGACTTCTATTTTTTGCCAATAGTAATGTTCTATAGAGCTAAATGGTTTCTTTCTTTTGAAAACTTAGCTTTTAAGCTTAAATCCACCTCATTTGGTATTTCTTACTGACAACCAAATGATAAGACCCAAGGCACCTGCAACAACAACCAAAATAACTAGGATACAGCACATCTTCTTTCTTGCCGCTTTCTGCAAATAAAAATTGTTTAACAATAACTTCATTCATTATTTCCAAGTTTAAAGTACTTTTTGTGCCCTTTGATCTCAGCAAAGCATCCACTTAAAAGCAGTTTAGTCTTTGACCCTAATTGGCTCATAGCTGTTGGAGTTAATCCCTATTTTGACACTATGACCCAGCCAGTTCTCAAACCATAACATCTTTATCTGGAATCCTAAACTCTAGGTTCCAAACTCCCGTCGTTGCAATTTTCCAAAAAAAGCAGACTAAACTTTTTTACTCTGTCTAATACTGTTTACAATCAATGAGATGACAAAAAAAAATCCAATAAAACAGTAACTATGATTTCAAAGTTACCAAATTAACAAATCACAGTGGTTTAGCAAGGCCTGTACTCTCATCCATAACAATATTTGTCATCACAGTAGTCAAACTGTTGTGGACTCAGAGGCACAGCTTTGTGAGTCTGCAATCCACTGTCAATTTTTTTTTTTTTTTACCACAATATCAACATCAAATAAAATGATTTTTTCTGCCCATGACCATTGCCTGACACACTGATGCAAGTCTATACTCTTAAAGCAAATAGGCCAATCAGATTGCAACATTACAACCAGTTACAGTGAAAATAATTGTTGTGCACACCTGATAGTGACTAGCTTTCTGTAACTGGACATTGGCGTCTTCAACATGGACTGCAGCAGTGTCTACATTTGCCTCAATGCTATCTGTAAGTCAAATAGAGATAGGGCAATTGGAGAGTTAATGGAAAACTAAGGACCTTAAAGAAAATGGTTTATATGTAAAATTGAATTGTTTTACCTATCATGTCACCCTGCTCATACACCATGGTGGCAAGATCTCTGAAGATTTCATTGACACCAACAATATCAGCCTATATATAAGACACAAACAATTGATTGAACTACATGATTGCAGAGATGGCGCTATAAACTACATGTAAATGACTTGTAAAACCTCACTCTTTCAAAACCTCTCTTAATCCTTACTATACTCTATACTCAGTCTGGTCTCCAACATGTACCATTCTACCACTGGTTATTACATGTACGTATTCTTAAGTACTTGGGAACATGCTTCTAAGATCTACTTTGTAACATTGATACAGAAACGCTACATGTTCAAAGATTAGCCTTTCTTCAACAAATTTAAACCCTTCCACTCCCAGATCTCAAAGGAAATTCTTCATACTGTCTGTAATACAGTTCTTACGATGTTATTTCGAAGAATTTGGTATTGGATCAACTAACAATTACCCAAATGATATTTATCTTTATTCTTATCACTTGTCTTCTTGTCATTGTATTTTTTTTAAGAAGAAATGTCTTGGTCACTCCTAGGATTTAAAGGGTTAAGGCCCATGTGACATTACCTCCAGTTGTCTAATGGCTCTTTCCCTTTCCTCTATCAATTCCACAGAGACCTCTTCTTCTGCTTGTACCTGGAATCCACTGCCAGCTCTAAAAGATATTTACCAAAGAGAGATTAAGTCTTCAGAAAGAGAAAAATAAAAAAAAAGGTAATTTAGTGTTAACAACTGAGTTGAAAACGTAAATTGACCACTGTTAAAAGCTGATGTTTCAAGCATTAGCCCTTGGTCTATTGCTCTGACGAAGGGCTGACGCTCGAAACGTCAGCTTTTAAACTCGTAACGGTGGTTAATTTACATTTTCAACTCAGTTGTCAACGCTTAATTACTCATTATACTCTCCCACTGATGAAGCACCACAGTTTCTTTAGAAACTTACCCCCTTAATTCAAATAAAAAACAGTATTGATTAAATATGTTTGCATCCGATTGGCTGAAAGGTAGGCACAAAATTGATGCACTCCTGGATCCCTTTCAACACTCAAGAGGACATTACCCTTTAATAACAGAAGGAAATTAAGCCACCTACCTGTCATTTGAAGTCGAGCTATGCTCATCATTATATCCACCCATTGGCTATTGGAAAAGAAATTATCAAACAATATTGTTAATCACAATAGCAAAGCCCTCTTGGCTGTAATTATATAATTGGGTTGACATGATGATACGTAGAAATAATTTTGCATGTCTTAATTTGCAGCAAAACTTGCTAATTTGGTCACCTGTGTTCAAAGGGCATGTAACAACAGTTTCATTACTTCAAGAATTTAGTCTGGACTTAAAGTGACATAGATATTTGTGTAAAAAATTAATTCTTTGAAATATTTGCGAGGACCACTTCATTACCCATTACATATTAAATATTAATCCATTCATTGAAAAAAAAAAATACCTGACAACATTTTCAGAGCACACTTACACTTGGGGTTGGCATTGCTGCAGACATTGACCTTGCACGTGAAACAGATTCTCTCTCCTTTTCTGCTGCACTCTGTTTACCCACAGAAGGATGATAACTGACAATTAGAACTATGTTCAATCCACACAATCATGCACAAATATGTCCTCAATTTGATCATAGAGAAAAATCAAAAATAATTTTTCCATTAAGACTCAAAAATTAATTTACCCTCTGAAGTTGCTGAAAAGTGTTCAAAGCTGTTGAGAAGTTGTCTGCTAACTTCTCTACTTGTATTTTCCTTTGACGCTACAATAAGAAAAAAAAAATCCTCTGGTTAGAGGTTTATCAGAAAACTGCAATGTCTATGGTTTTTCTCATGCAATGGGCTACAAATAATGGTAATATTTATCTGGCAATATTTAGTGCACTGACCACTGGACTACTGAACAAAGCCGTGGCATTGGCGTGCCTGCAGCACAGTTGATCATGCATGTTAAAAGTAGCACCTTGTACGGTCGTACGGTCGTACAGTCATACAGTCATACATCCAAATTTTTTCGGCTTGATGGGTTACTACTATTTTGTATAATTATGGGGCTAAGCTCTGCAAGCTCCACTATAATCAGAATGTTACAGATGCCTTTCAGGGTCTTTTTTTTTTTCAGAGTATGATTATGTTTTACCTCCTCCATGGATTGCCTTCTAAAGACTGCTACAGGGACCAAATATAAATAACCATATCAAATATGGTTGAATACAATTTTATAGGCCAGCAAAATTGGGTCTTAAGTTACTGCAGAAAAAGTTGAGCCTAAAATACATACTCTTTCAGATGGTGATTCTCCAAACAGATGAGGAAGCTGCTTCAAGTAAGAGTGAGTTTCCTTGGCAAGTTTTTGAGTGGCTTGTTCTGTTTGTTGTCTAAAATGAAAAAAAAATTGAAACTCATTACAAGAGTCGGCACTATCAATTGACAATAATCTGAGGAGAGTAACTGTGACTGTGTTAACCTTTTAACCTAAAAGTGATCAACATATAACTTCTCCACTTCTCCCTACAATATCCATACATTATTCACCAACAGGTAATTAGAATACTCAAACTTTTCAGGAAGAAGTTGCTGTCTTGATCTAACATCAAGTTCTTGTAACTAATTATCAGAGAAATGTGTAGTACCTAGAGAGGAGAATTATCAATCATATCTTAACTTACAGTCTGCTCTGCAACTGTGATTTATCCTCTGAAGTTCCAAGCTTGTCCACAAGCTTCTGAATTGTAGTGACTGTGGATTGACACCAAGAAAAAAACAATAAATTATGTGTCCCAGGAAGAGATTTTACACCTAATCTGATTGATTTACCCTTATCATGGATTCTGATACACCTTTGAATACCATACAAGCTATAAATTCCTTGACTTCAAGACACACAGTGGTAAATGTGTGTCTATGTTTCACTGCTGTATGTGAGGTCACAGAATTCTCTAAAACATATGTCGACATATGCAACATTTTGATTACTTTTTAAATATATGGATGTAACATTGGTTGTGAATTTGGATGAGTTTTTAGATGACAACACAGAACATAAACTGAGTTTGCCTTAACAACAGGCAAAGTGCATTAGTAATCAAGCATGAAGGTGTTACAATCTTACCATGTGCTTCTCTAACTGGTATAAAGAAATGAAGCTATGTAACATCAATGTCTAATTCAATTCTGTTTTTTTGCTTAATCCTTAGACTCCATCAGGAATTGTATTTTTTCCATTCAGTTAAATTTGATGTTTTTAAGAAAGTTTGTAACACACTTGAAGGCCAGACTCAAGTGGATCCTTCAACAAGTCTACTTATTATATTACCACAATTTCAACTTAACCCTCCAGACCGAATTTGTAATTCTCCTTACTATCAACCAAACAGTTTTTACAATGTTAATTCAGAGGATTTAGTATTGGATCAACTAATCATCCCCAAATTGATATATTTCTTTTTCTCAACACTTATCTGGTTGATATTATAGTGATATTGTAAGGAGAAATTCTGTCTTGGTCACTCATGGGAGTTTAAGGGTTAACCCCCCAGAGGTGATTACCATATAACTTCTCTTTAAAGTATTCATATATTACACAGCAAACAGGAAGTGAGAAAACTCAAACTCACCAGGTACAATTTATTACCTTGATTGAAAACCTAGTTCTCGTTATCAATTTACAAGAAAATGTGTAGTAGCTGAAGGGGAGAATTGACAACCAGATCTTGGGAGTTAAAGGGTTAACATACCATTTTTGTTGATTGCTTGAATGTTATTACTAACGCAGCTACAGAGTCTGTTATACTCTGTGGAGCCACCCTTTGATCCTTCAAACAAAATATACAACTGAAATCATACATAATATCATAAATTTTCCAAAAACACAATTAAGATCACACCAAATAAATTGTTTCTAATTATAAATTCCAAAAGGAGAGCATTCTACACCCCTCCAGAATCAAGTGTGACATAATCCCTGTAACATATGTACAATGACAAGATTCAAAAGAAAGTTCTGCATTCAAAAGTCATTTAATATTGTACTTAGTAAAAAATCAACCATAATCACTACTTAGGTGTACTAGGCTCTGAGTACAGAATAGTATGCAACAATCAGAAATCAATCTGGGATTAAAATACAGGCTGAAGGTAAAGCAGACAAGCAGTTCTAATCCTGATCACCTGTGCTGGAGTTTGAAGTATATTCACCGAAGGACATGGTGCTTATTTCCCTTTGCAACGAGGCTACAATAATAGAGATGAGAAATTAAAACCCAAAGTCAGGACTGAAAACCTTAAGGTTAATGGATGTGTCATTATAAAGGATTAGAATACCATAAAATGTGAGTTAATTTCTCAATTTAACAAAATAAATTTTCCACGTCCAAACATATCATTCAGTACAAAACATTTCAGCAAATATGAACGCGTTCAAGTTTTAAGACGCCATAAGAAAACTTCCTAAGTTAACAGCTACTTTCAACTCTACATTTTAATTTCAAGAACATATATAATTCACTTTGTTAAATCTGTGTAAAAACTTCTTCAAACGGATAATGAAAGTCTTCTGCTCTTTCTTAATTAGTCTGATTTAAGTCTTATTTGTCGACACGACAACCTTTAGAGATGTTTCTGGCGTAATCTATTTATCATAAATATGCTTTCAACGCCAAATGTAACTTTTCTCAGTTTTTCAATAAGTTATTGATATATTATAAATTGTATAAAGTTCAGCCTAAAAATGTAAATTGCTTCAGCCGAAATCAATTGCGCTTTCAACTAACGCAATTGGATAAGGTGGTTCGCGAACTGAACCAACAAATCTTAAGGACAAGAGATGCAAAATATACCATGTAAACCCACTAAATTACCAACCAAGGAAAGCAAGATAACTCATGTTGTTGTTGTACTAATCAAAGTCGGATTTCTCACCTAAAAGTTCTCAAATTTGCTCACTTTTCGTATTGGATCACCTCGCATATGACTTGCGAATTTCCCGAAATAACTCAGCCCCGCTAACTGTCAGCGGTTTCTTAAAGTATCGATGACGTCATTATTAGGAAGACCCGAAATGGTTGAGCCCACGATTATAACTCAGCAGCAAAAAGTTCCATAGCAACAAGAAAACTTGTAAACGTTTCCATGACGATACCTTATTTTCCTCTAGCAACCAGCTTCGTGCATAAATCGAGCTACTGTAACGCAAATCCAATTAACACAACCATCCTCTCTGTGAATACTGTAGCTCATCGGTGGTTCCTCCTTGTTATTTGATTCTTCAATTCTCTGTCTTCTTCTGCACCTTAAACAGGTAAAGAGAACTCTACTTTTTCGTTATACGATTACTACGTTTCACATTTCGTGCCTGTTCGCAATTTCACTCACAAGTGAACACGGAAAGATTTCTTCAAGGGTATATTTGACACGGAACCTCTTGTTGCATTGCAGTGCTTGATCAAATATGGGATGCTCTGCTTCAAAAACGTCCAAAGTTGTGGTCCCAATGCCAACAGAACTGAAAGAAAACTTAAAATCATCACCCGAAGAAGATAGACAAGAAAATACAGCTACGACAGAAAGAAAAACTTCGACAACAATTCAAGTGAAACAGTCCAATGTCGACAGTTTAAATGGAAGCCAAAGTAGCTTGAATTCCAACTCTGATTCTGAAAGATCAAATCGGGAAAGCTCGGCAAAATCTACAAGAACTATGGACAGTGGTTTAGGTGAACTAGAAGACGACGAAAATATTGTGACAGAAAAATCCACACTGGACAAACAGAAGAGAGCACTGATAGACGATAGGCCTCCGACACCAGGTTGGTGTACATTTGAATTCTCAAACGAAAATACAAGATGTTATTTTTCAAAATTCAATTCGTAGAGCAGCTGTGATTTTTTCGTGAGCGTGCCGCGCGTCCCGTAAAAGAACGTGCACTGAGTCGCATGAAGGTGGATCAAAGCTTGCGCAAGGGTTGCTCGCTTTGTTTCCAAGCGTCCAAGCGAAGCAAAACAGTGTCACGTTCGGGTTAATATGCATTTAATTAATAGTCTTTATTTATTTTGACGACTGCCGGTTAAATTAATTCTTCGTTACTCTTGAGTGATTCCTACACTGAGTTTTGTTAAGAGTATACATTGTAAACTTCATTTTTAATTTTTTTCTAGAGCTCTGCATCGAAGGTACTCAAGTTACGAGAAGGAAGAGTTTGAAAGAGAAACGAGTTTCCTTTTCAGAAAAACAGGAAGAAGTTAGGAATAGAATAAATGCTTTATCGCCTCTTGGCGGAGTGACAGAAAGACCTCAGAGCAGGGGAGGAATGGCGTTTGATATCATGTTGGTTCCTGAAACTGGTAACGTGAAAAGAAGGCCTCAACATCTGAGATCATTGGAAAGACGGAAGAAGAAAGGAGCTCGGAGAACCAAAGAAGAAATAGAAGAAAAGCTTAAACATGCTGAGGAAAGAAGAAGGGTAAGAGTGCGTTTTATTTTAACAATATTTTAAAACGGTTGGGTCATAAAAACAACGATGAAATTGTTATTTGATGTTAAGATAATAAGAACTAGGCAAAATAGATTTCTCCAATTATCACTTGGCATAGCAAATTGCTCACCCTGACTTGTCTAAAGGGATCTCTGTTAGTTAGTATAACTGAAAAAATATCCTTCATTTTTCTCTCAAAAGTTAATTCAGTAGGATTAGCAGATGTTTTGAAGCATTGTAAATTACATAATCTATTGCACAAAAACAAACCATAGCTAATAGTAATTTAAGTAAGTCCATAAGCAATGTTACAGACTTAATCATTTCCCATTATTTTGGATAAAAATAACAAGGTCTCATTTTTTATTTAATTTTAGCAGTTCTAATGTTCACTTTTGAGAGAAAAGTTAACCCTTACACGAGGATAAAATCAATTATGTAAGGAACAATGAAATCAGAAATGGATGGTTGCAACCATTTTTAATAACTGTCTTTTTTTTTTCGGTTTCAGGAGAACAAACAGCACATGAAAGAGAAAGCACAAGCTATGATTTCAAGAGAAAGACAAGTTAAACAAGCTTTAGATGACTTTGAACAACGACAAAAAAATTATAATGAGCAAACTGTCTCCAGTTAGAGGCTCTAACTATACAATACATCTTAGTTTTATAATTTATTAGGACATTTTTTTATTGTGGAGTGATAATTGGTATAATATATTATACAGATGTTATCCTTGCTTTTTCAAGGGAGAGTTTGTACTGACTTGCTGCAAGATATTTCATTTGAAACAAAGTGTACTTAAAAATGTGTTAATATATTGGAAAGTAGCACTTTCCTGACCAAAAACCCTTCCCTCTTTTGGATGACTTAGCTTCAAGTGTAGATATTTAGACTTTCTGTGATGACAACTTCATCATACATTCTTAGGAACAGGAAATGGAATTTACTGCAAAGCTAGCTATGCTGGCCTCAGTCAATGTTAATTTTGAAAGTCTTTGGTCATTTTTTCTCAGTAACTAACCAATAAATAATGTAGAACACATACATTTCAGGGATCTTGTCACCAAATTGTTTCTTGGAAGAAATTAAGAGGGTTGAACTGTAACATGGTCTTATAGTGTGGGTCTAACTTAATATTCAAGTCAAATAATTTTATGAAAATTATGAGTTTAACAAGAGTGAAAGTATTGTAAATAAAGGTTTTGTGACAAAATTTTAACATGTGGTGTAAATTACATTTTTAGTGGCATTTGAGTTGTAAATGATAATCTCCAAAACAGTTTCAAGGATTCATTAAGGCTGTTGGTTAAAATTACTCTAAATTCCTTTCCTGATCCTGTCTCTAAAAAATAATGATTCCAAAAATGTAAAAAAGAAAAAGACAGATGGTTGGTTTATTTAACCTCTCAACTCTCCAGGAGGAATTGCAGTTCAGTGAAATGTTTCTGGTGGGGGAGGAAATTTAGTGGATGCTGGAAAATTTTCAGAGCATGGATGACAAAAATGCTGTGGGTCAGTTACAAGGACAGTTGGTACATATCAGACAGCTTTAATTTACATCTGGCTCAATATTTTGTTATTGCAACCTAATTAAGCGATAGAAACCATTCCAAAGATAAATAACAATTACTTTTTTAATGATTCATGACCCTTTACACCCTGGCATCAATATGCATATCCTCCATACTGTTCTCTTTTCTCATGGTACTGACAAGACATCAATATCCATCTTCTCTATACTGTTCTCTATACACTTCTTACATTACTAACATAGAGAATTTGTTTATCAATCAAGGGCTTCCATAGTTGATAACCATTTCCTTTTTTTTCATGACCTTACTGTTAGATTGAGAAGTGATACTGTAAGGAGAAATTAGATGCTGGTCACTCAACCCTTTACCACCAAGATCTCTTTAGTCATTCTCCATACTATCTGCCATACATTGCTTATACTTCTAGTTCTGAGAATTTACTATTGGATCATGTGATGATCCCCCAATTGATATTTTTCAATATTCTCATCACTTGTCTGCTTGATATTGTATTGATAATGTAAGGAGAAAGTATGTCTTGGTCCCTGCTAGGAGTGAAAGGGTAACAGGGTTTAAAGGATGAATGATAAGTTGTTAAGAATTACTTCAAGCAAATCCTGCCTGAAAACTTACATAAAAGGAATGTTCTGTTAAAAAATCATTTTCTCATCGTTAAACACAAGGTAAATGTTCTAATTGAAAACAACAAATTAAATGGTGTACAGTAAATTATTCCACCAGCACATTTAGACAAAACAAATTTCCAATGAAGAATGTTGAACATTCAAATTCAGCAAAATTGTTCATTACTAAAAGAGACAGTTGATATCTTAAATGCATGGTGTCACCGTATGCATGTACATAGGACTAAAACTAGTCCATTACTACCAATTCTCTCCCCTAGTTGCTGTTTTAAGTGTTACTATAAATTGGTTCATTGCATGGTGCTCCACCTCAGTCAATTTTCACAGCTGCATAAATGTGCCTGATGAACAGGTATGTGGCATAAAATCCAACTGTTCCTGTCAGCAACCAGAAGGACAACACCATGATAAATGTGTAGCCAAAATACAAAAGACCTGGGACAAAATCTTGGATGTCAAGCTACAACAAAGAGAAGAGGAGAATTCCACAGTAAGTTTTGTAATTTAACAAATCTATACATCTTACTAACCAACTTCAAGGTCTGTACTGTGAGATACAGACCAGAGGCCCATTTCTCAAAGGTTCCAGTAACTTATTGCACCCATAAAGCTGTTCTGTTTTCATTCAAGAGAAGGGTTTAGTTTTGAAAATTATAAAATAAAACTCTCAGCTAAAGAAACAAAATGGACAGGTTAGGGTGCCAGAAACTGCTTCTCTATTGTTTAAATTTTGATTTTAAAATGTGGTTTTGTGGCCATCATGGTACTGGGACTTTAAAGAGTCTTTTTCAGCTCAGATTTACAGTGTATAACCCAGCAAAGAGTGCACAGGCCATAAATCTGAACAGAAAAAAGAAAAAAAAAACTAGATTCTTAAACTTGCAGTATGGATTTATAGACAGTACAGATAGTATGAAAAATTAAAAGTTGAAGGAAATAACATCCGTATAAAGCTATAGACCAGTAACAGCTGTAAAGAAACAGTAACTATCTAGTGAAACTCACTTTTGTAATAAAATAGAAAACTGCATAAAAGAACACATAGATGGAGCATGAACCAGACATGAAGAATGATCTCCACCACCAGTGGTAGTCCTGCAAGAAAAATAAAAATGGTGGTTATCACTTTAAGCATTTTGATGTCTTTCTTCTACTTTCCTTTGTTAGGTTGTGTGGCAAGCATTAGTCTGTCTAACAAAGTGTACCATTTTTGTTCAGTTGTAATTTTCTCTCATGAACCTATACATAAACTGCAGATTAATTTTCTGAAGAATAAAGGCTGATAGTACAGTTTTTAGCAAAGTGTAAAAAAGAGGGGCGACACAGAAAAACCAAAATATTTCAAAAAATGTCCCAACCCAGATAGAGCAATTGAATATTGCCTTTGGTCAATCTCTCCTGCAACTCTTTAACTTTCAGTGTTTCCTCAGCGGTGGAATTCAATGCAGACATGAAGTTTGTATTTTAAGGCTTCAATTAATGTAATGAATATTCCCACAACTTAACCATGGAATGGTAAAGTTAGACTTGATAACCAGCTGCTGATACAGAAATAGGCCCACCTTCCTTCAGAAGAAGCACCTCCCCTCTCAGGAAGATCAAGCACAGGACTAGAGAAAATGGAAACCTGTACAATTGGATCACCCCCAGTTGTTTTCACAGGATTATTGGGTCTAACCTCCAAAATGCAAAGACCTTCTCCTACCTCAGCACATAACTGGAAGTAAATCATCACTATAGATATCTGTGACACACAGCTGGCAAGGATCAGGAAAACCAGAAACAAGAAACCAAACAGATAGTAGAACTGATTTTCCCAGATTGCCTAAAAATGCAGAAAAAACAAATTATATAATACTTAACAATGGGTTCATACATTAGCGTGCATTCATCAAGATATGAAGCATGCAGGAAGTTTGGAGAGCATGAAAGACACGTAAGAGTTGCTTGAGGCATAGCTGAGAGCAACTCTAGCTTCTTCAGTGCTCTCCAAACTTCCCAAGTGCTTCATATCTCGATGAATGCACAGCTGATGTATGAAACAATTGTTTTAATAACATTTTCAACCTGATGGAAATTTTTTTCTAGAGAGATTTGTTTGCTGCTGTCATGAGCGTGCACAATAGGAATATGAAGCATGCTAGCACAATTGAATTTGACTAGACAAATTTACTAGCTATGTAATAAAACAGTTTTTATCTGTAAATTTAAAAAAACTATTCTGCTGGAACTGTTATGTTACAATAATTCTTCAATCCTTCCACTCCCAAGATCAAAATGTACATTCTCTGCACTCTCTCATCCATTTCTTATCATTTTTATTTTGAGAATTTAGTACTAAATCAAACAATGTCCCATTCCTGATATATATACATTTTTTTTTTCTCATCACCCGACTTCTTGAAAATGTATTGATGCTGTAAAGAGAAATTCCTCCTTGGTCACTTAAGAGAGTGAAAGGGTTAGAGGTGATGATAAGAGATGAGTTCCTATAACAAGAATTAACTTCTGGGAGGAATGACACTTCATTTTGATTACTTACAGATAAAATAAAGAAGAGCTCAATAAAGACAGCACCAAAGGGGAGAATTCCAGCCATCAGGTTGCTGAAAGAGGAAGTCAGCGTTAATTACCCGAATAACAGATTTCAAGGAATATACATTGCTAATAAAATTTTCACACATTTCCAACTCCTGTAAGAGGAAACATGGCTCTTTCTTAGTGTACCAGACAAAGATGTTTCTAAAAATGAGTAATAAAATAGCAAAGATTACACAATGGCACACCAAAAAATACATGCATAATCATTTCCAATAAAGGGACTCGCACTTTGGTTCTGAGTTAAAAAAAAAAAAAAAAAAAAAAAAAAAAGTGCACTCCTGCATTCTTTGGCATATGCTTTGTGGTCCTAATGCCTACTTTTGGTATTTCCAAAAGTTGTCTCTTTTGAGTAGTAACTTGTTTTCATCAATACAATACAGTTTATGATGATATTCCATGCACTCATGGAAAAAGTAACAACCTTACCTTGGCAAGGGACTCATGTACCAGGCCTGATCAGGAACTTGCCTAGGAATTTGGTTTGTTCTCACAGGGTGTTCATATGGCTGAATAATGCATAGCAAAATTGAATATTTAATTTCCTGTCAAATATAAAACCTACAGCTGCTAGTTTAGGTCAATAAAACAACAGATACCTACATAGTATTGGGAAACAGAATTTTCTATATCCCAATAAATACAAAAAAATCTTATTGTGAGATTAAGACAAAGCTGATACTCACATGTTTTCTGTATCCAAAGTAGTATCCAATGAAAACAAGAGGAACTGAAATTCCCAGCCACAGACAGAGAAGAGCAAGCATGGTTGTAAAGGGAACCTGAAAAGAGATAAATGCAAGCAAAATTGGATTAAGTACCATTAAACAAAAAATATAAAGAAAATTCAGAGCACAAATACAATCAAATTTATCCCTTACTGCTCCGGAAGAATGCTGTCCCCAGATAAAGAAGTTTAGAATGAAACAGACTGCAGAAACAACTCCAGGATACAAAGCAGCCGTCTGAAATTAAAAAAAAAAAGTTTAGAATGATCTTGGCCAGTTTCTAGAGGTTTTAGGTCATACCACACATCTGACCCCAAAGTTACTCTTGATTAATTTGTAACTGTCAAGTTTTAAAAGTGTAAGTAGTGTAAGTAATAGTAGGTAGAGTAAGCTTTGTTAGTAGAGTTAGTACAGGAAGTTATGCGAGTTTTTTTTTAATAATGCTAGTATTGTATGTAATCGTAAGTAGAATAAGTAGATTGTAAGTAGTATATTAGTTTCTGTAAGTTGTACTGTGAGTATTGTGAGTAATATTAGTACCGTTCAATTAAAAAAAAATCAAGGTGTCCTCCTAAACAATTAAGAATCTTACCAGTACTGCAGATTTCTTCCAGTTCTGGCCCTTGCATGTCTTGTAGAGTCGAGCAGCAAAATATCCAGCAAAAACACTTTATGGTGAGAATGAAAATTTAACTCTGGATTATTGTAAGTTTTTTTCATCATCATTATTACCATTACCATTATTGTTATTGTCATCACCTCATCATCATCATCATCATCATTATTATTACTATTAGTAATAGTACTAGTAATAGTAGTAGTAATTATCCTTATCACAATACTAGGTCCTATCATTATATTATTATTATCATTATTATTATTATTATCATCATCATCATCATCATTACTATCTTTATCATCATGGCCATCACTATTACCAATTCCAGTACAATACAATTACATCTTCAACAAATTAGACTGCTTGCTTTACAAAATTTAAATATCTCCTTGAGAAGTAGGAGCTCAATTTTGTAAAAATACCATAAAATGATCTAGTATTTTCAGACTAGTAGAAAAATTTTTATCACAACTCGACATGATTTTAATTGAAACACTCACCCCATGAAGACATAAAGAAATATGATTGCTGTCATAAGGCTTCCTCTGCTGGCAGGTGACAACATTCCAAGCATGGCAAACACTAAAACCAGATACAACACAATGAAAATTAACCCTATGCCACCTGTAGCTCCCAGCACTCTTTAACTTTACTACAATTTCTCATAAAAACATCATTGATCATTTCACAAATTCTTTTATTATGATCTTACCCAGAGTGATAAGGACCATAAAAAAGATCTGCACCCCTGAGCCAACAAATGCAGTTAATAGCCATGCTCTTTTGGGAGGTCTGAACACATCACCATGGACTAATTTCCACCCTGTCTCTTCCATGGTATCTTCCTGCAAACAATAAAATCACTTTTTTCCTTCTGACTGAAACATTTTGACATTATTCATTTGATTATTCCTCAACCTGTCACTCAACTTTATATCATACTTCAAAATGAAAAAGCTAGTCAAATTCAAATTTCTAACCATTAAACTAAATTTGACTGAAAAAGCCTTGACGTAATCTGGGAGTTTGGTGGTGGTTGGTTAAGTTACCCTAATTCTATAACAACAAAAAGGTCAAACAGTGCGGCCAAGGAAATAATCAAAATTATTCAGTGTTTCACAAGTTCACTGTTATAATAAAAAAATGCTTTCATCAATGATGAGCCTTTGAAATAACTAACCATTTCCTCTTCCTTGTTATAACGAGCAATGTCACGTCGTAATGTCCTTATCATTATCATGGAGACAATACCTGTGAGGAAGATATAACAGTTAACATGTGCAATCTAACTTTACTAAATATGCAATAAATGAAATATTGAATACATGCTAGGTGTAAGTAAATATTTCTCTCTCCATTACATGGATATCTGCGACCAGATTTCTCCCTAAAGCAGGAGTCAAAGGGGGACTTTCTCCCTGAGACTTCTTCCTTTCAGTTTCCCCCCTCCCTCCTCCCCCCTCCAAACTATACATTGCCCTCCACCTCTCTACTTTACTGAAGAGTCTCAGCACAATCACAAAATACCATTGAAAGGAACATATTTCCTTCTTTAACAAGTTTAGTGCTAGAAATTAAGGTACATGTAATTGGTGACTCACCAGACAAAAACAGGACAATCACTACAGAGTTGACTATAGCAAACCAGTGGATCTGAACATCACTCATAGCTAAATATGTGTCCCATCGTGAAGCCCAGACAATCTCACTGGCCTGTATGAAAGTAATAAAGAGAAATACAATATCACATAGTGATGATTACAAAGCTCTACACAATAGCATCCCCTTATTTCTTTGACCTTTTAACCATAAAACCCAAAAGTATGAACACTTAAGAATTTTCTCAGAATATTTAATGTGACTGATGAAATGGGAGTTAAGGACAAGAAAGAAAATAAAACCCCTTTCTACAAAATAGTGCCCTGCAGTAATCTGTTCTACAATATTACGGTTAGATACATTATGCTTCATTGAGTAAATTTTCTTGACATACACTGTAATCCAGTCATAGAATTATTTCCAGTAAGCATAGTTTTCTGAGTTTCATGGTAAGAACTCCCAAAAAGTAACAAGTTTTTTTGGAAAGGGTTTCCCTGTTACACCATAAGAGAAACATTCATTAAATAGTTTTTTTTTTGCTTGTTTGCTTTACATTTTTGGAAATTACTCCTCTCTTAAAGCTAATAAAATAAATCTTCAGTTTCTTTCACATACTGTACCAATCAAATAGAATTTAAAGAAATTTAAAATTTACAATGATAATTATCACATCTTGACCTACCTCCCAAGTTACAGAATACGTCAACACCACAGCATTGTCCTCTATCAATATAAAATCAACAAAAAAATGTTATTAAGCCTGAACTATTATGACACTTGAACCATCAAATTCAGCTGCATATAGACAGCTTCTAATGAAATTCATATCTCTATCTATCATTCTGATTTTGATTTCTATCCCTATCAACATCTCAGATCAATATCAGTATCTGGGCAACTGCCCACCTACCCCTCCCCTAACCCAACATTAACCTTAAATTGTTGTCAATTGACTGTTGTTGAGTCAGGGGAGGGGTAGGTGGGCAGTTGCCCAGATACTGATATTGATCCAACATCTCTAACATCTCATTGGCACATGATCGACAAAAAAAAGTGATTGTAATTGTTTATTATTCATCTCAAAGTGACAATGGACCTCTTCAGGGTTCAAGCTCTTTGGATATTAAAAACTCCTCCAGTTGGGATGAACTTTTTTAAAACTTTTTCAATGGCATAAAAACCAAAACATTGGTCTCAAAAAAAAAAATGCATATCAAGCAATCATTTAGTTGAGGTATTTCTTTAATACAATCTTCTAAAAATCCTTAATTTTTTTTTTTCATTTTCACTTGGCTGTGCCTTGCATGCCCCTTTTTTGGTTTTAATCATATTTTAGCTTCATCTGTCACTTTGTACAACATTAATGAAAATAAAACTTACGGTTTGGAGTAATCTGCAGATTAGATGGCTTGTCACTCAAAAATGAACATTTATTACTGTTTGCTTCCACAGCTATAGCATCTGTTGCCACACTACCAAAAATTGAAAAGAGAAATTCGAATCAATCCTACTAAATTGTAACAATTAGTTACATCACATTATTGGTTCTCAGAGCCATGTGGCCAAAGAAGCTAATAGAGATTGGGCAGGTCCCAAGCTCCCAAGGCAGGGGAGAGCACCTGACATCACAGCTTGATTTATGTTCATTGATTTTAATTTCCATGCAATAACTTTCTCACCTTTTTGTATGTACTTCAAATCCAACAACACGGAATGTGGCGCTACAGAAAGAAAATCAGAAACTTAAATTTTCTTGCAAAGAGAGACGAAACTCACTGCTGAAAAAGAAATTCAAGGAAAAAGTTTGCTTACTTGTCATAAGTATGATATTTGAGGACCATCATCAAATGATTATTAAGGTAAGTCTCCTGAAAAAAAAGGACAATCCGCCATTTAATTCTGATGAGAATTTGAATATCAATCAAATATAATAATATTCTGATTATATTTTTTTTTATTTTAGAGGTTTTTCATCAATAATAAAACCAAATTAAAAACTAGCATTAATAACAAGACTGGCAGTACTAAGAGAGAGAGAGAGTGACTGTATATCAAGACAGCGCATTTATTTTCCTGTTACCAACCTTCTCTCTGGTAAATCCAAGTTTAAATCCATGATCATACTGCACCTAATTAAGGAAAAAGATACAAAATCATGAACAAACCCAAACATGCTGGTACAATGTAGATTCTGATTGTGTTCGATAACTGCCACGCATACTGAATAATTATTAAGGTGGAAAAAGAGACATTTCAAAATTGTTCTGAAAAGAGTATTATTTGGGTAAAACAGAATCACATTAAAATTTTTTGCAATCATGGTCCTTACCTGGCCAGTCTCAAGAACAAATTTTGTTGCCACAGGTAGATTATCAATAACCCTGAAATTGTTCATAAAGCAGTTTTGTGAGAAGTTAAAACATGCTCCAGTCACTAAGAGATGAAAGGAGAAAATAAGTGAATACAACACAAGAGAATGGCTAGAAGGAATTCAAAGAAGAGAAATTACATTTCCAAGCTTCTAGATTCCAGATTTTTATGAGGTCAAGGGGGAGCCTAGACCCCCCCTAGGAGAATGAGGCCTTGCAGCCACTTTCAAGGCACAGCAGTCCATTACATCAGTAGCAGCCACTTATTGAAAAAGTTACCAAAACCATTTAATTAACAGAAGCATGTAAAAATTAGGAGATGACAAAATGATGACACTCATTAGGAAGTAAAAAAAAGAAAGAAGACAAACTGACAAAGGATAAAAGGATTAAAACAAAATAGGAAAAGAAACTAAAAGAAGAAACTACACACATGTGAACATGGTATTCATCTGATATCAGCTTGGAAAGTTTCGTAGATTGCTCTGCATTCACAGTTGTTTGCTTGCAGAGTAAAGTGCAACCTTTGTTTTGTGCCATTCTTATCTACAAAGCAACAAAAAAGCTCAGTAGTACCAGCAAATGAATATTGTAAAATGGTCAGAAGAGGGCAGAAGGTTGCTTGAGAATACAAGTTAGTCACTTGGTAGAGAAAAAAAATTAGATTAACAATTGATAAAGACTAAAGAATTCCCTAAAAAAATTCCTTTTAATCTACACTATTTAATACAGTTGTTTCAAGAAAGGTTGTTGGAAAAAAAGCCAAAAGTGCTGGCAAATAAATAAAAAACTCATCAAGAACAAGATGCCTTGTACTTTAAGTGAAATTTTTACAGATTTCCCTGAATCCTCAGTCAATGAATCATGACCTACAACTGTAAAATATACCCACAATACCTTTCAGGGTTGTTACATGCATTCTTACACTATACGATTTGCAAACTTTCTTGAAACAGCTGTATATTACTTGCCAAAATAACTTATGTTTAATGAGGGCAGCATAAAACACAAACAATGACCAAAAAACTATCAAGGGAGAAGTGCAAAAAAAGATAGAGAAGATAAAAATGGTTTCAAATAGCAAACTAAAAAAAAATTCAGGGGTAAATGTCTCTTATATCTTGATACAGGAAGAAGTACAGTTTCACCTCCTACAACTATATCATTATAGTGTGTTTGTGTGCTACAGTGTTAAAGAAGAAGGATACAAACCTCATATAAAGTATTTACAATCCTGTCACCGCGAAGTACTTCCCCTACAGACAAAGCACATTGTTTTTAAGACAATACTCTAAATGGCAAATGAGTAAATTTTCTTACAAGAAAGAAAGAAAAACAAAGATAAAAGACATAAATCAAATACCAGAAGCAGTGTTTTACCTCTGATTTCAGAATTTATTCTCATTAGCCTCAAAGTTCCCGCAAAATAATAATTTACAATGTTTCAAATAAGATGTGAATTCCAAAGGACCTTTTTTCCATGCTTCCCATCAAATAAATAAACAATGTAGTGTATCATGAAAATTAGTTTTTTTAATTGAACATTACAAAAGTTTGCACTATGATCTAAATACAAAATTAAAAAATGCAAGAAATCAGCCCTACCAAGGTTTTCTGGCTTGTACTGTAAATTGTCAGGCTTACAGATGGGAATAGAGTAGTACTCAAAGGGAAGCTGTGTCTTGATACTTGTCATTTTTACAGCCTGTAAATTCCAAAGACCATCCAAATCAAACATGACAGCTATTACCACCTTACAGCACTAATCTAGATTTTTTCAAGCTTTGAAGTAGTAGGTGAAGTCATAGCAACCGTGTTAATGAGGCAAAAAATCTACGGAGATGCATTAAAAAGATACAATTGTCTTTGATGATCGGAAATAAAAATTGGAAAAAAAAGACAAAAAATTCCACCATACAGCTATTATCAATTTTGAATCGAACAAGTAAAAACAAAAACAAGTTTAGTGTAAAAGCATCAAAATCTGACGATTTACCAAGGATGCCCGCATAATATTAGATCATAATATTTGAGGTTTAAAAGACCATACCTTGACTTCTAGTTTTTCGCCTTTTTCGTAGTCAATCGGAGCAATTCCAGGCAAATAAAAGGGCCAGGTGGGCGAAATATTGAGCCAAAAGATCAAACATGACAGTAGCCACATAGACGTTTTCTAGTGTATCAACGGTTAAACAAACAGAGATTAACTTCGTATGGAATGGCTATTACTAAGTACTGCACCGTTTTTGAGGCTAAAGCTATCACATCTAGAGAAAAATTAACAGAAAAACACACCTTTGTGACGGATCTTCCACAAGACTTTGCATCCGCCATGATTGCCTCGTACTAAACTATATTCTGTATTTATGCGCATGCCACGTCGCAAGTACCAGTGCCTTTTCGTTCAAGCTACGTCCGTCCAATGTCGGGGCTTTACGAAAGTAACCGAAATTTACCGACGATGGTGCGTCACTGCTGTGCAGAAAAACTGTGGTTCAATCGGTGCAGTACCCATGCGCAATGAAAAGGAAAGCGGTGAATTCACCGGGCTCTTCAAGGAAACAGAAAATGTCCAAGGTAGCTCTCGATAAAAACAAAAAATATGATCGTCAGTTAAGGTAAGAGAAATGAATGTGCATTGTGATGCGAAAAAATAGCACTAAGAAAGAAACGCGAGGGGTTTCAGAATGTGCAGATACGCGTGTGAGCTGGATGGTTCGTTATCAGTGGTTTTTGTTAACCGCGTCGTCAACCGCGTCTAAGAGATCTTTGGATATCAGAAAAGAAAAGATTATGGATTAAACGTTTGTAAGGTCGTGATAGATCCACCTGCTAGACAGAAATGATTAGCAAAGTGGAAAAAAAATCAGATTAGGTCAGTACCTCAGTCCTCCGTGGCTGTCCATCCATGCTTCTACATTACGTAGAAATATTATGTTTAGAACGCTCGGGTTTCCAGTTTCATTTATCGTCCTTTTTTCGGGCAGTTTTTTTATCTTTCTCATTGTGATAATGTCTTAGACAGAGTTACATAGTTAAGATACTGATCATTGATCCTGAGGGCTCGACCAAAGACAGCCGAGTGACTTTGACAGTTTCCTGCAACCTTGCTGTCAAGCAATTCTCAGGGCTATATGTTACACATTTTCCTTTAATAAGTGTGTCAGAGAAAACTGTCTGGCTTCCAGGTTTATTTTCCTCTGTGTATGTGACACCTTTTATTTGCTAAATATGATTTATTGATTATATACATGTAAAGGAATTGTCCAGGTAAGAGAAGTCCTGGAAAATACTGCTGTTTGTTGTAGAGACCAACATTTTGATGACCTCAGTGTAAGTCATCCTCAAAGACTACATGAATGTTGTCACAACATCAGTCAGTACTAGTGATAGTAACAGTTCTTATTAATGCTATTTCACCTATACAACCAGACCGCAAAATCCTGTCAACTCAATTACTGGCTAGGATTCAAACATAGAACTCCATATCGGGAATGAAGGGTCATTTTACCATTAGACCATTAAGCTCTTATAGCATTGTCTTCAGGACTGTATGAAAGATCCTGAAAAAAAAAATTGAATTCACTTTTGTTACATAGTTAAAAGGTGATTTTTTTAACTCGTTATTTTATCTAGTTACTAGATAAAACATGTGTTATTTTTTGTTGTGGTTGTTTAGATTGTGGGGAGATCATGGACAAGAAGCTCTTGAAGGAGCCAAGATTTGCTTAATAAATGCATCAGCTACTGGAACTGAAATTCTAAAGAATCTCATTCTTCCAGGTAAAATTTATAATTTAAATTGTGGTGACATTTTAACATTCAGTTCTTGTGATTGTCATATGCACCTGGGCAAGCAGTTTACAGGCTTCTTGTTAAGAAATGTTGTTGCAGGAAAATAAAGTGAGGCAGTAGGAAAATTTTTCTTTATATTAAGATAACAAAAAGTTCAAGTCATGAGAATTTTGCTAAATAATCCTGCCTTAAAGCCAAGAATTCTCAGATCACCAGTAACACATGTCTTAATTTTCAAATTGTAACACACTGAATGTGGTTTATTTCCATTAGGCATAGGATCTTTTACTATTGTGGATGGCGAGAAAGTTACTGGTGAAGATGTAGGCAACAAGTAAGTACATAGGAAGCAAACATTGTTGCTCGATGTTACAAATCATTTGTAGATTGTTATACTCTTTTTATGCATGAATATGACTAGAAGAGGAAAAACATTTTTAATTACTCCGTAGATTATTCATTCTCTTGTTGATATAAATCTTTGTGTTATTGATAACTTGATTTAATTTATTTTATTTTGCCTTTTGATTTTTCACAGCTTCTTTTTAGATAAAGATTGTATTGGAAAGGTATGGAAAATAATTTAAGTACAAGTAACACTAAACAAATGCATTAAGATGGTAACAGTGCCTTAACCTTTAACACCCATGAGTGACCAAGACAGAATTTCTTCTTACAGCATCTATACAATAACAACCAGATAAGTGATGAGAAGAAAGAAAAAGATCAATTTGGAGATAATTAGTTGATCCAGTACTAAATTCTCTGAACAAGTATTATAAGAATTGTATGGTTGACAGTAAGGAGAATTACAAATTTGATTTTGGAGTTAAAGGGTCAAGTTGACAGTTATTAGCAGTCTTTATGTTCTATATAAATATGTTTTTGAAGTAAAGTAGAACATTTGGCATGTACACGTACAGATCTGAAATTAATTAATTAATTACAGCTTCAAAGAAACATCAGTGAGATAACAAAACAAAATAAATCTCCATTTATTGAAAGGGAGTAGACTTATCAATTTAATCAGTTGATCATGTTTGTCATGTTTCTCTTTGATTAGTCTCGGGCAGAGTGCACCACTGAACTTCTGCTTGAACTTAATTCAGATGTGTCAGGAGATTTCATTGAAGAAGTAAGCACTGATCAATCTTATATTGTTAAAAATTGATCCTCAAAGGAATCATCAGTGTTCTCAAGTTTGTTGTTCAGGCCATCTCATATAGTAGTTTATTTTCCATGTATTGATCATTTAATTAAACTACAGTTTTGTTGTGAGAGAAACAAGCAAGAATGTATTTCTTTTCCCTAAATCAAATTGCCCATGGTGGTGTCATAGTCTTGTTTTTCCAAGGGAGATATAGTTTGCATTAAATTGTTGTCTAATGTATTTATTTCCTGTATTTGTCACATTTATTTTCCATCCATGTCTAACTGACTTCCACTTTAACGAAACATGGGCAATGAGACATACATGTAAGACCCTCATGAGAGGCATCCTCTCATGAAATTTGCAAACTTTGTGAGGAAACAATTTAAATATTAACCATGTACAGCTGTACATATAGCACTGGGTTAATCTCTAATTTGAGTTTCATTGTATAATGCTTTTGGTAAATGGTCATGAGTTTGAGTGAAAGAGTATTTAAATACTCAGCAGCTTTTGCTTGTCATTTAAGCCTTGTGTTTTCATTGTTTCAATTAGACTACAGACTGCTTGTTACGGGAGAACAGTGACTATTTCAAGTCATTTACTGTGGTCATAGCTACTCAACTTCCTGAGGAGTAAGTGGAACCTAAAAGATAAGTTATGGAAGCAGTCCTCACAGTTATGAACACTTCTTAAGTAGTAGTGAAAATAAGGCCTGAAAAAAATTCAGGCCAGTACAGGATTTGAACCCATGACCTCTACAATACCAGTTCTGACTTTTCTTCAGGCCTTATTTTCACTACTACTTAAGTAGTGTTCATAATTGCGAGGATTGCTTCCATTTTCGTTTCTGCAAAGGCAGTTCACATATATGATTTTTATATATTTACAGTCATTGAGAATATAACTTGTTGTTTAAGAAGATACTTATTTGCATCCCATCCTTTGAATTATTCAATTTTTTTGGTTTGAATCTCTACCGCCTTCAAACTTTACAACTGTTCCAATGAAAAAGGGTATTTAAAGTTCATTTTTATTTTCAGAACTCTACTAAAACTTGGTTCCCTACTGTGGTCCAGGAATATTCCTCTGCTAGTTTGTCGTTCATATGGCTTTATTGGTTGCATGAGAATTGTGCTGCAAGAGCACTGTGGTAAGAATCACAATATATTTTTTGTGGAATAATGTTGCATCTTTATTTGTGAGATTAGCTTGCATTCTGTGTAAAAGTTTTTGACTAGAAAGGATTAATTTTTTTGAAAATATTTTGGCAGAATTGCTAGCCTTCGTCAGTCTGTTGCTGTGTGAGTGGTCACACTGCAACAGCTTAAAACTCTGGGTTCATATGCTTAGAGCAGCCCTGAGATGGGAGTATGGAGTTTGCTTCTAACCCACATTCTGCATTTCTGTATACTTGGCCCTAAGCCACAAAAACTTGGTGGAGTACACTGTAAGCAACCAGTGCTGGTAAACTTTTGGCCTGCAATAAAAAAGAGATAGCAAATGAAGTTTACTTATGTGGCTTGACTTGTCCTTGTATGTGCAGCGACAAATCTGTAACATGTGAGAAGTTTCTTTTCTTGACAACGATTTTTCTTACTTATGCAGTTGTGGAATCACACCCTGATAGCACTCATCCAGACTTAAGATTAGACAGGCCTTTTCCTGGCCTTGTACAGTATGTGGATGCTTTAGATCTTAACACCATGACAAAACAGGTAAATATTGTATGCGTAAGGAGACACAGTGTTAGAAAATGGTATTCACACTGGACTCTGGATCAGAAAGTCCAGGTGTAACCCCTGACCAGGAGATTTACTGGCTTAACAGTTGGCATGTTGGATTCTGCGTTGAGAGGTGCAGGTTGAAGACCAGGCTGAGTCACTGTGTTGTGTTTTTGGACTCTGCTCTCACAGTGCGTCTCTCTACCCAGGAGTATATATGGGTACCAGGGTTCTGTCAGGAAAGCTTGGCAATACTGGAGGGGGAAAGGGGGAATAACATTATTTTCACTGAAATATTATAAAGCAACAACTTAAATTACTTCATCAAGCTGTTCAGTAATGCTTTTTATAAACTTAGGGAATCACTTTGTTCTGGGCCCAGTTGTGTAAAGGGTAACAAATAACACATAGAGGGTAGCAGATAACGCTATCCAACGGACAAATCGCTGTCCAGGGGATAAGTGATAGCAAAATGTATAGTATTATCAACTGAATAGAGTGCTATCCAGTAAATGGTGTTATCCAACGTTCAAATAACTGTTGCCTGATCAATAACTAGTTCTTTGTTCACATTTGTCATAGGAGCATGGCCACACTCCATATGTAGTACTGTTGTTAAAGTACTTAAACAAATGGAAAGCAGAGGTGAGTCCTTCAGGAATGAACTTTTTAAAATGTTAGCAAT